GGCATCTGTGCAAGCTCCTGTCTCTTTCGCGCAACTCATCCGGATCCTTTCATCGATGCGATGCTCAGCACGCAACCGACTCATTGCGCCTGCCATGCCATGCGCGCGCGCAATAAGCAAGCAACTAGATCGATCGATCCGTCCAAAGAGCCGTGCGCGCGCCTTGTTGTTGCATGCCAGTCTGCTGAGTCCGAGTCCGAGTCCTTGAGTCGCAGTCAGTCAGTTCGATCGTGATTCTCCTCCTCGCGACTCCATCTCCGCGCGGCTTCAGGTGCGCTGCGCTGCGCTGCCAAGCTGCGCCTGCCCAATCCAATCCAAAAGGCTGCCCTGCCTATACAAGCGCGCGCGAATCCGAGACATGAGCCGTTGTTGGCGCACGCGCGGCAGCTACAGTATAGAGGAACCCCGGCTATACCTGCCCCCCGCCTCGCCACACCGCTCCAACCAAAACACCACTCCAAGTCCTCTGCCAAACGCGCGTGCGTCTGATTGCGGTGCATAGTAGCCTCTGCTCTGCTAAAGCTGGGCTTGCGCAGCCGCAACGCGATCTCCTGGGCCACAGGATCCGGAATGAGCTGTGGCCCGACAGCACCGGGCACTACAGCAGTGTGTCACGATTTCCGCGCGCGTCACTGATGCACCTTCTTTCCCCACCGCCGCGCGCGACACCTCCTCAAACTCTACCTTGCGTCAACATCATGGCGTTTATCGAAGGCTTGTTTGCTACCACGTGGCGAATTCTGAGCGTCGCTAACGCTGCAAACATGTTCAAGAGGAGGTTCACGCGATTGACATTGAATGATTCACATTCTCACAATCCGACGTCCGGATTTTTCGCGCAGCGCACCTCTTTTGCATCACTGAACCTCTTACAGCATCTCTCTGCAACTGACGAGCATGTCTTGACGACGACTTTTTGATTCTGAATTGGTCAATGAGCCATCTTTTGCTGCTAGATTTACCGAAAGTGCAACTGCGCGTAAGGAGGGTAGTGTACTCTGCTCGGGTTCGCTTACCGTCCGTGGCAGGCAAAAGCCTCCAAGTTTCTGATCATTCTTGCACCATTCGTGATTCAAGTTGCTGTAGCATTACCCTCACGAAAGTCAACAGCAGTAAGCGCACAGCTAGGGGAATGCAAATTAATTGCTGCGACTCATCAGGTGAAGAGGTGTGTTGCTCTATATCAGGAGAGTCCCTGCAGGAGGGCGGCGCATGATGGCTCGTATAGCTTGACGGGTCGCGCTCAACTTTCGTGGCTCGTCGTGCATCACGTGACCACTGTCCGTTCCGCACTTTTTTGTTTAGGCGGGACAGCCGCAATTTTGAATATTGGTGGACATCTTGATTCTCAAGCCTTCGCCGTGCGACCTAGGGCTATGAAAGCTCTCAACATCATTCCCATGAGAAGGACTCACATGACCGAGTGCAACCAAACAGGGGTTTCTAGAAGATCGCAGAAGCTCAAGAGTGATCGCAGACAGCTCAACGGTCACTCAGACGGCTCAAAACGCAAAAAACTAAGCTGGTGGCAGGCTCGACCCAAATTTGGAGAGCGACGTTTGCGCACCTCCCTCCCGTTCCGCAGCTCTGGTCGATCGCAAGTGGAGTCTTCAAAAGGGTTTGAAAAATTATTTTCTGGCGTCAAAAGGGATTCAAAATAGAGCAGGATTCGGTGCTGGCTCGCAACAAGGCTAGCAGTCTCGCGCAAACACCTTTCCTTCCATCACCTGCAAGGCCCTGTGCGTGCAATTCAGGACTACTTGTGGCTTGTGATCATGTCAGTCCACGCGCAAACCTGTCATAGCTGCTCTGACTCCAGACTGACGAAATTTTCACGGTGCTGTGGTGAATCTGGCCCTTGTGACGATCGATTCTCTCCACAGGGGCAAAACGAACAAGGATTCGCGTGACATCTGGTACAGACTTGCCAAGACCCAGGGGTACAGGGCGAGGAGCGCATACAAAGTGAGGGACGAGCGAGGGCGACTGCGCGCAAACCCTCCAAGCAAGAGTGATCAGCCTATTGACTCGCGAGACATTCCGCCGCATGTGCCTAGCTCATCCATCTAGATCAAGAATTTGGTTTCCTCTCCCGATCACCTCTGGACCTCCGCATCTTGGGCTCGAGCTCCGCAGCAAGCCAAACAGGCACAGCCCTACGAAGGGTCGTAGATCTGTGCGCAGCTCCTGGATCATGGTCTCAAGTCCTCGCACGTACCTTGCCAAAAGGTAGCAAGATAGTAGCTGTGGATCTGCAACCCATGGCCCCTTTGCCCGGCGTGGTGCAGATCTGCGGGGACATTACGTTGGAAAAGACGGCTCGAGCGGTAGGCATGGCTCTGCTAGGGGAAGATGATGATCGTTCATCCGCCGCAATGGAAGACCTATCGTCCGCTTCATCGCCCATATCGGAAGATCGATCACTCCAGAACGGCAGAAAAGGAGCCAAAGCGGATCTGATCATTTGTGATGGCGCGCCAGACGTGACGGGCCTACACGCGCTAGATGCATCGCTACAAGCCCAACTACTTACCAGCGCTCTCACAATCACCTTCAAGCTCCTCTCCCCCGGCGGCACATTCGTCGCCAAGGTCTTTGCCACACCACCTCAAAGGAGCTCAGCCACAGCTCCTTTTGCTGAAAAAGAAGGGACCACATTGGGCGGTAAAGACATGGTATTGCTCATGGCTCAACTTCGAACTAGGTTCGACAAAGTCGTGCTGGCCAAACCGCCCTCTAGTAGACCGGCTAGCGCGGAGCATTTCATCGTTGCGACTGGCTTCGATGCGGACAATGAAGAGCTGGACGCCTTTGTCAGCTATGGAGATCTGTCTGCCTGGAATGAAGCATCCTGAGAAGAGACTTGTACAGTAATCTATTGCGTCACGGGAGTCCGTTCGTAGTGTCAAGACCCGAAGCCTGAATGCGTGACACCGATTGTGAGAACTTGAGCGGGTTTGACCCGGCAAGCTTATGGTGAATCGTGCCCGTAAAGGTCTCAGTCCCCTTCGCCTTCGTTCACAAGCTCCCCACAAACAAAATACTTGTTCGAAAAATGCCTGGCGAACCACGATGATGAGGTGATCTGAGTCAGCACGGTCTCGCTCAGTGTTGCGCCAACGCAGTCAGCTCACTGAGCCCATTCTCGCATGTTGGTGCTGGTGCAGGAGGTGGATCGAGCTCCTTTCAGCAAGTGGGAGAGCCATGAAGGTGAGGGACTACCTACTTACACTTCTGCAGGCGTGAGGTCATCCAGCTTATCCAGTGGCTGATCGAGAGGAGTAAGCATTTCTGAAGCACGAGTAGCAGGACCGAAAACGAAGATAGGATCAGTCGGGAACGCGCACAAAATAAAGGGGCGAAGGGGGTAAGGCCTCCACTCACCTAGAGCAAAAGATTGCTTGGCCATTCCTCGCGATGCGTCGCGCCCAGCAAAGTTTCCGTATGGTCCGCCTTGATTGAGCAGACGGTTGGAGCGTCAGCAGTGTCAGTTGTTTGTTTGCCAGTCCCGCGTGCAAAGTCAACTAGGGATGTGTTTGGCCGCATGATGACCAGGACAGCGCTCCAGCCTGATTTTCACAGGCTCCGATGCGAACCAGAGTTTGTGCCCTCGCATTATGGTGCGCCACTCACCGGGCCCATAGAAGTTTGCGCCCTTTGTCACATCAAAGACTTGACCCTCGATAGCCAACAGGATCGTCTCTCCCTCTTCTCCATTGGCTCCTGTCCCATCATAAACTGCCAAAGTCCTAGGCGTGTACCTTCTCCAAAGACTGGCAGGAGCATGTTTGGAAGGCAAAGAATTATAGGATCCGTTGGAGTTTAGAGAGGTGTTCGAGGTGCTGGAAGTTTGCCGAGCTTGGGAGAGGGTAGGTGTGTAGTGGGAAAGAGGACGTGGAAGGAGAGGGTATAGAAGGTAGAGCAAGACGAGAAGGAGAAGAATGTTGAGCGGATTGGAAAAGCCTTGAAGGATGTGAATGGCCTGGCGTTGGAAAAGAGCGTGACATCGTCAATGGAGCGCTATAATCAGCTCTGCCTCGTCGCTTTTGCACTGTCCAATGTCTATGTATATTTGAACGATTGGGCTGTTCTTGCGAACTGTACTGCTTGCATGGTACAAAGCCAACCGGCCTACCTCCACATCTGTTCAGAGACTCACCCAGTCTATCCAGCTTGGTGACGCTTTCGCAGCAGCTCCTCCGAATAGGCCCATGATAGCAGCAAGTCGCCAGCACGCCGTAGCAGTCGATGTTGAAAGGTTTGGTGAGACAGACTTGTTGGCTTTGGGGAGGAGGTAGAAGGGAAGCTGAGCGTGCAGCGCAGTGTCTGTTCAATGCAGGCAGGTGCTACCTACCATCAGCAATCATGTATGCGGGATCAAACCCGCCATTACCTGAATTCGTGAAAGGCCTGTGCGGCGTGCCGCTAGCACTACGCAGCACGCGTGCTTTGGATTTTCTCGCGCGACAAATATTGATATGATTGACGTCCACGTGACCGAAATTTTCGGTCCCCAGATCAAATCTTGTGGATTAAGTCAAATCTTGAATGACGGAATCAGCAGAAGAATTCCATGTCGATATGAGGAGGTCACGATTGTACTCTACTACTACCACTAGTCCTACGACTACTACTGCTACCATTCCTTGTGACTTTTCTAGCCATACGTCTGTGATTCGTGATTCACATTCGCATTGCCCGCAACACTTGCGGTCCTCGATTCTACGCTCGCCTGCTGCAGCCGCAAGGATGGCGCGCAAGGGATCCAGGGGTAAAAGCAGCGCCAGCGCTTCGGCGTCGCTAGGCGGTGGCACAAGCGCCAGCGCAAGCGTGCCTCGATGGCAAACATCAGAAGATGTACCGATGGATGAGGTGGATGCCTTTCAAGCTTCGAGGGATCGCATTCTCCTCGACGACGAAGAAAGTGACGATGACGAGGTGGATTTGGGAGGTGGTAGAACCGTGCTCGATGTTGGTGCCGATGAGGAGGATGACGAGGATGAGGACGAGGAGGGGTACAAGGGTGAGGAGGAGGACGACGAAGAGGTGGTCATGGCCCGCAGTGGTGCTGTAAAGGGTGACAAAGCGCGACCTCAAAGCAACACGCACGCACAAAGAGAAGACTCGGACGCATCCTCAGAAGCGTCTCTACAGGAAGAGACCGGTTGGGGTCCTCACAAGGCAGCCTACTACGATATGTCTCGTCCCGACGCCGACGATTCGGACTCGGAATTGGATCCTGAAGAAGCCAGAGAGCTGCAGTTGAAAGAAGCAAAGAATTTGCAACTGAAAGCGAGGGCAAACCTACTGGATGAAGACTTTGGAGTTGGAGAGCAGGATTGGCAAAACTTCAAGGGGGCAGGTGGACTGTTGGGCATGAACAGAGCTGCCAGGGAAAAGAGGAGGCAGGAACTGGATGATAACGCGAGTCACTCCACCGAAAGGTGAGCTACACGACCCAGAATGTGATCCTCTCGCCACTCGAGCAGAAAGATTGTCGCATCGTTGCTTGTGCTCACCACCTCCCTCGATCCACCTGTGTCCGCAACGGAAGCGGCAGAACGCAAGCAAATACAACCGCAACTATGACAGTCGATACCCCCTTACCTACGGACAAGCATGCTCTGCACTTGCTTTTAGCCAAAGTGCAAAGGGAGACCCCGGAGACGATTGCTCTGATTGGAGACTATGCCGACTGCGTGGACCAATTAAGTGAAGTCCAGGCGGCAATGCACGCGTGAGTTTTGAGCTGGTGCGAGAGGCGTCCAGCCTTGTGCTGTAACTCGAGCTGATGGGAACCCGCTTTATGGGGGATGCTTCCTGCTTTCTTCGGGACACCAGAGCGGAGCAGCAATTGCCAAAGAAGGATCCTAGTCTGGCGCTCATGCACATCCATCATCGTGAGTGTTCAGCGCTGCTAGAATCATTTGATGTGTGGGAATGATCGCACTGACTGCATATCGTCACTCGCGGGATACTCGGTCCTTCCGCCACAAAAGAGACACTCTTGACGTACTTGACGACTTTAGCATTCTACTTCCAGCTGCGCTCCAGCACAGCGTACGCCTCGGGTTCAAGATCCACCAGCTTGACGTCGCATCCGATCATCCAACGTCTCGTCTCCCTAAAGAGGGGTCTAGCGACGCTTGAAGAAGCGGGAGCCAGCGCAGCTGCTTCAGAATCGGAGGAGGAGAGCGAGGGAGAGATGGAGCCTGCGGAGAGAGAATGGCTGGAGAAGATGATCAGCAAGGGCCAGGATGTTGGACGTGGCGTTCCGGGCGAGGATGAGGAGAGCTTGGGTGAACTTGACGAGGACGAATTGGAACAGCTGAAGAATGAGCAGGTTGAAGCCAAGAGTGGACGTGCCAATGGCGCGACGAAGCAGACGAAGAAAGAGGCGCCCGGCAAAAAGTCTAAAGCTGCCAAAGGCGCTGGCAGCAAAGGTGATCGGGGTGCCAAGGTCAATGGTAAAGAGCAAACGGCTGGTAGCAAGAAGAAGAAACCGGCTACTGCGCTTGCTTCATCCGAAAGCCCCTTGGCCGCTCTCGAGTCGCTTGCCTCTGCCGACGCTCATCTCTCTGAGGCTCTTGCAGCTGCCTCTTCCCAGGCCAAGTCCAGCTCCAAGAAACAAAGCTCAAGCAAAGCACGGTCAACTTCTGTCGACGATTTTGGAGATCCGTTGGAGTTGGACGCTGGCGATGCGGCAGACAAGGCCAGCAAAAGGAGAAGCTTGCAATTCCACACAGGACAGATTAGGTCCAAAGAGGCCAGAAGAGGAGAAGCTGCTCGGAAGGCGCTTGGTGGAGACGCGGACATACCATACAGGGACAGAGAGAGGAGCCGATTGGCAGTGGAAAAGGCTAATGCGGCCAGAGATGCCAAGCTTGCTGAGCAGGCCAGAGGCGGCAGAGGCACGCAGCTGGACGATGAAGATGGCTTTGGGGAAGAGGACCTGCGGGACTGGAAGGATGTGATGGGCGTGCAGCCGCAGGAACAGGATGGCGAAGATGACTATTACGATTTGATCGTCGGCGGCAAGAAGGAGGCCAAGAGGGTCCGGAGGGAGGGGTACGAAGCCGAGAGAGAAGAGCAGAGGTGAGTTCACCGCTTTTTTTACAAGCCGTTTCTTTTGCGCTTCTTTTCACTCGCACAGCTACGCTTACATGCCTGGCACTTTTCCCGGTTCGCAGAGCACTCGAGGCGGCCCTGGAAACGTCTTCGGGCGATGCTCATCGCTCCATCACTCGGCAAATCGAAAAGAATGCAGGCTTATCGGCTAAAAAGGGACCCAAGTCCATCCGGAATCCCAGAGTCAAGCAGAGAAAGAGGTTCGACAAGGCTAGCAAAAAGTTGGCCAGTCAGAGAGCCGTTTATAAGGGTCCAAAGGATAATCATTATCAAGGAGAAGCGAGCGGTATTTCCAATGCGATCAAGAGTCGGAGCTTTGGCTAGGAGAGCCTTGTGGACGCTCCAGTGCGCTATTGCTGCGAGCATGCATCACTCGTGCGCCTCTTTCAATCCATGCGACCCTCACGGGGCTTTGATCTCACACGCGCCCCGTGGCATACTGCTGATCGTCAATCGTCACGCGTCAAGCAGAGGCTTTTACAAATTGAGCGTCCTGTTTGAGCCTCTGAAGCACTCACGACTCGAGCTCTGCTCTTCATCTTCGAGTGACATTCCGTTGAACGCTTAACATTGTTTTGTAGTACAGGTGTGATCTGTTGGGGAAGAGTACATGCTTGAAAGGGCGATGGAAGTACAATGAAAGTGGACGTCTTGCGGGCAGCACGTCTCCGCGCACCCGAGTCTTGACTGTCCAGTCCGTATCAAGGGATCTCGCAAAGAGACACGAAAGGAGAGTCTGGTGCAGTAAGCTCTGCTGACGTGTGCTTTGAGCTACCCTGCGCCACGTGGATGGCAGGTCTTACCTGAAAGATCGGATCGACGTGCATGATTGAGCTGGAAGCAGAGGGTGTTTCACCTCAGAGGTCTGAGAGGTCGCCACCATCCATCGAAGTCCTTGGGCGGTATCAGATCCGCATCGACCTGGGACTGGCGATCGCTCGCATCTCGAGGCTTGAGCCAGCGTGGTGCAAACGCCTCCTCATTTGATACTACGTAGGCTCGCGAAGAGGTGCTCAAGTGATGATCGTGGGCGGGAGTGAAGCACAAGGACTGCGAATGCTCGTGCGATGATGCTGCGAACGCTGGAGATTCCGAGTCCATGCGGAGCCTGTGCTCGTCCTGCTCTTCGAGGGGCGATATGTCCTCGAGCAGAAGAGCCTCGTCTCGTTCCACGATCCACCTCGAGCAGCTGGCGCAGGCGCAATCTGCTATTGGGTCATGAGCCGCATCAGGGGATGCGTCGTGCTCCGGCAGTGACATGGAAGGTGAGCTAGATCTGCTGACGTGTTGGCTCGGGTACTGATCTACGTCCTCCTGGTCGAAATGGACATTGTGATCGCGATCGCGCAACATCGATGTGAAAGGCAAATGCAGTTGTTCAATCTCCTCGTCTTCGGGACGATACGAGCTATGCTCAGAAGGTGTCTGCCTAGATTCGACGTCGTGAACCCGGGGTAGCAGGGGAGGCAAAGGGAGCGGCGATGTTTGCACAGCCACGTCTACACCCTCCATAAAGAAGGACACGTCACTGAGCTGATGATCTTGCAAGTCCGAGACAGGAGGCATCCTCGCTGCGTCGCGGGTTTCCAATTGTTCCCTTTCGCAAGCAAGCAGCAGCCTGTCGAGCGAGCTTACCGAGCCTTCGTCTGCAGATCCAGGCTGGGCATTCCTGCCCTCCACAAACAAAGGTGGAGGTTGAAGCGATCGAGCCAGGTCCTCGAGCCCACCGAGCCCTTGTCCATCGATGTTGTCTAGGGGCCGAAGTAGCGGCCTAGCTTGAATTCGCTGTCCGTTTGCAGGGTCTGCGGTAGCATTGCGCAGCTCGTGATGCAGGTCAAGCCGCGAATGAGCGGCTCTCCAGGCGTTTTTCGGTCCAAGAGCAAAAGGTCCAAACGCAAGAGGTGCATTGTGCTGGGAGATCGAAGCGTGCTCTGGCGAAGGAGGAATGAAGGGCGGCGGCAGCACCTCCTCGCCGGGCTGAAGATGGCGCAAAGGTGCTGCCGGCGAGGAAGGCCTGTCTTCCGAGTGGTGACTGTTGCTGTGAAGCTCCCCATTCTCAAACGAAGCAGTGCGGCGTAATGGCACCTTATCGATTGTCACTGGCGGGACTTTGCAACATGCGGGTGCATCCTCACTCTCTTTCTCACTGCTCTCTCCAGACTCGCCGACGTAAGGTGCTTTGTCCATGCCTGCCCCGACTACCGATCTGGACGCTCGGCTGTACGTCTTGAATCGGCGCGACCCGCTTTCGCGTAGCATTTCTTGCTGTTTGAGTACGAAAAGAGCTTGTCGAGCTTCTTCTTCGTCATTCTTTAAGCGCATCGGATAGCTTTGGGCGCTTTTTTCTGGCCTTGATGCGTCACCTTTGGCCTTCCGTTGAGCAGTTACGCCCTCCTGGTCCTCACTGTGGTCTGAAATGCTGTCAGACTTGGCGCGCGTGTGAATCCGCTGCTTTCTGAGGGCCAAAGAGTACGCCGAGTGCTGCTGCGAGTCAGCAGTGAGCTCCGACTCTTCCGAAAGCAGGTCGTCCGCCTTTCGCATCTGCTGGTCCTGTCTGCTGTCCTCGGCCTCCGATGTTGCGCAGCCAGGGGACGACAGTTGTCTCGCATGCGTATGCTTCCCGGGCGCAGCCTGCGACTTTCGCATCTCTCTTTGTTGAGACCTTTCAGCCCTGTCGTTTATGAGGTCGATTTGCCGTGCTCGACGATTGCCCGCCAGAAAGTGAGACTCGACGAAGCAGAGATCCGTCGGAGCGCTTCGTGAGCCCCTTGCTCTGCGACTGGCTTTGGGTGGACCGGAGCTTACACCGTGATTAAAGAGGCCGAGGCGAGGCTCAACCACCCTTGTCTGAGAGGTAAAGGTGTCAAAGCAGCATCAGCATCTATGATTTGTGCTTGTGAAAGACTAGACCGCTCACAGTCAGACGCCTGTTTGTTCGGCGCGCTGAGGGCAAAGCAGATATCGCAGCAGCATCTGATTTGCGCTTCTTTTGCGATCTGCTTGGCCTGCATTTGTCGTGTGTGATAGACCCACGCTTTTGACCAGCTTGGCCCAACCTCTGCTCTTGCTCTGACGAAGAAGGCGTGTCCTGACTTGTATGGTGTGCGTTTTCGTTTCGACGTCGACGCTGATCCTTGTGAGCTCGACGAAGGCGGGTGGCGTGCGGCACAGATCGGTCTATCACTTGCACGGATTTTGGCTTGCGAACCCGCTCGTCTTTGTCGCTGTCTTCTGGCACGACTCCGTGGCGAGCGAGCTTTCGTTCATGCCTCGAGCTTTTGCGCGCTGCGAGACCTGGACCGGAAGGTCAGAGTGGATGGGCACGGGATGAGTTGGAACCAGCCATCGTGTGTCGCAGATGCATTTTTTTTTTAACTCACGAGAGTCAACGTGCGATTCATCAGCCCAGTAGGAAGATGGCAGATGAGCAAGATGCTGCGCAGCTACTTTCCCGGAAGGCAGAGCGGAGATACGCTTCCTCCTCGAGCGGCCTTCATTGGCCAAATTTTGCCCGACTTCCCTCGCTGTTGAGTCTCCTCCTGCTTCCGCAGCAGGCTTGAGCCGCTGCCCAGCGTTGGAGGCGATACCCTCTGGGTGCAAAGAGCGCTTAGGCTCGCCGTCGTGCTGCGTCGCCTTTGCCATTCTCGATACGAAGGGCTTGATTCTTTCGCGCTGCTTTGAACCCTTGTCGACCGTGGCGGGCACGTTACCGGCCTGACTTTCGACCAGTGCAGGGCGCATGGCACTTTCCGGCGCCGGCGTTCCGGTGAACCGATCGTGTACATTGCGAGCTTCTCGTTGCTGTGCAGAGCCGGCATTGGGATCGAAGGAGGAGTTGACCAAAGGGGAGAGGCGCAGGTCGGCGGGTGCGGGTGTCCATCTCTCTTGAGCTACAGCGACAACGTAGGCTCGCGTGTCGCCTGCACTGCCCTTTGGAACTTGAGCAAGCGCTGCGGCGGTCAGAGATGTCGTCATGTTGGCGCTGCTGCTACGACCGACTTTCTACGCGAAAGATCTGTCGACGCCATCGCATTCTGCTACGTCCTGCTCGGCTTGCTCGGCCTCCGTAGGCTCGGACGCTGGCGCTGATCCTTGCCGGACGTGTGTAGACTTCAGACTGAAGTTTGAGTGATTCCTCGTCTCAAGCTCCGGCCAAGGTTGAATGTTCCGCAGCTGTGGCGGTCGTGAGGCGGCACAAGGAGCTGCAATTGAATCTGGTCTTCACTCGTGAGTGCTACAATTGAATCAAGGATCTGAATCATTGAATGTGTACAAGCTGGGCGATGGTGTAATGTGAATTTGATAACATCAATCCGTGGAGCGAGTCCTGGAGGCTTGGCGCACTCAAACTCAATAAGTGTGTGACTGATGAGGCTTTGCATGCCTGCATATACATGTATATGTATGTCCGCTGGACAACGGAGGAGGCGCGCACTCTTGAATACTATTCACTGATTCAGCTTTGACATTCAAGATTCTTGATTCATGCCATTTCTGAGTTCTCTTGTTTTGTTCAAATTGGTGCTCTCCGAGGTCCTCCAGACAAGCATGCAGCGATGCTCGTGACTCGTGACTTGACTCCGTGCAGACTCAACTCTGACTCCAGGGGCTCAAGGACTTCGACCCATCCAAATCCTGATCACGTGGTTCAATTTCGCATGAAACCGGCGCACCCTTGACAAAGGGTCTATGCTGTAGCTCGGCATGATGCTTCACCACCTCATCGTTCCATGCATGACCTACGCGTTTGGGCCTCGATCACGGATCATGAAGAAAGGACGAGGATCAAATGATGTCAAGAAACAAATGACTTTGACAATAAGCGATTCATGTATAGCGATCGAAGCAGCGGCCCGCCGGGCTTATCAGGTCCACGGAGACGCGGATGCAACGAGAAGGCGGCGAAAAGGGGCCCGAGCCATGAAGCATCAGATCGATGCTGGCTGCGCGAGGGCGCCATGCTTGTCGTCTGTCGCACCTTGCTACGCGCTCAACTGAGCAGTCGACCACGAGTCAAGAGTGACTGTCCTCACATCAAGCTAGAGTCGATCGTGCCATGGATGTGAGCAGTCACGAGTGAGTCAGGTTGATCGGTTACTGCATGCTGTGACTGCTGGTCAGCTGCTGCCTTGCTGGGAGCCCGGGCCTGGATCCGTACTTCTATGGGAGGGCGGCAAAAGTGCGGGCCCTCAGCAGCCAACAGGTAAGGTCACCGCTACGGCGTACGTACTGCACAGTAAACGAGATGCGTGGCTGCTCACACTGCATGGTACAAGCAAGAGCTCAATTCAAGATTAAAGAGTCACGAGTGCCGGGCCGCCTCTTGGTGCTGTCTTGTCGCACACGTATTCTCGTCTGATGAGTCCAGTCTGGGTGGCATCAGGCTCAGTCACTCAGTCTTCCTCGTGGCTGGACAGACTTCACGATTCGTGACTGCGCTGCTGCTCAACAGCAAAGCGCAGGTTTAAAAGACATGCCTCTCCGCCTCGCTCGCTACCCGTGCGACTTCCATCTATACGAGCGAAGGATCGTGAAAGGTCTGCTCGCTTTGTTGCTCTTTCCTGTCCAGGCTTCAAGCCACACCAAGCTGTTCTCCCTTTTGCCCGAAGCCGCATCGAGAGCCAGTCGCGTTCCTCGGTCCTTCCCTCACCTGTAAGCCGTCGGCCCCTTATGTATGCTCCCTTCCTACCACAGCAGGTCAAGCGTAGTGCAAAGGTAAGGCGAGGTGTCAGTCAAGAGGTGAGATTCGTGTTCCAGCACATCCCGTTGCCATCAGACCTGTTCTCTAGTCGACACGTCATAGGTATTGCACCGCCCTCTCATCCACTATGGCAAAGAAGAAAAAGTCAAGCACGATCCCTTCCATGATGGACCCCGCTGCTATTTCAACAGCGGCAGCAGCGGCCAATGGACTTTCTACGGAAGCCAGCTTGCACAAGTTGTGGGAGTTTGTCGTACGTCAAGCGGAATCTCTCCACGAGATGGGTCAGCATTTGCAGAATGAAAGTCGACAGCCGGCCTCCTCGAGCTCCCAAGCCGCTTCCGGACCCACGATGAGCTCGACCAACCCCTCATCTTCTGGCGATGTTCGAGACTTTGAAGTCACCATCAACAGCATCCTGTCTCGATGCACCAGTCTAGAACAGCGCACGTCTAGTCTAGATCAGACCAGCTTCGAACTTCCTAAGCGACTGAGAATCCTCGAGGAAACGATAAACAGCTTGCAACGTACGAACACCGAGAATACGCAAGAGATCATCGAGCTTAGGCAAAAGCTTGCTGACGCTCATAAGATCAACACCGATACACGAGAAAAGGTTCAAAAGCTGATGGTGCTCGAGCTCCGACACCGAGCGCAAGCCAGCGTCAGGCGCCCGACTGATGGTGCTCCATCGGCTATGCACCAGGCTGCGTCGACCTCTTCCGTCACCGTGCCGCAACCATCACTCCTCAACCCGGCCCCGCCGGCCGACGAGGGTCAGAGCAAGGCAGACGAGGCGAGAGCATCGCCCTCCTCCGCCCCTGCTACTCACGCAGCTCAGCAGCCAAGTGCTTCAACCAGCGAAGGACCCGTCCAAATTCTTTCACGCGCATCGCAGACAGTGGCAGCTCCAAGCCTTTCTTCATTCACACCGTCTGCTCCTTGTGCTTCGGGACACACGAAGACAGCCCCCACGAGCCCTTCTGCGGCACCGCACTTGAGCTCGAGCGACTCTAGCAACATTGAAGCTATGACTGGTCAATCTGCCGGACAGTGGTCCATTCCTTCAGCAATGCGGGTCCCTGTCGTCGGTAGCACCGTAAATTCCTGTCCTCACACCGGTGCTACGCAATCTGCAGCACCCGGCAACGGTGCGCAGGCCAGTGGTGTGCAGGATTCTCAGCAGGTCGCTGACTCATCTGGGAATTCTAGGCGCGCTTTAACCTCCTCAAATCGCTTAGACACGTCTTCAAATTCGATCCCATCCCAACGACGGCCAGCTACCAGCTCTTTGTACACCTCTGTATCCAAGTCCCAGGGTACTCATTCGGCCCACTCTGGCGTGGGAGTCCAAGGACACAACAGCGCGACGTCCACAGCGGAATTGCCTCTGCCATCGGCTATGCCTCCTCGTTCCATCGAGGCGGCTGTAAGGGAGCCCCAGACTCTGTTGTCTCCTCCATCAGTGCGCTCTGCGGCTTCCACCTCCACCGCAGTCTCGAACTCGCACACTGTTCCATCGTGTACCGTCCCAGCCCCGACTCCACCAGCAACCTCCGCCTCTGTTGCGCCATCAGCACCACTCCCCGCTCCTGTTCGTCCGACGCAGTACGCTCGCGTCAAGCCGGAGCCCCTGGATGTCGATGAAGAGGAGATCACCTTTGTTTCTGCAACCAATTCCACCAAGAAAGGGCGAGCAGCGCAAGCTGCTCTACGGGTGAAGCCGGAAGTGCATGCGCAGGTCCCTCCGACGAACAGGACTACTCACGGGCCCCCGAATCAGTGTGCTGTCTCGTCGATGTCAACTTCGGCAGCGATACTTCACGATGAGCTTGGAGCTTTGTGTCCAGCAAGCCACGTCAACGTCTCGCAGCAAGACAGTGCTTCAGCTGCTCACCGTGTCCCGCAGCCGGTGTCGGTGGCTGGTGCCTCATCACCCACATCTCTGGTCAGTCAACCGTCTGGGGCGCCAGGAGGCCAGCAATCGCCAGTAGACCAAGCGTCGGCTAGGGCTGCTATGCCAACCCTCCCGCAAGCTGCTCCTCTGGCAGCTCCGCAAGAGCAACGAGCCCTTGCCAGCAGACTCGGTATCGTGTCATTCGACGACTCTGCCTTCGTTGCGCCCTCTGCTTCTCCTTCTGGCACGAGGACGACGCAGGTCAATACCGGACAAGGCGTGCAAGGTGAAGCTTCGGCCATTTCAGCAGTCGCCAAAGGGAAAGAGCGCATTCCACTCGCTAAAAACAGAGAATCGGACCGTCTTGCGAATGTCAGCAGTGCTACCTCAGCACAAAACGCGCTCAGGCCCAAGACACCCACCGGCCCCAGCCCTTCAGTGACTCCATGCGCAATCAGAGCTAGATCCGACGTCCAAATCAGCACGCTGCCACCCTCTGCTCAAGCATCGGCTAGACTAGCCAAGAGGAATCCCGGCGTTCTCTGGGCAAATGCGTTGATTCGTGGCAGCATTTGGCGCGTCGGCTTCGATCCCAAGATGTCGACCGAAGGTCGCATTGGACACCGAGCTGCTTGCGCCATAGACACAGGTCTGCCTTCCGACCTACCCAGAGGCTCTCGGGGCGTGACGCTCACCTTGAAATTCGCCGACTTCGAAAGGCTGGACACGCTCCGCGGTGCATCGACTGCCGCGCTCAAAGTGAACTTCATTGTAGATTTGAATATGGATCCTCAACTCATCTTGCTGGGCTTCAGACACAAGCAGAGGCTCATCATCGCGAACGGTGGTAAGCTTTTCAATCTGCAGACCGCGCAAAATATCACGGTACCATTTGCAGACCCGTACGCCGGAGTGCCTATCCTCGAGGGTGACATGCAGCCCCCAAAAATGGCCCCTGCCACCGGCGAACATCTGCATCAAGACTCGTTGGGTGGCCTCAACAACACGTCAAATCCGTCTTGGAGTTCGCGCAATGCTTCGGTGCACTCTTCTACGCGCGATCTTGACGCACAGCTAGACCGCTACAATGGAGCTAGGGGTCGCGGTCATCAAGAGGATCATGTGGAGCGCCCGGAGCCTTGGTCTCCTTCCTCGCATCGTCCTGGACGGATTAATGACTTACCGATCGCCCCGAGCGCCCAAGCTTACGCGATGCCTTCGGCAAGTCAGACGCGTAGATCCCGTCAACCAGAGCAGATGCGGCTCAGTGTGCTCGGCACAGGCGACCCTGGCAGCTATCATCCCGTTCAAGGCCTTGCGCCGCCATCTAGCACATTTGCACAGGATGCCGCGGACGAATACCAGATCGGCATCGCCTTTGGCCCAACAGATGACCAGCTACAAAGTCCCGGCAACACCGAAGCCTCCGAAAGCAACACCGTCAGCTCGCGCGGAGCAATCGATGAGAGGCAAAGCAAAGCCGCTGCTTCCAGTCGACCTCGCACATCTTCCCCTGTCATCAACAAGAGAGCAGCTGCCGCTGGCCCGCTATCTGGTCGCATCTTTGACGCGCCGCTTCCTACTTTGGAAGGTCGAATGGCGCATAGCACCTCGCGCTGGGATCAGCAGGAACCTTCCAAACGTCGCAAAGTCACGAATGAATGAGCCGAGCGTCTACAGAACCGCTAGACGTCCAGAAGCGTCCAAGCGAAAAGGTATCCGGACGTGTACTTGACTGAGATTGTCTGACTTACTTCTGCGCAGGCGTCACCTCTCTTTGTGTAATTCCCACACCGTCCGGCATCGCCGCTTTAGGCTACAAGTACAAGGCGTAATCACATTGTCGAGAAACCGTTTTGGATGATTCGCTGAGCGACAAGCGTAAATCCAAAAAGACTGAGTGACCTGGGCCTGACTACGCCGAATTTTGCGGTTCAGGAGCCTCTCTTCGAGGACAGGAGACTGCTTCCATTAGGCTTTCCTCGTGCTGCTGATTCGCCAGCCAGCTTTTGACGCGCTGACCGAACAGCTTTCAAGCGATCTAGGCGCGCGCGAAGTGCTGTCACTCTGTTGTTGGGAGGAGAGGGGCGGATCAACGACGAAAGAAGAGGTGAGCGAAGAGGGAGAGGAGGGATACGTGTCGAGCCTGCGGCTGATTGAACAGTGAGCTTGACCTCGGACCCCTTGCGATGGACAACCTTGGGGCATTGTTCTCTGCTACTCGAGCCAGTATACTTGCGGCCATCTCTAAGGGCAGCACAGACGTCTCTTCGCCGCCTGTACATTTGCACGAGCCAACAAGACATCTGCGGAACGTAATGTGACTCACCTCTCGTCGGCTTCATCCTGCAGCCTCTGTTCCTCCTCCATTCTTGCGTAAATCTCCTCTTTTGCCTCCTTGTCCAGCCTTTCCCTTTTCTCGTCCTCCGTCTCCACCGCACCGGCCTCTTCAATTTCTTCAGGCTGCTGCGCTTGCTCGCTCTGCGAGGGCACGGATCCATTCTGGCTGCGAAGGACAGGAGCTACTTCGATGGTCGAGTCGACGTACTTCGCCACTCCACTTTCGGAGGTGGAGGGAGCATTGAGCACTTCCGCCTGAAATCTGGCCCATTCGCCGTCCTCCTCCATACGATGTTCGTCATGCGAGCTGTGTGTTGTTCTTTGCCTTTTGCTCTCTGATGCATCGGACCTCCCTGCAATTCCCAAAAGCGAAGATTCGGGCTCCAACTCCTCTGCTGTTCGCTTCCTGTCCGTCTCTATGCCAGCAGCCGCATCATGAACAAGCTCACTTCGAGCCTCATTGGCCGCTCTCTGCTCTTCAGCCTCTCTTAGCTCAGCTTTCACCCTCGTCACGTTTCCTCTGTGACTCTTGCTGGATGCGTGAGAGGACCAAAGCGCTTCGTGCTTGATACTGGCATCGCAAGCTTTGCATCGCAATGCGCGATTTCTGCCTACATACACCGCGTAAGGATCCGAGATGCCCGACACCGAGCTGCTGGCAGAAGATTTCTCGGAAGCAGAGGCAGCATGGACGTTGGTGGATCCAGAGGGTGCGGCCGAGGAGCTGCTCTGCGCAGAAGCTGCTGCTGCCGCCGCTCGTGCTCGCAGAAGCGCTCGTGCGTCGGGTGCCATCCTAACCACCAGAAGAAGGTAGGCGCGCCCTTGAGAGCCAGGCTGTCGGGTGATCGAGTTTGGGACGAGTGAAAATAGCGCGTCCGGGAGTGGTAAGCGCAGATCGAAGCGCTTCGGACCCTGCTTTGCGATGATCGATGTCCGACTTGAAGACAGCTGTGACTGGCAAATCGTGACTGACACGCGTATTGCTCACGAGCAGCGGGGCAAGCGGATGAGTGGTCACCGAACACCCAACGGTAGACTGCACGAGCAAGCGAGTCGTGGATGAGAAGATGCGGCTGATGTTGGGTGAAGGACAGGGAGCCAAACGATGAAATGGGCCACCTACACCCATAACTCGTGACTTGTGTACGTTGGCGAATCAAGAGCAGTCAGGAGGAGTACGGTGAGTCCCTGACCTGCAGGTGCAAGCGTCCAAATCCTGCGTCACGTGCGTGCTATTCGCCCCCTTCGATCTCGCCGCGCGAGCGCGAGGGCCGCTTCATGGCGGGCGCGAGTTGAGAAATCTCGTTCGTGCTCTGCCAAAACTCACCAGACTTTTGTGCGCACACGCATACACTCGTGCCTCGCAACGCAAGACTCATCACTCAAGACTGCCACTTGCGACTGAGAAGCGACCCATTCTCAATCACCTTCGCGCAGGCCTACCTGCATCCTCACGATCTTGCGCAAAGTCTGGCTTTCTTCTGTCGAGCAGTACCAGCAGCGTCTCCTTGAGCGGTCTGACCGTCCTTTTCGCCAATACGCCTACACGGCCTTTCGCCAGTCGGTGAGTGTACAACAGACAGCCTTTTGAGGACATCCTCGGACAGACTTGCGTTGCACTTGCTGAGTTCTGACCCCATTTTCCAAAGAGGCAAGACAACTCTCGCGAAGGTTTCGCAGCTCACAATGATAGCTCGAGGTCGCGCTGCCGTGCTCTTATTGGCTCGTCGATGCGCCTGCGGTTCGACTTCAGCCCAGTCCTCCCAGCTCTCGAGCGTCGCATCTGCCAAGCCTACCACGGCCCACCTCTCTCGCTTCTTCTCACAATTATCGCTTACTAGGCCTGCACATAACGAGACCCTTCCAAGCGCGCGACCAAGCGGCAGCAAGCCTCAACTTTCGCAGCTTAGGTGTAATTCTTCTGAGGCTGGAAGTCGAGAACAAGGGTCTGTAGAGCAGAGCGACGAGGATACTTCGACTGCCCAATCCGATGCGCTCGCTCAGCAGCAAGGCGCAATAGACGAAGAGGTGTCAGCGACGACAGGTTCCGGGGGCGCAACCGCTCGGCCCATTGCTATGCCAGGTGCTTCTACATTCTCCGATGGGCAAGGATCATCCGACGATGTCTCGTCATCGCAAGAAAGCTCAACACCTGCCTACTCTTCGCCATTCTTGTCTCCGGAGCAAATCTCTCAACAGCGAGCTGCAGCTGCGACACCTCGACATTACTCGATGCCCGGAACGTCTGAGCACGCCTCATCTGCCACACCTACTCGCATTCGACAACCCTTCCCTCTGTGGGTGGTGACGACAGGGCACGGCAACACCAAATTGACCCTGACTCGTCCAAACGGATCGCCCCTGACCTGGACATCGGGCGGCTCTGCCGGATTCAAGAAATCCCAGAGGAGCGGCTACGAAGCGGGGTACAGAGCGAGCACAAAGATGTTTGCCTTGATCGGAAAGAACAGGAACAAGTGGGCAGTGGATAGCGTTGAGATCGTGTTCAAGGGAATATCGGGAACGGGCAGAGACGCTTTCAGTAGAGCGTTGTTGAGTCAGGAAGGTGCGATGGTCAGACGACTGGCCAAGAGCGTGAGGGACGCTACACCACTCAAGATCGGAGGAGTGAGGCCCAAAAAGCAAAGAAGTGAGTGAAAATCGTCGCGCTCTGTCGTGGAAGCGCAGCGCTGTGCTAGGCATGAGCACGCACATGTCTTGCGCATGCATACAAGCCACTTGGTCCGCTTGAACAAGAGGGGTGGAGTTTTGGTATCTCGCTACGAATACAGCGTACAAAGTGCATACTGTGTACGATTCTTCACTGACTCTTCGCTTGCCCCTTCTGCGCGCCTTGACAGACTATTAAGCGCCATGACCTCCGTCGGAAATGTGCACTAGATCGGAATGTCATGCTGCAATGGGCTGCTGATGGCCTTGATAAACCTCGAGCGAGCTCCGGTCGCGTGCTCGTGGCTGACGCGGACCCAGCTTTTCGACAACGCTGTCTGGGCTCGGCGCGCGCTGCTGTCAATCCAAATCGTGCGCACATAGCTCCTGCCTTGTACCACCGGATTTAGACAGGGGGTGTGTGCCTTGAACATCCACAATCAGCACCCCTCGGCTTGAAGCGCAACGCCACGTTTCGAAGAAGAATTCATTGTCTGATGCGAATTTCAGTGGTGAATCTGGTGTGTGCCGCCTTTGATTCATGATTCTTCTAGCCCGAGTGACAGTCACGTGATGCCAGAGTGCGCACGGTCTTCGTAACGACGCGTCACACGCTTTTGGGGTCAGACGACCTGCGGGACTCCTTACTTGCCCTAGGAGGCCATAGACCTTTTGACTTGCTCTTTCGCAGCCTCCATTTGCTCTCCATCACCTTAGTTGGCGGCCAAATCAGACCTCGGACGCTAGGTAATTTAAGCCTGACTCCTCTCATAGAGCACAGCTTCAGCTCGCGTCCGCCAGCACATCACACAGAAAGGTGCCAAAGCTCTTCTCATCTCATCCAAGCAAGCAGCCATTCGTCGAGCGGGAAGACTCGCTCGACTTGTACTGCCCAAGACGTCGAGCAGCGCTATACAAAAGCGCCGTCTGAGCGAGGCACCGGTGAACATAGCCAATCCGATTGGGCCCGAAGCGAAAAGAGGTAGAAAGATGCCTAGCGCACAACCCACTTTAGAAGCTGCCGATGCGGCCATAGCAGCTGGAAGGGAGTCCGAGGCGGAGGACATTCTGCGCCAAATCTTGGCTCAGGGTGTCCAGCATGACTCGGATGCCATGGCTACTAGCGCAGCCACACCAGCTGCTTCGCAATTGGACCAGGATACGGCCAGGACTCAGGAGGCGGCGCTCAACAAATTGGCAAGTCTGTACGCCCAACAGAAACAATCTCAGAAGCTGGCCAGCTTAGTGAAGGATAGCAGACTCTTCATGACCAGGCTTCCAAAGGCTAGGACTGCCAAGCTCAGTGAGTGACTCGCCATACCTAGAGAACCATTCAGAAAGGGCCACCCCGACTGATTGCACACACCTCTCTCCTCACAAAAGTTCGCTCTTTGATCGATAAGTTTGACGCTATTCCGGATGCCAAGGAGACACAAGTGGAGGTGACGAAGGAGAACATCGAGTGGGCGAGGGAAGAGAGACGAGTGTTCCTGCGCCAAAGTCTGGAGACGAGACTCATAGGACTGTGAGTCAGCCACATCGATGCGCTATGCCAAGCTCGTTGCTGAGTTCAGCGCCTTGTCTCTGCTTCGAATTAGGTACTTTGACCTGACTCAGTACAGAGATGCGCTGCCCCTTATCGATTCACTGCTGAAGGAGCTCAAGAGGCTGGACGACAAGATGGTCCTCACAGAGGTACACTTGCTAGAGAGCAGAGTTTTGCACGCGCTGAAAAACTTGCCGAGGTCAAAGGTGAGCAGATTCGCCTTGTGGCAGATATGTGCGATGATGATTGTCAATGACAGGAAATGTCTTTTACGTGCTTGCCCTTTGGCAAACAGGCTGCCCTCACCTCTGCGAGAACAGCTGCGAATGCTATCTACTGCCCTCCGCTTCTGCAAGCGCAGCTGGACATGCAATCGGGAGTGCTGCACGCGGAGGACAAAGACTACACTACCGCGTGAGCATCGCGTGCATGAGATGTGCAGAGGAAGGCTTTACATTTCGCTCATGCTGCTTGTTCTGCCTCCCCAGGTACTCATACTTCTTCGAGACGCTGGAAGGTCTATCAGCAGCCGAGGATTCCCGCGCTCCATTGGCACTCAAGTATATGCTGCTCTGCAAGATCATGCTCAACTCTTCGGACGATGTTAGCGCCCTGGTAGATGGCAAGATGGCTGCCAAATATGCTGGAAGGGATGTGGGAGCTATGAAAGCTGTGGCCACCGCCCACGAGAAACGTGATCTGGGGGCCTTTGAGACAGCGCTGAGGGAGTACAAGGCTGGTAAGTCTAGCATTGGCGCCAGATGGCCAACCTGTTTGGGCTGGCTTGCTCAAGTTGCCAAATGTCGTTGCACATGCAGAGTTGTCAAACGATCCTATCATCCGCAATCATCTTGCGGCGCTGTACGACACGCTGTTGGAACAGAATCTGCTGCGCATCATCGAGCCCTACTCGCGAGTAGAAATCAATCACATTGCGAAGGCGGTGCAGCAGCCTGTTAGGGAGGTGGAGCAAAAGTGAGTCGTCCTGACAGCATTGCGTCCATACTTTAGACGCTGTGATCTCCGGTGGACTGATCCCGTCAACTCTGTGAACCCGATGATCAGACTCAGCCAAATGATCCTGGACAAGGTCTTTAGCGGCATTCTGGACCAAGGTGCGGGATGTCTCGTGGTGTTCGATGATCCCGCTCCTGATGTGAGTAGAGGGCTGCAGAGCGACGACGCTCGAAGTGCAAGCTGACACAGCACGCGCAATGACGTTGCGCGCAGAAAACGTACGAAGCAACGTTGGAGACGCTCAAACATGTGAGCAACGTTGTCGATTCTTTGGCACTCAAGGTGAGTCATGTCGACTTGCTCGCTCCATCATAGGCTCGCTTTGCCCATTCATTCGATGCTCGCTGTTCTCCCCAATCAGGCAAAGTCGCTTTCGTAGAGCGCGACGCTGTACATGAAGGGCGGGGTCTGTGGAAGACTAGACGAAGCCGACTGTCGTTCGTCGCTCCCTCTCTCCCTCGCTACAGCCACTCAATCAACGAAAGTGCAAAGAGAGTGGCAGTGGCACCGTCTCATTGTGATGGATTGAATCGCTGCTTCATCGGATTCTGGCGGTCGACCAGAATGCTCGATGCACGATGAGTCACGTGTCTTGCAAAAGCCAACTCGATCGTGAATCGGGGAGACGAAACGTCGACATGAGCAAGTCGATCAGAGTCACAACAGTTGCTTTTGCCTCGGGACCATTTTTTATTATGAGGTCAGAACTATGACGGTTGAAATTTGCCGAGATGCCGAGCCTTTGGTGGCTTGCCATTCTTGAGCTCCGACGCATCAGCAGCAGCAGCTGCTGCTGCTGCTAGAAAGCAGCGTCTAAGGCAGGCATGCACTTGATTAAGAGAAGCGTACGTGATTCGATTCAAGATTCTTTGATCGAATCGCTCGCGCTCGTGACTCTCCTCGCGACTGTAGCTGTTGCGTACGGAGCACCGCGACCGCGGCGCCCTGCCCCTTCAGCTGCGCGGCTGCATGTGTATTCCGGCGCGCGCGCAAACGCAGCGAAAGCGGCTGCTGCTGGGCGCGGGCAGGGTGCAGAGGGGAGGGACTCTGACTTGACTGCAGCTATATAGGCCTGATGCTGGTGACTTCATCATCGTGCATGCATGGATGCATGCGATCAAGCCACGAAGCCATGCAGCAGCAGCAGAGCTATATAGGTGCTATAGGTGCGTGCGAGAGGCGCGGCGCGGATCTGCTGCGCGTTGTGCATGTACGATGACCGAGCGCGGCGAGAGCGATGTGGGCCGCGCGCAACCTGTTTGGAAAGTCACGAGTCACAAAAAGTGGGATTCACGATTCTGATTCTTGATACTCTTGACTGATGACGATGCTGCTGAATGATGATGATGATGGTGTGGTGGTGATTTATCCGACCTCGGCTAGGCTTCAGTCTCGAGTGCTTCCACCGCAGCTTTGATGACTGGACCTTTGCAATCTTGAATCTGAACGCAACACAGCAACCTAGTCAAGTCACTCTAGATTTCATAATCAGATTGATTCGTAGAAGAGGGTGATCTATGCATGCTCTTTTCGCTTTGCTCTTCGGTCAGGAGAGTCTTTTGGTTTTGCAATCGAGACGTAAAGTGGCACTCGTAAAGTCAGCATCGCGCATGAAGCACAGCTTCGTGGTGAGAGCGAGCGGATGAGCGCAATCAACTAATTCATCGTGCTCGTTGTAACTCGTGTGGCTGCGTCTACCGGTGTGCGCCGAGAAGACTTAGCTCGATCGTGGAGCACTCGATTCGCTTGGCTTTCTTGTCTCTCACTCGTCAGCCTCTTGAGTCTCGAGTGCAATTCGACTGACTTTTTCCATCCACGCAGATTCGATTTCCCATCTTAACGTGATTTGCACGGCTCATCCTCATTCAAACTTACCGCACGCATGCGTCTTGTGGAACATCTTGCTCAAGTCAAGCGTCATTCGTGATTTCTGATTCGGAATTCTTGATTGCATATACTCGCACTCACACCCATCCCCTCAGAAGCAATCAAGCTGCTGCTGCATGGGCAGCTAAGCCGCACAGGCTTTGCGTGGTAGCGAAGAATTATACAAGGCGCTGGCTCATTGTGATTCAAACTGTGAAGCTGGTTGCTGGGAATCCGGATGCTCAGCGCGCGCGCGCGCGCGGACACAGCATATGTGCATGCAGGGTATGAACGTGGCTGTGATGGATGAGGCTCTTGCGCATCAGCGCAGCAGTCTGAGTGAGTCATGGCGCTCGTGACTCAACTCTTGACTGAGTAAGTACCGCTACACTGGCCCCGCCCCCGGCAACCACGCAGGAGGCTTTATAGGCAGCAGCGCTCGCTCAACTCCACACGCGCGCGTACGCAAGCACCGATCGAGCCCGCCCCCCGGCCGCGATTGACCGATCTGTCCCTGCCTGCTCGCCTGCCTGCCTGCCTGCCTGCCTCACCCTGTCGCTCCGTGCAAAGAGAAGGCAGCAGCTGGCTGGGGCTGGTGAGCCGGAAACTCATAAAAGCCAACCCTCTTCGCTCACCCAACTCCTTTCGTTTCCACACCAATCGCACAAGCATAACCAATCCTCAAGTCGTCCATTCTCTACGACGCACACAAGCACGACGTAAATCGCCCACTTGGTGTTTGACACACTCTTGCCAAACCCCCCCCCCCCCCAAGCATAGCACAACATGCCTTTCACTTGCTCTGACAGTGAGTATCGCTCTGCTTCACCTTTTCGCTGTCGCTTGCTTTTGTAGACGAGCTGCCGCTCGGCTCGGCTCGACATGAGGGCGATATAGCCGAAGAGCTGGTGAGGTCTAGTCCTCGCGGAAAGCCTACTCGTCGTAGTTGGCAGATTCCAGGTCATGCGTCGATCTATTTGGGAGGGCCATAGCCTCGTCAAAGGGCAGAAGCGCGCAAAGGTCCTTCCCAAGCTCAAGCACAAAATCGGAGCGCTCAAGGGATCGGTGCCGGTGACTCGGAGTTAGGCCAGCGAGCGCAGAACATTCGGGAATTCCCCTCTCCTCTCCTAATCTCTTGACAGCTTCGACCTGGCCCAACTGACACGCGCATCCTACTTCATCTTTGCCCACTCTTCAATCCTTTGCAGTCCTGAAGATCTTCTTCGCCATCTTCGTCCCGCCTCTTGGTGTCTTCCTTGAGCGAGGATGCGCTGCTGACTTCTGGTGAGTACGTTCGCTAGGTCTCGATGAGAGGGAATGGGTAGCGCTCGATGGAGGAGGCAACATGGCCAGCCAGACAGTTCTCCTCGTCGGCTTTATTCCCAAATGCTGCGCACGTGCGAAGGACAGGAGCTGATGATCACATCGATCTTTCCCTTGTTTTCCATTCACCTCGTCTGCAGGATCAACATCTTGTTGACGTGAGTCATTGACGCGTGCTTCACGATCTGAAGCACGAGGGCTTGCAATGCTGACCATACCCGCTTCGCATCTATCAACAGCATCCTGGGTTACATTCCCGGCATCATTCACGCGCTCTACGTCATCCTCAAGTATTAAGCAAGTCTTGCCAAGGATGAACCGAAGGATGAGCGTACGACTTGCTAGTGTGCGGCAAGAGGTCAAAGATGGACATTTTCTTGGCATGCTACCTCGTCCCGGGCAATCAGCATACCATTCTGCGACTCTCAAGATTCCCCCTCGCACTTGCGGTCAAGCATTAGCTCATGCCCTCGCTGCTTACTTCTGATCGAAATTCGACTTGTTCACGCCCGAATATCATGAATGGCTGTCTCTCTCTCTCTCCTAACGTCGAGGGGTCCCCCAAATGGCGCGAGCGATGGAACGCGAGCGTGAGGATGTGCGCTGGCGTGTAAGCCAGCCTTGCCTGGAGGTTTCTCACGCTTTGAGTCTTGATCATGGCATAGCGCGTCGAGGAGGTGGCAAAGGCGATGTTTCCACTTGCAAGTCACGTGTGTGACTTTGACATCGTTCCACGAGCTTCCGCTCATCGCGATTGTGAATGTCGAGGAGCCACACAGCCCAATGATGCGTGCGCACGTCGTCCTTCAGGCACACGACTAGAGAAAGAGGGCATTCATTAGGGCGCATGCGCATGTCAGAGCACGACGTACAGGAGCAAGAGGGGGAAAAGGAAGCACTCGTGAGTCTTCCTTGGCACGACGAGGGGCGGTGCAGGTGTAGAGGCTTCCATCATCATTCCTCTTCCTCCTCTTCGGCGTCATCATCCGAGCGAATATGCAGCATCGACTCTCCACCATCCTGCTCCCTCTCCTCGGCCTGCCGCTCATCGTGCGCACCGGTATTCGCGACCCATTGCCCCTCCAACCATTGCCTACTGCTACTTCCCAGCACCTTGCAAGCCCTTCTCAAAGTCTCATTGGCACCCGCCAAATCCCTCTTGACATCTCGCTGGTACGTAGCTACGAACAAGAAGGTTTTGGTCCTTTGCGCCGCAGGTTTGTTCAGAGCGTTGCTCAACCTCTGCAAAAGCTTGTCCAAGCTCGCTTTCGAGGCTCGATCCAGAGCTTCGTACGTCTTTGCTGCTGCTGCCGCTGATGATGATGATGGCGAGAGAATGCTCGAGGATGGCGTGTCGAGACCAAATCGAGCCAATGCGCTAGTAAAGAGCTCGTAGAGGATTAAAGAGTTCGAAGGTGCATACATGAGCACTTGATTCGTCTGCTCTGTCAGACTACGTTTGAGTTGCACGCCGCTCGAAAGGTAAGCTTTGGCCAGGAGCAAGAACGACTCTGGGTGACGAGAAGCCTTTCGAAGATCTTCCTATTTTCAGCGTTGGAGCAAGAGGGGCGCGCGTCGGAGAGGGGGCCGAAAAAGTGAGCCATTACAAAATAGTGAGGGGGCAGAAAAATCCCAAGCCTAGCTTGCGCGAGAGATGTTGTCGGATGGACATGCAAGACTCGCCCATGCAAACTCACCTCGAAAGTCTTTCGAAGCGTGTCCCTTTCGACCTTGGAAGCTCCGTCGAGCGCACTTGCCAACCACTCGCATCTCTCCTCGATTAGCTTCGAATCTTCCCACACACGCTCTCCTCCATCCCTAAACACCCTTTCCCATTCTTCACCCACTTTTCGCGCTCCCTTTTCTGGCGCATCTTGGTGCAACGCGCGAACGGACCAAAGTCTGATACGAAGTATACCGAGCAGATCATCTGATGGGAGCTCTGCGCACTTTGTGCTCGAGTTCGTAGCTCTGCAAGCATCGTCGTGCACCCTTTTCCAGCCTGCCAGATCGCCGCTTCGGCTGCCTCGACCGTCGATCATCTCATCCACCTGCACGTCCAATCTTGCCAGTTGCAATTGCGAAATCGGCACCAATCTTTCCGCACTCTTGATCAGTCGACTTGTTGCTGCTCTCAGGTACTTCTTGACCTCCGCGTCCAGCGACTCTCGAGTATCAGCTTCCCCTTTTCCTTTGGTGTTGGTCATGTCGCTACTGGTATTGATGTTGCCGAGAACGAGATGAAAGGCAATGACGCACTTAACCAGCCTGCTCCTGCCCGACGCATCCAGCTGGCCGATCGATTCGCTCGTCAAGATCTTTCTAAAGGCTTCGATGGGTGCTTGAAGCAGTCGAGCAGTCGAAGAGTTCTTTTCCGCTCGAGCAATTTTGAAAGCATAAGCAGAGAGCTGAAGGATGATGAGAGCTGCTCCGTACGTCTCTTGCGGACCTAGCAAACCATGCAGGCCTACTCTTCTCGATACACTGTCCAACAAGAGCAGCTCGGGACTCGCGCCTCCTGTGGATAATGTGCTAGCTCGGCCCAACAATGTCTGTGATGGCTTTTGGCCGTCTGCGGACCACCCTCCCGCTTCTTCCTCTTCGTCCTCTTGCAGCTCCGGAACGAAGGCTTTGTCCAGCAACGTCTCGCTTCCACGCAGCAGCTCGACGATTTCAAGCCTTTCGAACCTGTCCTCCACTGCAGTGCGCAATGCTTCTAGGAGGTGTGTGCGCGGACCGCATTCACCGCTGCTCGAGCTGAGGAAAGGGAACGATCTGAAGAGTAGGTGCAGAGATAGGAGCAGGCGTAGATGCGTTCTTGGTGGAAGAGACGTCGGACTTTCGAGAGCCAAAGCGGCTCGCATGATCGAGATTGGAATGGCGCCTTGCACGATCAAAGCGCCTCCGGACCGGACGTCCGCCGCCGCAGCACTCGCAGCATTCTGAGCAGCGATCACCTGACTGTTGGACTCTTGAGCATCGTCTACCGCAGGTACATCCTTCAGAACCGCCTCTTCCATCTCGGAGTGCCCGCTCTCATCTTGCAGCGTCGTCGCTGCATCAGATGCCTTTTCCTCATCCATGGGGATGCCGAGCACTTTTCTGCGCCTGCGTACCCTCTCCAGAAAGACCAACTCCATTCGGATATACTCGATCCAAAGGCTCAGCACTTGCTCTTCCTCTTTTGAAATATTGGCTTGAGGGAGAAGTGATCGTTGCAACTGCTGCTGCTGTTGCAATTGCGACGGTGTAGATCGATTCGAAGAGGTCCTCTGTCTCTTGTTTGGCCTCTCGATGCCACTCTCGATGCTGGAGAGATGAGGTCTGGCATTGAGTCTGATTGCTCGCTGCAGCAGCGCTCTAGCAGCATTAGGAGCGCCATTGACGTTCAACTGCCAATCCGCACACCTTATCCAAAGTCTGACAGCATTAGGGAACATTGCCAAAGCCCTGGCAATGATTCTGCCGCTGACGATCCTCATTCCTTTTGCCAAACTCCAAGCGATGTACTCTTCCCAAAACATCACATCTCCCCTTAACCTTTTGCAACCGCGTTCGTAGATGTTGATGAGCGTCCTGATCGCATCTGCTCTAGCTTTGGCGCTCTCCTTGACGCTGATGGGTCTGCTCAAACGTTCCTCCCTCAACAAGCGCAGAGATTCGAAATCGGCTTCGAACGCAATGTATCGATGAAAATCTTCGCGAGTCACACCTCGACGAATCAGCGATTGCTCGTGCTTGGATCGAGAAGAGGTGACCTGCTGCAACTCCCACTTGCTGAATTGACCCGTCGACTCCAGCCAGGTGAGCTGGGGCAGAGTACGCTCTAGCGCGTACTGAACTCGCGCGCTACCCATATCTAGCTTCTTCGATTCTGGTTGGTGGGGTGGTGGTGGTGGTGGTGCGTGCTGAGATCGCCGAGAGCTAAGCGCAGCTTGTATCTCCAGCGCAAGAGCGTCAAAGGCAGTGCAATGAGAGCGTGATTGGACGCCTTCGAAATACAGATGGAGCGGTAGATGGACCGACAAAGCAACAGAGCAGTCAGAGTTGCGAGTTCCAAAATCGAGATGTATGGATGACGGCTGCTTGCGCGTTGCCCATTCATCATCTTTGTGTAGACTTTCGCCACGACGTTTGGCATTCCTGCTTCCTGACTTCATGCGAGAAAAATTCAAAATTCCAAGTAAACGGCGCGGCGCACGTGATCGAACGCGTTGAAGACGCTTTGCTCACGATCGGACGCGCCGCGCCACTCGCGGCCCCCCAGCAGCAGGTGCTGTAGGAACAACAGCGCGCCCGCGCAGGGCTATGAGCACTCAAACTCGTGACTCTTGATTGGCATATATGCTGTGATGCACGTGCTGCTGATGCTGTGGGCATGCAACTTCTATTTGATTGCGCGGACGAGCTGTTGGTCAGGCATACGATTCGTGATCCTCTTGCAGTCTACCGACCCTCACCTTATAGCTACGTGACGCCCCTAGACTCGACGATTGGGTCTGCATCTCGATAGCCTGCCGCTGAACGGACCTTTTGCTCCCCCTCATCAAGTCTTACCGCGCCCTTTCTTCACCACAGAGATTCGATCAGCACCAGCCAGAACACTTAGTCGGCGAGGATGTTGATCGAGAGGACACCGCCAAAGAAGCGAGTGGATGCCACTCCTTCACCCGCACCCGCACCCGCACCCGCACCCGCACCCGCACCCGCACCCGCACCCGAATCCGCACCCGCTCCTGCTCCTGCTTTGGGCGAAGCAGGCAGCATGCATACAAGCAGTGCTCAATCTGCCAGCTCGGTGGCTCAATCCTGGCCTTCGCTAGAAGACATGGCGCTTCCCAACCTGATGGAGCGTCAACAACGCTTCGATCGAGGCATCAAGCCCACGCCGCTCAAGTCTTCCTCTACTTCGACCTCGAACACTGCTCCTTCCAGTCTGAGCAAAGTGACTGCTCCCATCCCTTCTTCTTTGCCCTGGTCGAGAAGAGCGCCAGAGAGGGATACAGGTGTTGGTGCTTCATTACCTAGGAACACCGCCAGAGCAACGATGGCGGGCACGCCGCTTTATCCCAGTGTGAACGAGGCGGCTAAAAAGGCCGGCGATCTGACTGCGCGTATGCATTCGAGCCCCGCCAAACCATCAGAAGTCATCACTGCTGCTGGTGCCGCTTGCACCACAGCGCAAGCCGATCAGGAGGTCAACGCCAATGCGTGCGAATCTCCTTCCACACCTCGACCAAACGTTCGGCCAGCAAGCTTGATCCCCGTCGCAAAGTCGATGCGGCGCGTCTCCTCTTCTGCTCAAGAGGGCGGCGCAACAATTGCGCCCGACGCGAGCTTCAAGGACCTCTCGATGCGCGCAGATGCCCAAGCTTCTAGCGATTTGAGCACATCGACCCACGCACCACTAATGACATCTACAGCCAGCCCCTCCTCGCCCGCACGTGGACGTCGATCATCCGCCAAAGCGCGCAGCAGCCTCTCCACTATCAAATCCCCCTCTTCTCAGCCCATCAAACGTTCTTCTCGTCTTTCGCGTCTTTCCAATCAAAGCATCTCGACTACTCCTCGTCCAGCAAGTGCAACCGCACCCAAAGATGCAAAGACGGATGAGGAATTCTTGAAGAGGTTGGAAGATGCTATGAGGATGGAAAATGATGCCAATGTGTTTGTGGACAAGCGGAGGGCGGAGATGAGAAAGAGCACGCGGGTCGGTGCGACTGGCTCGACGGACGGTGACCAAGTCGAGGGCGAGAGCGGGCAAATTGTGAAAGCTGGGTCTGGGGAGGATCTGCTGGACGCTACTGCGAATGCGAATGCGATGGCGGGGGATAAGCAAGCTGCTCGACCCGCTCGCCGAAGTGTTCGGGCCAGTTTGCGCAATCAGCAGGCCAGCAGCGCTGAACAGGCAGAGAAGATGTCAGCAACCGCCCCACTTTCAAGCGCAGCGATCGAGGGGCAGCAAGGGTCATCGGCGAAGAAGGAGGAGGACGCGCTCACGGTCGGCCTTGCCACGCCTCGTTCCAAGCCCTTTACGCCTTTCAAGCTGTCCAACTCCGGCGCGAGTTCGAGCCCAGCAATCGCACCCGGCAGCTCGCACAGGCTAGATCCAGAGATGAGACTGCAGCGCGTGACGAATGCAGAGATTGCCGAGCTTCGAAGGACGTTGGCAGGTCGGGAAAGGGAGGTTGAAAAGTTGCAGAGGAGCTTGGAGAGGAGCAAGGAGGATGCGGATGGATGGAAGGCGGAGTGCGAAGCGGAATGCGCTGAAAAGGCGCAGATGTGCTTGAGGGTTGCCGAGATGCAGAGAAAATGCGCAGAGGAGAAGCGAAGGAGGGAAGAGGTGGAATTGGATGCCCTAGAGGGAGCTTTGGAGAGGGATGAGATGGAGTGGAAGTTCCTTGCGCGCGAGGATGTGCAGTGCGAGAATACGAGAAAAGTCAACATTGAGCTCACGATCTGTAGAAACGAAGCTACGTATCAGACGTATAGGGCGCAGGACCTGGAGCGGGACCTTCGATTGGCCAACAAGCATAGCAAGCACCTCAGATCCGCTCTCGAAGCTGGAGGCGCAGGCGATGCCGATTCTGCGACTACAACGGCGAGGATGCAAGAGATGGAGAAGAAGTTGAAAGAGGAAAAGGAGAGGCGGAGAACGATTGCTAGGCAGGGCATGAAGGTGGAAGAGGAGCGAAACGAAGCTCTGACGGAGCTGGAAGAGGTTCGAGAGGAACTGCAGAGAGCGAAAGCCAAAAGAGCGGATAAGGATGATGATGGCCGTGCTCTGGCTGAGCTCGTCAAGGTCCGAGCAAAGGCGGAGTCGGAGGAAAAGCTGAGAAGAGAATTGCAAAGGGAAGTGATGGCTTTGAAGAAGAATGCCACGATGCCACCACCTCCTCCTCCTGCCATCAAAAAGGACCTGATCCATAAAGCTTTAGCACACAGTTCTTCCCCGCCCAGAGCTGCTCGTGCGGTCCGGAAAATCCCTCTTGCTATGGATCTCTCCATCGACTCGGACGAGGAGGACGCGCAAGACCACTCGGACGAAGACGAAGATGCGCGAGAGCTTATCACGACAATCAGCGCGGCCGCTCCGACAAAGGAGAGCAAGAGCGTTGCCTCGAAAGGTGGTAAAAGCTTGAAAGCAAAGGCGGGATCTGCTGCCGATCCTAACGGGCGCAAACAGGCTCGAAAGCCTCGAAAGAAGGGATTGTATGAAGAGAGCAGCGATAGCGATTCGGATTTAGCTGCTCCTGTGAGCAATCAAGATTCTTCCTTTGCACAAGCAGAAGAAGAACAAGAAGAGGATGCGCCGCGTAAGAAGCGTGGTGGAGCAGCGTCAAAGGCGAACGCTTCTTCCTCTTCTTCCTCTTCTTCCTCCTCTGCTCTTGTACCTGCTGCTTCGACGACTACCAGCTCTCGAGGTGCGAATGCGACGCGCAAGCGTAAAAGCGTAGAGGCGGACGAAGAGAGGAGAAAGGCGCTGGAATTGGAAATCATGGCTACTCCCATGATCAAGAGCGTCAGGTCCAAAATCGACTTGTCCAAAGAGTCCCAGGCGCCGGCGCAAATATCGAACGAAAGCAAAGGGGGCAACAAGGCGCTCTCTGCTTCTCGAAACGCGAGCAACATCAACAACGCCCCCGCGGCTCTTGATGCGACCAATAAGGTTAAAGGGCAGGAAATTTTGACTGTTCAGACCCGAGCTCGCAATCAACCTGGCGTCGCTGACGATGGCAAGAAAAAGAAGAGGAAATTGCTGGGTGGAGCAGCTGCATCGGCCAATGGATTCTTTGCGTGGGGCTCGAGCGAAGGAGATGTGAGTCTTCTCGTTCTTCTTCTTCTCTTGTCGATTTCATCTTTCTTGCTTTTCTCTTGCGTATCCTGTTGCTGGTAGAGCGGCCCGATCTAGTTCAAGCTATCAGAAACTGACATGAACATATCCCTCCCTACCCGATCGGGAAACGTGCGCGTTCAAATGCAGGCCATCTCGTCAGGCTTGGACTTGCCTATGGATATCTCTCCTATCAAACCCGCCAATGCGCAACCCTTGAAACCTCTGGGCGGAAGCGGAGGCGACGCTTTCAAATCGCGTCGATGAGTCAGAGCCGCTCCACTCTCATTGTCACCTCCGTGGCACATGTACTCGAATGCCTCTGCCGGCCATTGCACGGTATTTTCTTTCATGTTCATCTACTTTCGTTGGTCCCACAAACGGATCATCCTTCACTCCAGATACCTTTTGCACGTCCTCTGACCGACTTGTAGACTTGTATGTGAAACTCACAACCTGGCGAGGGTGTGGGGTTGAATTTCAATGTCTGATTACGTTGAGACCATGTTTGGTCATGTTGAATGTGGGGGGTATGCGGAACGGAAAAGGTAGGATGCTAGATTCTGATGATTGTTTTGCGTGCTCGAGTGCTTGCTGGATGGAATTTGAAAGCTGGGCGGGGAGAGTTGTGCGAATTTGAGCGCAAGGAAATGGCTCAGGTTCGCAGGACCAGAAACTGATTCATGTACATTTGGAAAAAAGAAACAACTAGGAGTGACGTTGGTCGAAGGAGGCATCTAAGGGTCGTTAGCCCAAGTGACTCGCCTGCTGAAGGAGCTGCTGGAGCTGGGCGACATTGAGGCGCTCCTGCATCTGTTGCTCAAGACCGGCCGAATGCTTAGCTCGAAGGCCACATCACGGTGTCTAGGCTGAAATTTGGGTTCTTCCTGCTTTGCCAAATCGTTGTCCTCGCCGCGAGGCTCTTGGTGAACCTCACAGACGTCCAGCCGCGATGCGCGGCGCAGAGCCTTAGGTTTGAAAAGCTTCAAATCTTCACCAATCTCATCCTCTTCTTCGTCTGTAGAGTCAAAGTGCTTCAAGTCCGTTTCGGACGACGTGCTATCGGCGATGGACTGACCATCATCGCCTCTCGTCGCAGCTCTCTCGGCAGCTCGAGCCAAAGCCCTCTTGGAGCTCAACAAGCGACGATGATACTCAGAAACGGGAGCGAGAGCGAGCAGGCTATCCCTCTCCTTGCCGCGCTCCTGCAAAGAGGAGGACAGACTGCCGGACACGGGAGGGGGCACCGGAAAGAAGAGCTGCTGCTCAGACTGTTTATCAGCTCTGAAAAGGGGTGAAGGACTCGGGTCCGTGTTGATGCGCCACGTCTCGGTCTTTTTGGTAGAGGATGTTGTTGCGGGAAGAGTGCAGATAGGCAGGTCTGCTTGACTTCTCTTGGGGCTTTCTTGGTCCACCAGGTCAGCGCAAGTTGAGTCCGGCAAGGCTTTGGAAAGCACCAGTGGAGAGACGGTGATTGCGTCCAAATTTTGTCGTGTTGCTTTCTCTGGGAAGGGCTCTTTCGCTTCACACGCATGCACTGTGCTCTCTACATCGCTCCACTCATCGTCGTCCCACGGGTCAACCTCGCCCCGAGGCAGCAGCGCAGGGCTCCAGCTGGCTGGCTCACCCTCGAAAGCTCTTGAGGTGGGACTGTTGCCTCGTGCTGAAGAGCCTGCAGCTGAAGAGAGAGGTGAAGGAATCGAGCGCTCCGGAGTCTTTTGAGTCTCGTCACGGTGCGCATCCTCCTCGGAATCAGATGGGTCGGTGAATGTGGTTGAAGAGGGTGCTGTGGAGGAGGATGAGTTGTCGAACGATGACAGCGAATCCTTGGGCGAGGCTGGTCCGTCGTTCGAGCCACGCATGAAAGCGCGGGCAGCAGATGCAGCTAGCTGAGTGCTAGGCTGATGCAGCTTCGAGACCGGCTCCAACTCTGTTCCGCGCTGACGCGCGAAATACGCGATCGTGGCGCGCGTACGTGCGTGCAGCTCTGCCTCATCCTCTTGCTCGGCTGCAAATCTATCATCGCCCAGTGCCAATGTCCAGGGAAGCTCAGAGCGCAGAGAGCTCTTGACAGGTGGCTCGTACATCTGCGCGCTTTGACTACGTCGATGCAAAGGGCTCGGCCGCAGAGCGCCCATGGCACGAGCTCCGAGAGAAGAGGAGCGAGCCGTCATTGCTGGAGCGGGTGATGAATGCGCTGCTGCCTTCGCTGCACCCTCCGTGCTTAGCGCTACTCCGGCGGGTGCCTTCAAGGAAGCTGCAATGCCCCCCGGAAGCGGGGAGAGGGCTCGAAGCATCCTGTTAGGAGAGATGCGGAGAGGAGCAGTGCTACACATCGGATGACCCAGCGAGCCTGTGGCATCACATCCGGTTTTGCTGGGGGAGGCGACCGTCAGACTTTGTTGGCTTGGTCTTCTTCGTGGTGGTCGGGGGGGCGGGGATGTGAGACGAGAAGCGGCAGTAGCATAAGAAGCCATAGAGGACATGGAAGCTTGCGAGGTCCTTCGGGAGATGACTGGCGAAGTCGCGGCTGGGCTGCTAGGGGCGCTCGCCATGAGCGTGCTTCCGCTTGCCTTGCTGCGAAGCGAGGGGCTGCGCTCGGCCTGCACCAGTTGGCTCGACGCCGGCGTGGTTTCGAGTCTGCGGAAAGTCTCGCTTGCCATGCTGCCATGCTCGTTCGTGCCTGCGAGCAGAGGTGACTGCAGATTCTCGTCAAAATCGTCGTAGGCATCCAGAGATGCATCCGTGAAGCCTCGTCCTGAGGCGCAGCGCATCGAGAGCGAGCTTACTGGTCGCGCGCCATGCTCGCCTGAACCCTCGGACAGCAGTGAAGCTTTGCTTCTGGTGCTGTGAGAGAAGGTAAAGGAGCCAAACGATGATTTGTGTCGGGGAGACCTGATGCTGCTGTGCTCGAGGTGAAGTCTGGAGTTGCCGGCGTTGGTCTCTTGTGAAGATGCTTGGGAGCCACTGGGCACTGGCGAAGGGGCATCGCTGCTGGGTAGCAAATGACAGGCTGTGAGGAAGGACCGAGTCCTCGATCTTCTCCGATTCGATGAAGGCTCCATCGAGCCCAACTTCAAGGTATTCATGCTTGGATGGTAGAGCTGCCAGTGGTAGACGTTCTGTGCTTCCCTTGTGAACTGTTAGACAGGATCAAGCTTGAGAGGGTCTCGATGGCGTCTGTTGGAGGTGGATGTGGTGGAATGAGAAGGAAATGTGTTCGTGACGATCAATCGCTGTTTGAGCATCCAGAAAAATGATGAACCACTTTGCGAATCGATCGAGTCTGCTACGTCCTTGTCAAGTCGTTGCGATCCTTGCAACTTGTGCTGACCGAGAACGGCAGTGCCAAGACGGGAAACCTTTTCTTTCAGGATCCGTGTCTCGGTCATGACAGTCTCATCCAGCAGGCTACCAAGGAGCTTTCAATTCACGGAGATGCGGAGGGCAAGCTAGGCGGAGTATACAAACGCAGCTCGTCAAGCAACACTGAAACATTCCGGTAAATGGCCGGCATAATCAGCGTCCTCGAGGCTCTTGCGGCTCCTGCGGCCTGCCCACCGATATCGTGCATGCAGTTCTTCCAGATCTCGGTCCCTGTGCGAAGCACTCGCAATCAAATCAAGCTTACAGCCAGAAACCTCCGCCATGAGCCTAGATTTGCGCATTGCTCGACGTCACGCGGACGACGCCCCGACCTGCGACCACACAGTCGACAGACACGCTCCTTGTCTTGTCGGACGCAGACGCGAGCGATCGAGCACCACGAGAGAACAAGAGCTGTCACGGACGCACCTGATGCGCATGTCAGCCGTGGATAGAGGCCGCAGAGGAAGGCCAAGCTAGCTAGAAAGCAGAGGTTGACGTAGACGCGTGAGTCAACTGAATGGGGAAGGCGTCGGATCCGAATTCAAAGAGCTCGAAATGTGAAACGTCCGACGACAGTCTCGGCACGCTAGTGCCAAGCAAGGTTCGTTGCACGGAGTAGCTCTCGTCGCTGACGCACGACCATATGTTGACTCGCGGGCGGCATATCGGCCTTCTCCTGCATTCACGACTACTCTTCCTTGCTCTTGCTCTCGCCCGCTTCTCGGGCTTGGCAGAGTCGCATTTGGCAGCGGGAATGCAGTTGTCCTCGCACAGCAACGACGAAACGGAAGCGCGGGCGGTGAGTCGGCTAGCTCGTGATGGATGGATGAAGAGAAAGAGATGCATGCATGGGATGCGCGCGTGAGACAATTTCTGGGAGTTCGGCCGCGACTGGCCGCGACTCTGCAGACTACTGCTGGATGGCGTTTGTGCAGCACTTTACGCGTGTGGGTAACCGCAGCAGCAGCATGTCACCGACTGCAGCTGTAGCTAAGCGGTGCAGGCCGTTCGCGCCCTTTTGTTGTGTCTCACCTTCCGGACCTCCGCGAATGTGAATCTATGAAGCTTGACTTAATTGCTAGTTGTTCCAGTCGACGAGGTCCTTTGACGAGTCTTGGCCCTTGAATGGCCTGCTATCATCGAAGTGCATGATCAACGTCGCCCCACGCTGAAAACCTCCGATCCACGCGCCCGGCGGGCTAGGCGCTTGCGGTATTCGTCGTTGGGCATTCATGCGCTCAATCACGAAATGGACACTTGTGATTCCTGGAGTGATTCGAGGATGGCCAGAGAGACCTTCAAAAGACAAGCTGCCATGATCAACCCCATCAACGGCAGCTCGAGTTTAACGCACATGTTCGTCTGTCAAAAATCACCAGGCAACTTACCAATCGATAGATTGGGATCGTGTTGCGCAAGCCTGTGGGTGCCTCCGTAATGGCCCGTGGTCGGGTGTGGAGGAGCTAGGCAAGCATGAAGAAACTTCCGCCCGGGACTTGTCTCAGGCTCTCCAGACTCAGCTCGGCTGGGTGTTGCTTCCCGAGACCCGCTATATGAGCAAAGGCATCGCAAATCTGCGAATTGAATCAGCCCTTTGTGCTGTCAATGGCAGTAGCGAGTCTGACCATCGTTTGTGATGCTACACACTAGCGAGGATTTTGCCATGTGGGGTCACAGTCGTGAGTGAGTCTAGCTCAAGGCACCGAATGAAGGTGCTGGCAATCTTGCTCAAAATCGTCGGACAGATGTCCGCCACGATGGTCGAAGAGCCTTGAGAACGAAGTTTCACTTCGGTAATCTGTCCTCCAACGAGTCTGTTGTGTCGTGCAGCACGTGCTCAAGACTGACCATGCGGGGCATTCACTTTTCATCGTGAAACTTTGATCAGGGATACACGTCTGACATGATTGCATAGACTGATGGATGTCAGGCACCCGTCGGGTCCGTGGCTGACAGCAGCTTTTGTGTCCTTCGCTCGTGCTGCTTGGAGGTGGACAGACAGCCGCTGCACATGTGGCACTATGCATGCGTGAATCGAGCATGCTCGTGCCTGTGCCTAAAGAACAATCAGAAGCTTGGGGTGCCAAGGCTAGGCTCACTGAGGGCAAGAATGGAGGGAATGAATTTTGAAGGGAGAGCATTCGCTTGAACCAGCCTTATCGGGGATATCAGCCATCAGGAATACATGAAAACCCAGCTGAGCGCCGGCACGTGCTTCATGCTCGTCAGCTTTCGGTGCAATGAGCGGCGAGTGATGGAACCCCATGTTCGTGACTCAAGATTGGCTGGATTCTCTTTGCCTTGCTCTCCGTCAGAACCTTCTTGCATGTAGAGTATGTAGAGTAAAGCCCTGCCCAGATGCATTGACCACACAACCTTCTACAGCCGAGGAAGCAGAGGTGCGGTCCACTCAAATGAGCGAGTCAACGAATGGTATGTTAAGCTCAGAGTCGCAGTGTCTCGGTAGCGCGAAGGCGCCCCTGTATAAACCCGAGACAGGCAAGACGTGAATCTAGAACTTTTTGCATTCGTTTTCGAGGATGCAGAAGTATGTACTCTGGAAGAAACACCTGCCAGTGCAGATTGCTAACGCTCGATCCGCTTTCAGAGCGCAGCAACATTGCGCTGCAAGCCCATTCCCTCCTGCTCGGCCCTAAGATCGGGTGACGCGCCCTCCACAGGGTGCTGCTCGGGCGCATGACTTGTCATCCTCTTCTCTTCGAAAGATCTCATGCCTCTCAAGCCCCATCTCTCCAGCATCGCCTTGTCGTCATCCCATCCACTAGTAGGGGTCGTCAACATCTTGTGACCGGTGAAGATCGCGTTGGCACCGGCCAAGAAGCACATCGCTTGTTCCGACTCGGTGAAGAGGTGTCTACCTGCCGCAAGGCGGATGATAGAGGTAGGCAGCACGAGGCGTGCAGTCGCAATCGTGCGCAGCATGGTTCGGATGTCCACAGGCTACAAGCAAGGAGCGCAGAGTAAGCTCAATTTGCCAGAAGGCCTATTGCATCTCGAGGCTTGTTTGTTCTTCTCACCTCGTTGCCGTGCATCGGAGTTCCGGGAATTGCGACCAAGGCATTGACGGGGAAGCTTTCGGGGTGTTCCGGCAGTCGACTCATCTCCCAGATCAAACCAACACGATCAGCTGCCTCTTCGCCGAGACCAAGTATGCCACCAGAACAAACAGAAATTCCCGCATTTCGTACGGCTTCGAGAGTTGAGATCCGGTCATCGTAGGTGCGTGAGGTGACGACCTGATTCGAAAGCGCAATGAGCATCATGCTTGCGCTACAAAGAACGTGCGGGGGCATCTTGTTCTCACCTTGCCATAATACTCTCGACTGGTGTCGAGGTTGTGGTTGTATGCGGTTAGCCCAGCGTTCTTGAGCTGCACCGCCTGCTCCGGAGTCAGCATTCCTAGGGTGGTGCACACCTCCATACCCATGCCACTGCCATGTGGGTCATGCGCATCTAAAGTCAGCCACTCGCCTTCCTTCGGCAAGAGATATACCTCCATCACACTTGACACTCACCGAATCTCGCTGACCATCTCAAGAATGCGGTTGAATCCTCTCTTACGGCCGCCCACTTCTCTCCAAGCTGCACCCATGCAGAAGCGTGTGGAACCATTATCTCTAGCTTTTCTAGCCTCCACTAGGACTTCATCCACCTCTGAAAGCTTGCTTGGAGTGCTAGGAGTAGTGTATTTGCTGGACTGGCTGCAATATCCACAGTCTTCGGAACAACCGCCTTCCTTGATGTTCATGAGGGTGCAGAGCTGTACGGAACCAGGAGGATGGTGCACCCTATGCACAGCGCCCGATCTGAAGATCAGGTCCAGCAATGGAGAGTTGTAAATCTCTGCTACCTCGGCTCTTCTCCAGTCATGTCGCGTCGTCCCGTCCGGCGGAGCGGGGCCTCGAGGAATGGAAGAGACGGAAGGCGTCGTGTCCAGCGTCGGCAACGGCTCTGGTGTCAGTCTCTGAGACGCATCAGCTGCTGATGCCTGGCCTCTTGCCAAGGAAGGCACATCGGGCTTGTGAGCAGCGTTCGCAGCACCCGCTGCGCGCACGCGTCCCAGAGTAGCGCCCTGAGTCTTTAGAAGCTGCGATGCAGCCTTGGGAATGGATCGAGCTGACATGGTGCGCGTAGATGCCTGCTCAAGAGCCAAATTGGAGTTGATGGTGGTGTGCTTGAGGAGGAGCGTAATCTCAGCAATTAAGCAGATGTGAGAAGCGTTCGTGGCTACCGAGGACGACTTGCCGGCGTAGACTTGTACCGGTCCATGCATGGCCCAATCAGAAGAACCCTTATCGCTGTTTTGGCGCCCCCCGTGTGACCGTGCATACACACACCGACTTCCAGCAGCGTGAGTGCTCTGGCTGTGTGGTGTGGGGCGATGGCCCGCAGAATTTGGGTGTTGGGTTTGGGCGCACCGACGCGCCAGCTGCACGAGCATCTGCACAACGCCAAGACCGAGTCCCGCACGAGACGCATGCAGTCGAAGTCACGTGAGCGGTTCATTAAATTAAGGGCCTTCTCTTGCTTTGCACAGCCTAACGTGAAGGAAAAGTCTGCATTTTGATCTTGACTCGACGAGAACGCTCTGCATGCGCTCGCTTTGGACCCATCACTTCCCAGCTTCACCGTCAGGCCTTGCGATCTTTGCAAGAATTGGCGCTTCCTTTGGGCGCATTCAATTGGACAAAAATGGTGCGCAAGGCGATGCAGCCATCCTCCAGATCGCCTCATGCACTACCGGACTGGTCCGAAGCACACTCTACCGCAGGTGTCGTCGCGCTGGCCCATTCCTCCAAAGCTCGTGGCTTGCTCAACGTTGCGAATCTGCCAGCTCTGCAGAATCTGGTGAAGCGCAGTCCGACGGCATATGCGGACGAGTTCGGAGCGCAATGGAATCACTATCAGAGCATGAGGATGTTGTATGCGGCGAATCTGGGCGAGGGCGGGGCGATGAGCGGGGCGAAGATCGGCAAAGAACAGGAAGACACCTTTTGCGCTCTCATTGGTTTCATCACTCAGGTGAGGTGGATCTTTGCTAGGTGTACTACCGGTACATACGTTGCCTAACGTCTGCAATTTGCTTTGGGATCAGCTTGCCCCGTCCTTTCCTGAGGTGACAAGAAACTTCCCAAGCGACCTATCGGAGCTCTTGTTGAACCACCATTCCAAGCTTGGTGCTGACGTGCGGCATTCCGCCGTTCGCGCTCTGGTACTGCTACGTAATAGGGACGTCATCACTTCGGAGCAGTGAGTCCAGCCGGTCTTTGCCCTCCTGTCCCGCTTCAGCACGCCTTGACCGCCGTGCGCTTGTAGTCTGCTACGTACTCTCTTCCCTCTTCTCTCACAGACAACGTCTGCAACTTTCAGGTCGTTACTGCAAACAACCATCTTGGCAGATATCAAAGCGCAAAACAAAAAGGCCATCAACCACCGACACAACAGAGTTGTCCAGGGTCTGCTATTCTCGGTCATCGAGCGTGGCATCCCCGCACGGGACGCTCCAAGCGAAGTGTGGCGGAAGGGGGCCGAGGCCAAAGGCAGGAGTGAGGCGCTCTGGGCCACGCGCCTTGCTGCAGATTTGTGGAGGAAAGGAATCTGGTGAGCATCCGCTCAAGAACGAGATGTCTGATCAGAACCACACATCATTGACGCAGATGTGCTCTTGTGCTTTGCGCTCCAGGACCGATGCAAAGACAGTCTCTCTGCTCGCATTGGCATGCTTCCATCCGCATCCAAAGGTGCAATCCTCCGCTGTGCGCTTCTTCTTAGGTGACTTGCACTCCGCAGAAGACGGTGGCAGCGAGGAAGAGTCCGACGATGAACCGAACGTCCCTGATGTCTCGAAGATGCAGCATGCACGCAAAGTAAACAAGAAGACGAGATCAGGAGACAAAAAGGTTCGAGCTGCTGCTGCTCTTGCGAGACGGAGGAGAAAAGAGCACCAAGATGGCAGAGACGAGAAAGCTGAAGGGGATGGTCGTGCAAACCTTGCTGCTGTGCACATGCTCAATGACCCGCAAGGCTTTGGAGAGAAGCTTTTCGAATCTTTGAGCAGAGGCGACAAGAGAATCAACATCGAACTCAAAGTTCGAATGATGCAATTACTTGCCAGAGTGATGGGAGCTCATCGACTCTCGGTGCTGCCCTTCTACAGCTACATTGTCAAGTGAGTTCCGCTGGACGACGCGCTGTTCTCAGATCGGGCTGACTCTACGACAAACTTTTTCGACAGATACTTGAATCCTCATCAGCTTTACATCACCTTGATTCTCGTCTCACTCGCCCAGTCTGTGCATTTGCAGACTCCACCGGATGCGCTAACGCCTGTCCTGCGCAAACTTGCCGACGGCTTTGTCCATCCTGGCGTTGGCCCAGAAGTGGTGGCGGCGGGCATCAATGCCATTAGAGAAACGTGCCGAAGACAGCCCGAGGCGATTGAGAGCGACTTGCTGCAGGATCTCATAGGGTACAAGAAGAGCAAAGACAAGGGTGTATCAGCCGCTAGTCGAGGCCTGCTTCTTTTCTACCGAGAAGTCAATCCTGCACTTCTACCCAGGTCCGAAAGGGGAAAGAGCGGCGCTTTGAGCCTGGCTAGTGGCAAGCAAGCGCGCATGTTTGGAGAGGAGGATGCTACAACTCGAGGTATCCCTGGCATCGAGCTGCTAGAGCAGCATCTCGCCGAACAGGAAGCCGCTGCCGTTCCACTAACCGAGGCTGAATTAGAAGAAGCCGACAAGAAAGCTTGGGAGGGCTGGGAAGCTGAAAGTGATTCCGACTCTGATGACTCGGGAGGATGGATCGCGGTCAGCTCGGATGAGGACGGCGAGGGCGCATTCGACGTTAGTGGGTCCGAAGATGAGAGCGATAAGACCAAGGGAGGTGCTGCGGAGGAAAGTAAGAGCATCAAGGAGCGCCTTGCTGAGAGAAGAGAAAAGACCAGAGCAGCAAGAAGAAAGCTAGCAGACAAGTCTGAACACTTGGGCACTGACTCTGATGCGGAAGAAGGTGACGACCAGGATGATGTCGAGGTGGCGCCCAGAGAGAGTGCGGCCGAGCAAGCAGAGCAATTTTCCAAGCTGGCGACGACAAGGGTGAGTGTGCCAGTACTCAAAGCTTTGTACCTCGCGTGGTTCGGGGCTAATTGAGTTTGGAGCTGCTCTCGACTGTAGATCTTGACTCCCGCCGATTTCGCCAAGTTGGCAGAGCTGCGGCTCAAAGCTGCAGAAGAAGCGGCAGCTTCGGGCAAGAAGGGTTCCGCAGCAGCAAAGCGGGAGATTGCGGAGCTCAAAGCGGCGTCCAAGCGCACTGCGACGCAAGCGAGCAGCGCTGGCAGTGCCGTAGACACGACCAACACGATGTTGTCGGAGATGGACATCTTGGGGCCTCGAAAGAAGAGAAAGGCGGATTATGAGGAGAGGATGGCTTCCATCGCAGAGGGCAGAGAGGGAAGGGAAAAGTTCGGAAGCAAGAAGGGCAAAAAGACCAAACATAGCTCAACGACGAATGAGCAAAAGGCTAAGAAGGGGAAGAACTTCAACATGATTGCCAAGAGCTTCAGTGTCAGAAATAAGGCAAAGACTAGTCTGAGGGAGAAGAGCAAGAAGCTGAAACAGCACGTGGAAACGCAGAAGAAGCGAAAAGGCATGAAGTGATGCTGCGTGCCTCTTGAACGTATCAAGGCTAGCTTTAAGCAAGGCGTCCGAAATGTCTCCTCTCTGCCTCCTCTCTGCCTCTCTCTGCCTCTCTCTGCCTCTTCGAGAACAAGCAACCTTGAGCTTAACGGAAGAGTCTGCGCCCGTCTTTGCTCGAGCAGACGAGGTAGAGCGCGCGACAGGCCGCTCAGACCGGGCGACGAGAATACCATGCAACCAGCAGCTTCATACATGCTGCATGCACATATAAGCGTAGCTGCGCCCAAATTTGCCAATGGATCAATGAGTGTCGGTCTGGCGCACACCACGCGCACATATCCAATTCAGCTATAACGGCCCAGGTACGTCTTCTTGTCTTGCGTAAACATGCTGTATACCGTAGGCAATTTGAGCGCCCGCACGCGTTCTGCTCATTCGTGATTCCGCACTCACGACTTACGTGGGAGTCCATGCAAGGCCACACAGCTGATCAATTGATAGCACACGTATATAGCACATATACTGCTCTCGCTTAATTGCTTTCGATAAGTGTGAGTGAAACATGGATGACCGCGGTGGTGATCGATGAAGGGCGCGCGTTGTTGGTCATGCAACATCTACATCAATCAAACGCGACACGCACTTGAGCATTCACGATCGATTGATCACCAGCATCAGACTGAAGGTCGCTCGGGAGCTGGGCGCGGTGTGGTGCGCTTGCCTGGCTATCTCGTTCCGCGATGGTTGAATGCGCTTCTCCTTGTTGACCTCTGTACCTGTGTGGAGGATGACATCTCTTCCCCCCATTCGAAGCAAAGCCGACCTCTACACACCTACCCTTGGGAGGCCCTCTCGCGCCACTTTGTTACCAGTGTGCTATACAGCACCAACTGCGCTCGACGTTTCGCTCAACCCTAGCTTTGTCATAGACATTGAGATTCTTAACACACCATGGCGGACGCTTTGTATGCAGGAGCACTACTTCCACGAGCACCTCTACCAAGCCCAGGTCCGACGGCAGCAGCGATGCCACCCGGACGTTACAATACAAGCGCGCCAGAGAAGCGCTGTCAAGGAGACACTTGTTCCAATGGTACGCTGACGCTGACGACGTACGAGACGACGTTCATGAGCAGCACATCTCTCTGCGCGACGACAGTGACGCAATGGATCACCATTCCCTCTTCCTCTCCCACCTCTATTCCTACACCGACATCCACACCCACCTCGAGCTATGCACCTCCGACGTACACGTACACATTGTATTCGCCAAATCCCACGGCCACAGCTACCACCACCACGGCATACGCTATTCCGCCTTTTCCTACATCCACCTCGAGCCCCTTCACACCCATCGTCACGGATGGTAAACCGAAAGATTCGGCAGCGTATGCCGCTTGCGCATGCATCGTCGCTTGGGTCACATTGGTGTATGGTGGTATACCCAGCTCTTCGAGAGATTTAGCAGCGTGAGTTTCATTTCCCTTGCGGCGGCTCCTTCATTCTCGATCGAGCCGCAGCGTTGCGCTATCTCGCCCCAGTCTGGAGCTGACATGATCGTCTTGGCGAGGGACTGGCAGATCTCTAATCTTCCTGGGTGAGTGGAAAGGCAATGCAGCTTCAGTATCAGTCTAGCTCGCCCGCGCACTCCCCAAACGCTGCTGGCTCACCCGTGCAAGGCGGAACGCACAGCCATCTTTATCATCCTCTTCCTGATCACATTGTACAGGCTGGTCGTCTTTGGTCGTTTCAATCGGACGTGAGCATCTTAGCACGCCACGAAATTTCTTGCACCACCAACACTAAATCTCAAATTTCCCATCGCCGTTCTCTTTTCCACAGAGTCTTCATCAACATGTTTCCGCTGGCCCTGTTCTGCTTGTTGATGGTTATCGCCATGGGTACACGGTGGGTCCATCCCCTTCCTGTCCGGCATTGACGAGATGCTGATGCATCTCACACCTTTTTGCCTTGCCCTCTGTCAATCAGCGCATGGACATCCAGCAACACGCCAGACATGAATCATGTCCTTGCAGGCCACATTGAGCTTCTCATCGCTCTTCCCCTCCTCATCGATTCCTTCTTGCAATGCCTAGGTCTGATTTGCAGGAGAGCCCAGCCTGGCGGTTACATCGATGCCGGATCCCTCTTTTTGCGAGCGGTCAATGTGGCAGCTTTGATCGTAGCAGCCGTAGCTGCCGAAGAATTGTCGGATTGTGAGTCGAGCTGAGCACCTCGTATCACTAAGCCATCAATGCTCGCTCGCTTGCTCGACTTTGGCTGACGCTATTGCCATCGACGCACACTAGTCCTGCACGATTGGCAAGATGGAGTGGCGGATTGCTCGAGCAGGAAAAGCCTCGTCATCTTGCCCCTCGTGGCAACGTCCATGATGATCGCAGTCGTAGCTCTGGGTCTGCTCCTGTGAGTGTCGACACCAGTCGATTAGACGTCGATCGCATTCCGCTACCTCGTCACTGCTCTACACTTCCACATCTCGCTGACCTCTCTCCGGCTTTGGTCGCACTTCCTCAGCGCTCTTCTTTCGCACTATCGAAGTCTGGTGGAATGGCGAATCGTTCTTCATATGGTGCTCCTCGCGTTGTTGCTGCTCGTGTAAGTTCCACCGAAGCGTCGATGTGCAAAGCCACCTCCGGCCCGCTGACCGCATATCTGCCTCGCCTCGCACTCAGGCACCTCCTTTGGCGCATATCTCGAGATGTGCACGCCTTGCACGTCTGGCAAGCTGGTTGGTCGGACTGGGTACCCAGAGAGTCGACCTGGTGGGGAGGGTTTTCCAACACGAACGCATCTGCTGCTTATCCCACGTCCTGGCCCTTCGGACCATGTTGGGGCGTGCTCGCACTCGGAACACCCAATTGGGACGTGTTGAGAAGCATTCGACAAGCAGCTGAAAGCCCCGCATTCTTTTGGGGTGTTGGGATCACATTTGTCGCGTAAGTCGGGCGAAAGTGATGCTGAGATTGTCTCTTCTTCCCCACCTCGAGTGCGCGCGCTTCTCTCTTCTCGATTGCTGACAAATCTGCAATATTTTGGATGATGGACGCGCTGGCAGCTTGGCCGTTCTCGTCTTGATGGCTGTCAATTTGCCCTTTCACTCGAGTGAGCACACGATGCTATGCGAAACAACATCCTGGTCTCTGGTGGATGCATGCTGACTCGCACGCCTCCTACGCACCAGCGCAAATGCCACCTCCTGCAGCCGAGCCAGATTCGGCACGATACCAAGCGAGTCCGCAGCGCATGAGCCTGCGCACATTGCCTGTCCTGCGTGCGCTCAGGCGTCTTACCGCTCCTATTTTTCACCCCAAACAGCTCTGCTACGACGCCGAGGCGAACAGCGCTTCCTTCAAACGAGGTGAGCGACCTTGATGACCCGCGCTCGTCCTTTGCCAAACCAAAGAAAGCAGCTCATCCTGCCTCGCGTGGCTTCTGCGCGCCACACCCGACAAACCAGTGGACAATCCGGGCGCTTCTCGTTTGCCGAGCGGGGAGCCGTTGTACGAGCTTGTCAAGGCTCACGATGGAAGTTGGGCAGTGAGGGAAGCGTCTGCTTCCTCCCCATGCGGCTTGCCAAAGTGGGATCACATCACTTGCAGACCTTGGTACTCTTAAGAGACTCTTTCATTCCTACTCCGCATGCACGCACCTTCGAGAATGTGCCCAACATTCTTGAAGCGAGCTTTCTCTTCTCCACTGTCGTGTCCGCTCATCACACTCCTGTTCTGCTCCCCATCCCGTCTGGTTCTGCTTCCTGCTCATATGTATGCAAAGCACTTGCGCACTCGCTCGCTCACGCTGCCCTCCTGATTCGCTTCTTCTCAAGAAAATCAATTCTGTGCGTGGCATTCTGGATGACTTTTGAAATTGGCGTACGATCGACCCAGGAGGATGAAGAGTGTTGGCATGCCTGCAAGACGACCTTTGTTGCATGTCCAACAAGGACGACATCGATACTAAGCTCGACTACACGCGCGATGTCCGCGCAATATGCCATCCAGGACACCACGTCATGCATGTCTCGATGCTGCTCTACTCCTTCTTGCTGCTCTTCTTGCCACTCTTCGAAACGGCCACAGCCGCACCCGAAGCTTCATCGTATGCCTTTTCCGCGGACTTGCCGGCTCCCGAAGGAGGGCCCGTGATTCTTCGAAGCAGCTTGACAGGCCACAAAGTGGACGCGCTAGGCACCTCCAGCTTGTGCGTTCCAATCTCTTCCCAATTGCCTTCTCCATCCCCCAACCAAAGTCCGCTTTCGGAAATCTTCATGTCCACTTTAGGACCCTCGGGCAAACCTCGCGCCAAGAGCTTCTTCAAGGTCCTCTCTTCCTCGATCGGATCGGCGTTGTACGCCGGCAGAGGGTCTACTTGGAGAGGTACTCGTACTTTGCGCTCAGGTCTGACCCCGTTGGGCTTGGATCGGAACGAAGGTCCCCATGCTTGAAGCTTTGCGTGCTCGGTCAAGAGCTCCAGACGCTTCGTGTCGCGCTCGTAGTTGATGCGCTGTATGATGTGCTGCAAGACGCAGGTGACCAGAACGACCACAGCGATGGCAAACGCCAGTCCTGGTCTCCAACGAGAGTAGTAGAAGCCTGAAAGTCCGCCTACTTGGCTACGCCACTTCGGAAATCCATGGCTGCATTCGTGTACATCAAGAGTGTGAGTGGAAGCGCATGATGCTTGCGCTGACGTGCTGAAACTCTTACTCACGAGAGAAAGTAGTCGTACCTGTCTCTTCGCTCATCTCGCAAAATTTTGTTGACCAAGCCCAAGCGCTTGAACCTCTCGCTCGCTTTCGGATCTTCGGGATGTTTGTCTGGGCTGTGAGGTGTACGACACGACGGATGGCGAGTGTGAGCAGCTCGCTGTGAGACTGTTCGAGGTGCTGCTACATCCTCAAGCTCGTCCACGTGACGTCGCGATGCACCTCGCGAGCTCCTGACCTCCTGTCATGTCAAGCTAGGCAATGCATTCCTGACCCTTCCCTGCCACACAATGGCATGGATACACGGTACCATTTCTCTCCACTCACTGCAGCTCCATGCTTCTCAGCCTGTAATTCTTTTTGATCGCAGCAGCGGTAGCGCTCTTGGTGAGGTTCATGATCGAGTAGAAAGTTGTACCAGGCCCTTCAGCTTTCTCAAGCGCGGACTGAAGTTGAAAGATCTAGAGAATTGGCGTGAAGTGTTGCATGGGCGTGTTAGAGATCGAGAGATGGGTCAAAGCTGATAGCTTTGATCTCCTTTGGCAGCGAGACTCACCTCTATGTCATCCTTGGACCACTCTCGCTGAGCAGAGACCAGCTGAGTGCTGGCCAGGAGCAATACAGCCAGCAGCGAGAGCAAAAGAGAAACGCGCATATCGTCTGATGTCCAAGATCGTGATGCTCTAAATTAATAGAGTGCGTCGCCTTCCTTCCCGAACGTTTCGGATGCTTGCGGTAGCTTCGGCCGGCCGTGGACGTGCAACAATGATTATGGGCTGGCTTTGCGCTCGCCAACGCTTCTTTACAGTTTACGGGATGATGACGTGCAGCAACTGAACCTGAAGTGAGGCAAAACGTGTGTTGGTCGGTCGAGACTCGCTTTGACTCGGAGGATGATGTTGAGGTCGCCGGCCATGTGTCTGATCGTGAGTTTAGGTGTGAGTCTTGAGTCAGAGTGTATAGTCGACGCTAAGCTTCGCACTTGCGCGACGCTTCGTGCCCTGCATTCTTGATTCAATCGTGTGCATGGGCGGGGAAGAAGTCAAGAGTGTGCTCGCTGGCTATGTCCACGTGACTCGCTCCCTCTGAGGTAGCGCAGACCGCCAACGCCGCGGCTCGGCCGCGCAGCGCCGAATAATATGTCCCGCTCCCTGCGCTAGCGACCGCGGCACGCACTCACACTCACAAGTCACAACAATAACAGACTTGCCCTGCGTCGAGAGGCTTCCCTCTTCCCTTTCATGCGAATCAGCTTTCCACAATTGTGGATGAGAACCAGGCAGGGCTGAACTACACGTAAAGCATTTTGGGATCAAAAGCGAGAGCGATCAAGTCATAAGCGAACCACGACTGCGAGAGTGTCACTGCAGGCGAAAGGAGCACAGAGGGGCATAAAAGGGCGCGACAGGGAGCATCCCATGCATTCGTGACTTGCCATGTCATTTCCATCTCTCTCCACAAAGCTTTTGAATTTCCAATCACATTTCAGCTGCTTCTACCTGATCCAAGTCCGGACCAGTGCCAAACATGGCTGCTGCTACTACTACTCTTCCCACATCCGCTGCGTCGGAGTATCACCGTTCGGACGATGCAGAAGCTTATGCCAAGAACGCTGCTTTCGTGAGTCAGTTCCGGCGAGCTTCAATCGACCTTCGCTAACGTCGGCACCTCAAACATCGATATAGGTGTACGGTGATGAAGCAGTCAGACCCGTGCTGCAATTGCTCAATGCTCAGCCTGGCGAAAAGATTTTAGACGTGGGCTGTGGTGCGTCTCAAAGTGGTTGCCAAAGACACCCCATTCTCACACAGAGCATCCATACTGACAAAGAGCTGGTCACACTGCGGATCTGTGACCTGCAGGCAATGGGCAACTAACCATGAGGCTCTCGCATCTGGTCGGCTCGACTGGAAGGATCGAGGGCACTGATGCGAGTGCAAAGATGATTCATGCTGCTCAGACCTCTCTGAACGCAGCAGACGATCTGGTCAAGAGCAACACAACTTATCAAGTCATCGACGCGCACAATCTAGACACGTGGCTAGACGCCGACTCTAACAGGCGCTTCGACAAGGCGTTCAGGTAAGTTTGGCAAAGTTTGAGCTCTGCATTCCACCCAGCGGCTGAATCCTGCTCGGTCTTGTCTCTTACCACCGGCTTGTCCCGGCTTGTCAAAGCAATGCCGCGGTGAGTCACATCACAACGCAATTCGAGAGAAAGAAATCCGCGAGCTTTTTTTCCGAACTGAGATTTCATGGCCAAATTACAGCTTCACTGGATGAAGAATGACCCGCGCAAAGTGGTTGCCAACGTCTACAAGTCTCTTCGGCCAGGCGGCATGTTTGCCGCCGAGATGGGCGGATTCCTCAACGTCGTAGGAGTGCGGGGTGCTCTCCATACCTGCCTGCGGCACAAAGGTCTGGATGCGCAACAGCACGATCCATGGTAAGTAGGCCATTCCATGCCGTGCTGTTCCGCATGCCAAAACATCTCTGCCGCTTTTGCTAGAGCTGCTCTTTTCTCTTACATGCCGGTACTGCTTGTTCTTTGCTGCACGGGTCCCTGCCAGGTACTTTCCCACTCTGCAGAGCTACAAGAAAATTTTGGAAGAGGAAGGATTCAAGGTGGAGCTATGTGAGCTGGTTCCAAGACCCACGCCACTCCCTCAGTCAACAGGTCTGGAAGGCTGGTTAAAGGTGAGTGCTTACGCGCATCCATTACCCCACAACCCTCTCGCGCTTCGCGCTGATTCCACGCATTGACTTTCACATCCCCACTCGATCATCCTCCTACGTCCTGTAGACTTTCATACAACCTTTCACGTCCGCCCTTGCGACGCAGCAAGAGCAGGACGAGCTGTTTCGCGAGGTCATCGAGATGCTCAGACCTGACTGCTACGATGCCGAACAGGACATCTGGACTCTGATGAATGTGCGCTTGAGATTCAGAGCCGTCAGACCTGCCTCTTCCACCTAAGGGCAAATGTCCGCAGCTCCGAGCTTCATGCGTACCCCACTCTTGGAACACAAGCCTTCTCGCTGCTCGCGAGCGTATCAAGCCGAGGATCTGTTCCGTCTGACATTTCCTGGCCTTTCAAATCGAACCGTGATCATATTCGACGCCGAGAGCGGCGCAACGCTTTGTAGAGGAACCTCGATTGTGGAGTCCCAGATAGCTAGCTCAACAATTTCAATAATTTTGTATGCAGATGCATTTCAGTGAGAGACAAGCGACGAATCTGAGAGGGGAAACAACCGTAGGTCTGATGGGATGACAAAAGGGGTTTTCGTGAACAGGGAAAAGGCTTGAGCGCTTGCACGAGGGACTTCGATGAATGACTTGACGATGCAAGCAAGCAAAGCACTACAAAATTTGAAAAGGTGGAGTAGGGGCTCTGATCAAGATGCCATGGGGGTGGGTTGAGGTGAAAGTCGACGAAAAGAAAGTGAAGTAGGTTCGTATGTGGGGGTTGCAAGGATGGGTGAACGGTTCTCGATCCAACATGCTCAACGCCCAACACTGCCCGACGCAATTACGCGTCGCGGGCGAGTGCTGTCAAAATGAAGCGGAGACTAACAGATATGGAAAATCGAGTTTGAACCGTTCGGGAAAAAAATGGGTGCTGGTCGACTTTCGCACCACTATGACGGTGGGAATTTTGATCAAAGGTTGAAGCTGGAACGGCAAGTTGACGCGGGCGTAGCAAAGCAGGAGAGCTGGACCTTGAGAACGATGACTAGGGGACGATCGACTCCAGTGCAGTCTCCTAGGCGTTGTCCAAAGCCACTCGAATGAGAAACGCAGGGGGAACGCGCATCGAGAGATGCGGGCTCGAAGCGTGGCTGTAGGATGCATGGCCGATACGTTCTTTCGCATAGCTTCGTGGATGTCCAGGTCGGCGCAGAGCTGACACGTGGACGGACAGACGGTCGAGGCCGTGGCAAGCGGCGGGACCGAGGAGAAAGTGGTGATGGGTTGCGCTACCGACAACAACGGTGAACAGAAGACGAAAAGATGAGAAAATTGGATGCGAAAAAGAGGAAGAGAAAGGGCCGGAAATCGAACTCACACTACGACGTCGCTGTTTAAAACAGGTAGGGCATCCGATGACCTCAAGTGTTGAGATCACCATCAGCGGTGGGATTGGTGCGACCTCCAGTGGCGGCGTGGATCTCCTCAACTGTGGCGATCTCACCCTTGCGAACGTGGACGCTCTGGTAGTGGCGCATGGTGTCGTGTTTGCGAGCAAAAGTACGCTCACACGGACCATAAGGACAGTCAAAGGGCTTCTCGCGCTCATCAGCCGCGATGTGCGTGGTGCGGTGAGTCTTCAAGTTGTAGGCACGGTCAAAGTGCTTGTTGCACTTGTCGCAGATGAAGACCGAGCGCCCACCAACAGACTCTTTGAACTTGTTGACCCCGAGAAGCGTCGCACGGGGTGAAAGCTTGGCGGAAGAGCAGGTCTTCTTCGGCAAAGCCGTTGAGGCGGACGTGATCCCAGCCGTGGGCACGGGCACATGCTCTTCGGCTTGACGGTCGTGCTTGTGGTACAAGCTGACGGGCGACGCCACGCGCTCCGACGGCGAGGTTGATCCGTATGACAGTTGAGAAGCAATCTCCACGCGCTCCTGAGATGCGATGAGAGGAGACTGGGAGGAGCGTGGTGCAGCGCCAGTCAACGGACTGAGAACCTCCTCAACGACACCTTCGGGCAGAACGACGCCAGCGATGGCTAGCGCACGTACCAGAACGAAGGTGTCGTCAGTGGGGTTTTCCGAAGCATAGGTACGGAGGAACGCAGCAGCCTTCTCAGATGAATGGTTCGATGCCTGAGAGTCCATCGGCGAGGCTGAACGGGTGGGTATGCCCGAGGCGAAGGCGTCGTTGACGGAGGCTTGGCTGTTCTGGGGCGATGCCACAGGGTGGGCAGGGTACTGTCCGAGTACTTTGTCAAACGACATGTCCCCGCCCAAGTTGCGTTGAGACGAAGACACCTCGTGCTCAGCTTGCTGAACCTGCTCGAGGCACTTGATCTCCTCCTTCTCGGCGAGCCACTGCTGAAATTGCTCCAGCTGACGATCGGCGAGTTGCTGAGAAGCCGTCTGCGAAGGTTGAGTGAGCTGCAAAGAGTTGGGAACGATTGGGTCGTTGTGCAATGGACCGAACAGATCGATATTGGCAAGCCAATCAAGCTCTTCCTTGAGTTGGTGAGCAGGCTGGTCGCTGCTCCAGTCGACTGCTCCGGGCGAGCCAAAGTCACGAGATGATGCTGGAGAGGACGCCGTCTGATCCCATGGAGAGTCGAAAGGCACAGGATGCTCTCGAGGCTTGGTGAGAGTGCTTTGATGGCCAGCAGGACCCTTTGAGACAAGGTCCTGCGGAGCAACGTGGACTTGAGTTTGGTTCATGTTGGGGTATGAATAGGTGGCAAAGTCAATTGCCAGCAGAGCTGAGATGGGATCGACTGGCATCGAATGGCGTGAGTGAGAGGGCGGTTTTGGCTCGTGTTGGACTGGTATCGAAGATCGTTTGTTAAAGGCGAAACGGAAATGGCGTTGCGGGCAACGTCGAAGAGGTGGGGGATGTGGTACGGTTGAAGAAGTGCGAGCGAGCGAGTTACACAGGCTCAAGCATGCTCAGTCGTTTGAAAATGCGCAGCAGTTGCTGCATGTGCGGGCGCGCGGGGCGAGCCCTGCCGATGCCCTGTGGACTCGGGCACTGGAGCAGCGCTGCTAGTGAAGGTGACTAGCCTCGCCCCACCAGAGCCGCGCGGTGCGGCACCGTCAATCCGACGGAAATGAGCTGCTCATTCTGCACCGGCGAACTGCCGTGGCTCCGTCCCTCGACGGACAGAAACGCATACACTGCTAGGGTGCCATCGCACCGGACTCACGCGCCACGATGTGAGGAACACCGCTCTGCTCCTCGTAGCCGTGAGTGCATGACTGCTGATGTAGACCTTGTGCATGCAACGAGTGACTCGACGCAGCAAGGGCGCTCTAAAGGCGGATCAAGCCTCGGAGAAGAGGTGATCATCAAGAGTGAGGCTGTGCTGCTTGCATGACTCACCCTTGACTCACGACTCACACTTGACTGTTACAGTTTCCGTGATTATTACTCACACTGTTCATCTGCTGCTTCCACGACGTGACTGCCGCGTCGGACGTCGCCTGCACAGCAACAATCTTGAATAATGGCGTCGACCACCATGTCTGTGTTTAAGTCACGAGTCACGATCGATGAGTGCTATGTGGGATCGTCCACCGCGGATGTGCATCCATGCATCAGATCGTGCATATGCCGGATTGCGATCGACTGACCGAAATATCTTGTACGCGCACCCTTCATATCAACGTTCCGCGGCCCCATCCAATGTTCAGGGTCGTGCCGCTCGGCTTTGCAAGCCGAAGCTATAGGAGAGTGAGGCTGGATGAGTTTCTACGGGGACTTTCTTGGAACGCAGTGGAACAAGTTCCACCATCTGAATCTTACCATCGCCTACTCGTAACCAGCACAATGACGGGGATTTGGGCCAAGAAGAGTCAATCGTGAATGCCCCTGTGTCTCCTGTCCCGTCACAGTCGTGAGTAGTCACAAGTCAAATTCAAAATCGATCCTATGACTTCCGATGAAATCTGCCCGCTCGTCTCTCCACGAGGGGCGAAGCGAGATCACACTCCCCAAGATCTGCTCTCCCAGAGACAAATGTGAGTTCGCGAGCCGTGCACAGCAAGGTGACCACAGTCAGATGAACCGACACGGACTTTCAAAGAGATCGTGAATGGTGTTTAGTCAACGATGAAGAGGATGAATGGTCTGAGTCAGTCGAGAGTGGCTTCACGCCAAAGATCTTATGCGCTACGGAGGCTTGCACGTCCCGCTAAGAGCATCCAGCGGAGCGCACAACATTGGCGTCGCGCCCGTAGACATCATGCCTGCACAAGCTTAGAGCATCTGACATCGCAGCACGAGAAGCCCTTTTTGGGGGCAAAGTCTGCAAGTGTGCTCCCCCCCCTTTCTAGGGATAGAGATGATTTAGATGATGTCTCTTGGGCTAAGATACCTTGTGCTCGAGGGGCGTACCGCTGTTGTCGGATAGAGCCGCAACTTCACCTGATATCGCAGAGAGCATCAACTTCACGATTGGCCATCGACCCTTCTTCATGTAACACGGCCTTGGCTCATATGCTTTCAAGCTCGCAACACTCAACGGAGCAGTGCCCCTGACTTCCCTGAAGTCGCCCTTGAGCCGAATAGATGGGCGACTCGCTCCACAGTCGGCAGCGCTCTAGGACCAGGCAGCTTTCGGCATTGCCCAGCAGCGGCGACGCTGAGTGCGACATGATCTTTCTGCAAAGAGACCCGCGCATTTCATCTTCTCGATTCTCTATGAAGGTGCTTGGAGGAAGCGAAGGGCCGGGGGAGCGTCGAGAATGTTTTGCCAAAAGCTACGAAGAGCTTGCCGGTCTTTTCGGCGGAAAAGTTTCCGGTGGGGTAAGCGTCATTTAAGTACGCTTTTCGAGCTAGCCCGCGGCAGACGCTAAGTTCGCCGTGAATACTGTACCTAGACGTGCGATTTGCATAAAAACGTGTCCGAATCTAAAGGAGCTTTGAGAAGCCATCGTTATAGTGACTGCTAGGATTCTGTGTGCGCGACTGTCCACATCTATACTGGGTGAGGTCAGGACCGTGGACAGGGTGATAGAGCGCTTCCGACACCGCTGGCGAATGCCGCGAGATTCACGATTGTCATTGGTGTTTGTGATCCACGACGGCAGTCGCGAGTCTCCAAGCGGCTGACCTATAGGATGGAGAAGCTGTGCATGCGCTGCGTCCCGTATATACCTTCCAGCCATCACGCATGTTGATGAGCATGCTGCTATACCTGAGTACTTGCGCTTCGAAGACTCATCAGACTCACACTGCAAACGCTTGCTTGTGGCGCCGGCCGCATGCAGCAAATCACGAATGCTGCATGCAACGACGCGGGACGCGCAAGTCTTGAATCAAATGGGCGCGCCCCATGACCGTCGCAGCTAGGCTCGCAGCCGTGAACTGTGGGTTGATGAAGCACATGCTGCATGCATGCATGCAGCATGCGGACACCCGGGATGCTCGACCACGAGCCTCGGTTGGAAGTCCGAACCTCCCAGACACGCATTCGAGATTTGAGGCCATGCCATCCAAAGCCACGGGCAGCGCGACCGACTCCACCGAAAGCCACATCTCAACTTTCGAAATAGATTTCCAGCACCATCTCTCCCCGAGTCCACAACACGAGCAGCATTTTATAGTCATTGCTGTCGTCGGCAGCGCTGCGAAGCCAGGCCGCGTTCTAGGTCCCTGTCACTGTACCTTGGTCAGCTGCTGCAGATCGGAATGCCCCATCCAGTGCTTCAACACCACAGGTATAAGACGACAAGCACGACATCCTCGATGATCGCAGTCCACCATACAATGTGTTGCTGTCTCATATGAGCACCAGTCACCTTTTGGCCTTCACTCGACGATCTCTCGACCGAAATTGCCAACCACATCATCAGAGCTCCTGCCATCAGCTCCATCTAATCTTTCTGCACGCTCGGGCCGCCTCCGGCAGATACAGCGATCCCAAAGCCCGGACTCGTCATCGAAGCAGGCACAGGTAGCAAAGATTGCTATCATCAACGATCACGCACGCATGTCACAAGCCACTCACCTGGTCTCAATGGCCAATGGGCGACTCGCAGCGCTCAACCATCAAATTGGCGCATCTGGGAGCACGGCTCAGCATCAGGACTCAGGAATTGGACCATCGATCGAGTCGACTCATTCCGCTCCTTCCAGCACTGCCAGCAGAACCGAGAGCGTAGGCAGCAGTCGACCAAGCAGCAGCCGCAGTGCTAGCACGAGCAGCGATATGCCCTCTGTCTCCTCTGAGCACGAAGATCGCTTCGGGCCTTATGGACCATTCGGCCCAACTTTTGCCTTGATACCTCAGGCACAGAATTATGAGTGGGGTGTCATCGCTAGCGATGGCAGCTTGGTCGCAAAGTATGCCTCCGCTACTGTCGAGGCAGACGTGCACATCAAGGACAGCAGACCTTACGCTGAGGTGAGTGGGCTTTGAGATAATGATGAAAGGCCAAAGGAGTTCGTACGGCTGGCCTCGCTTGATGCCAAAATGTATGCGCTCCAGTGCTTGCGCTTACAAATTCATCGCTATCACCTATCAATACGCAGCTCTGGATGGGCACGCACCCCTCACTGCCCTCGCTTGTGATTCCACCCAAGCAGTCTGGATCGATCCCGCCTGCTGGCCGCTTCATCTCGCTCTCTTCGTATCTGTCGCAACACACAGCATTGCAGGGAAAGGTCGTTGCCCGGCGCTTTAGGAGACCTGATGGAGAGCTGCCATACCTGTTCAAGATTCTGAGCGTCGCAAAGGCATTGAGCATACAAGCTCACCCAGACAAAAGCCTTGCTGAGAGGCTGCATCGCGAGAAGCCCAAGAGCTACAAAGGTGAGCTTCTCGAGGTGACGCCGCGACATAGATGGGCTCTCTGACGCCCGGACTGCTTTTGCTAGATGACAATCACAAGCCAGAAATGGCCATCGCCCTGACCTCTTTTAGGGGCTTCTGCGGCTTTCGCCCGCTGAAAGAGATGGCAACGTACCTGGATGCGGTGCCAGAGTTTCAGCGGGTTGTGAATGCTCCTTCGGCGTTTGCTGCTGAGCTGGCATACAAGGCCAGCGACTCCGCAGGAACGAGCGAGGACGAAGCTCGCGACTGGGTTCGAGGAATCTTCTCTAGGCTCATGAATGCACAGGCAACTACATACAAGAGCGCCGTCATGGATCTGGCAGCAAGATATAGAGCGGCTCTCCAAGACGGGGTCGAGCTGGAGGTCGACAAAGATCTGGCGGGCCTGCTGGTGACCCTCAACGAACAGTATCCTGGCGATGTCGGAGTACTTTGCGCCTTCGTGCTGAATGTGGTGGATCTGCAGCCTGGCCAGGCGCTGTTTTTAGGGGCCAACGAGCCACACGCCTACATCAAGGGCGACATCGTAGAGTGCATGGCTAGCTCAGATAATGTTGTACGCGCAGGTCTGACGCCCAAGGAACGAGATACTGAAACATTGGTCAGCATGTTGACGTACAACAGCGGCTCAGCAGAGAGACAGCTCATGTCGCCTTCGCCATATCCACCTGCCGAAGGTAGTCTGAGCGCATCTGCGTATGAGGAGGTCAAGGCTGACTCGCACGGCTTGCCGGACGTGCCTAGCTTACTGTACGATCCGCCAATTGAAGAATTCTGCGTCATACGGACTACACTGAGATCTGCATCAGGTCCACAGACCTGGAAGGAAGAGACTCAAAAGCCACTCGATGGACCATCCGTCCTCATCGTCACTTCAGGCCAAGGAAGCTTCGTTTCTATTCCGCAGCCCGTGTCTCACTCGAATGGACACGCCTCGCACAACGAGAGACCTTCAGACACGATGCAGCCCGATTCGAGAAGGCAATTCGAGTTGGAAAGAGCAGGACAGGTTTTTTTTGTTGGCGCTGGAACGACGATCACGCTGCGGGTCAAGGAGGACTCAGTGGAGGATCTTGTGGTCTTCAGAGCTTTTGTCGAGGCGCCTCACGATGCTTGAGGAGGTGTAGTTCGACCACTTTGCCGCTCTCTTCGACCTCTCTCCCACCACCTCAACGATCGAGCCATTCCTTATTTGGTGTACCGTGGCTACGTCTTTCTTGCTCTTGTCTTGCTGTTCGCTTCTGCTCTCCTGATCTGCTGCTATTTGCAATGTCAAACTTTGTCACACGATCTTTGCTGTGAACTTGGCTCTAATTGACTACTGATCAACAGCTTCGCCCCGAAAAGGCCCAAATCGTAAGATGAGCCGCCGGCTTTTCAAGGTCACGTGTGCAATCTTGTGAACGTCATGGAAGCCGGATCGCAGCTGCATGACTCTCGCTGCTGCTGCAAGCCTGCTGGTGGCGTGCGCGGTCTCACGCGCAATTCTAAATGAGTATTCACGATTCTCCGCTTTCCTACGGCTGACGCTGGATGCTGCTCTAAGCCAAGCTGCTTCGCCCCCGCACGCAGGTCGCCCGCCAGATTCCTCGCTTGCATCTGCATGCTACATCTAGCCTCCCGGCCACGGCATCGATCGACCTGCGAAGCTGTTGTGGGACCCAGACGACTCGTGAATCACGATACAACGGCAAGGAGAGCCTTGCGAATACACGCCACGACGCCGCTCTCTCTTTCCACTCACCTAGCAACGTGCGACTCGACGACGGCTACGAAGATTGACAAACCACCGCCTCGTTTTGGCTGGGCCGAGCTGTGGGTAGCCGCACGCGTTGAGTGAACGCCGCGACAGAAGCATCACAGTAGCGGTCAAGGCTGGCCATCGGATCGATCTTCAGCAGACGACAATCCAATACGGCACTGCGCGAGACCAGTCAGGTGTGGCATCATTTCTTTCGACGCACGATTTGAGGATACGCAGCTGGTGTTCGTGCTCTCTTCTAGTTCCGCAGCTCTGCTTGCTGAGATTCAGATCAAGCTCGCCGTGCACTCCGGAAAATAATTGGTGGTCATACCCCAAGTCGCGAGACGCAGCCCGCGCTCCAACGCAGCAAACATGTCTTCGTCAGCACAGGTCATAGATGCGTGAGTGCCAAGAGCTACTTTGACTGCAATCTCGCTGTCTGGTCTGGGTCATTGACGTCTGCAAAATGATCCTCGCACATGTGCGGAACAGGCTGTTCGAGAGGACAGTGGATATCGTTCAGAGTCTACCAAAGACAGGTCCGATTCAAACGAGCTATGAGGAGAAACTGGCTCTCTACAGGTGAGGACTGCGAACTTGTTCACAGCAAGCAGCTCGTTTGCTCACCTTCAAATTCGCACACGCCGTGTCTCTCCGGCCAGTCTGTACAAGCAAGGTGAGCCAGACGTTTTCGACATCCGTAGGGGTTTTGGCTTCGCAGAACTGACGGCCGATCCCCTGTACTGCAGCAACGGAGGGGAATGTCACCTCTCGTAGACCTGGAATGCTCGATATGCTGGGGAGGGCAAAGTGGTGCGTGCACAGAGCGATTCACCTCGATTGCAATCCTCAGTCATGCGTGTTGATACGTCTATCCGCATGGTGCAGGGATGCCTGGGCAGGTCGCAAAGGTCTCAGTAGCATGGACGCAAAGCAGCTCTATGTAGAAAGCATGCTACGAGTGAGTACAGCATGTCTGCGTGCTTCAGCGAGCTTCCAGAAAACGAAAGCTCGAAGGCAAAAGCTCACATAAGATTGCGCTTGCAAACAGACTTTGCGGAAGTTCAGCGACCGGCCCATGGCGATCGCTCTGATTGAAGAGCTGGAAAGCTACTCTGGCGATGTGGCAGATCGGGTCATGAGTGGTGCGCATACAGCTTTTCGAGCCAAGGATTGTCTGAAGAAGCACGGCTGACCGGACCAATGACGTGCGCGCAGCTTCGCTTGCTCAAGCGGATTCGGACACAGACTCGGACACTCGTCCGCCCTCCCCTGGAGGGCCAGCTCAAGCCTTGCATGACTCAGAGTCGGAGAGGGACGCAGTCCCTCAGCTGCCGCCCTCTGCTTTGGCATCGGCTTCAGTATCTCGCCCGACGTCAGCACAGGCGACGAGAGGGCGAGGAGCAGCCTGGGCTGGCAGACAGAGCGCTGGACCTTCTGCCAGTCAACAGGGGCCGCAGCGCACAGGGATGGGATCCGCAGCCCCCGCGCCCGGTGCTCAAATAAGTGACTCCGAGACGGAATCGGATGGAGACACGGCAGAGAGGTACGAAAGGAGACAGGCGGAATTGGAGAGTGCAGCTGCAGCTGCAGCGGCTGCGAGGGGTCAGGGCGGCAGGCGAGGGCCGCCAGGTGGGCAAAGTCATGGACCACCGGCAGCGCATTCGAGAGGATATGCTACACCGCAATCTTGGTCTCGAGGGCCTGGCAGTCTGAGCGGACACGGGGATCAAAGATTGTATGCGCCTCCAGGTGGCGCGCGAATGCCGCCTAGTGAGTCTGCTACAGGCTTTGGAGGAGGTGCGGGCGCTTCTCTCTACTCGACTGCAGCACCCTCTAGGGCTCCACCTGGACTCGGGGGAGCCCATGGGCCTGGACCAGGTGGGGCCCCTCCCAGCGAACAGCATTACTATCATCATTCGGGAAGTGTCAGACCATATGCTCCTTCGTCGGTGGGTGGACGGTCGGGCGGAAGGCCGATGCCACAGCAAGCAAGGGGCGCACCGTCAGGGGGAGGAGACGTGGAGCAGGCGCTGCAGTCCATCCAAAACAGTCTGACCGCACTGCACGAAAGACTGAACCGGGTCGAGACGGACCGAGGCAGATCGGGCTTGATGGGCATCTTCTTTGGAGGTAGTGCCGGAGCGGCGGGAGGAGCATCTGGCGGAAGAAATAGTCGAGGAGGAGCTTTGAGAGCGGCTTATGGAGCTTTCGCCGATGCTCTGCACGACATTGCGATATTGGTAGGCCTATCCTCTACGGTAAGGGGTAACGCTGCGCCACCCTCTTATGCTCTCGCATCTGGCTCGCGAGCAGGCAGAACAGCAACAGGATCAGCTAGCGGGCGCTCGATTGGAGGGTCTGGTAGATCTCCAAGCGGAGCACCTTTGAGGCTGGCTATTGCGGTGCTCAATCTCAGCGTTCGACTGGCGTTGGACTTGACTAGCTTAGCTCTGCTTGCCAGTCTTGTCCTGCTGCTGATCCAAAGAATTACAGGCAGAGGAGATCCCCTCCTTTTGCTTCGCATTGCTAGACGCTGGAGACCTAGACGCCTTCTCAACGCTCCCGCATCCAATCGCGGCTTGCAGAACGACGCGCAGAAAGCTTCAACAGTGCAGGCATAAAACGGAAGGAGCACCTCAGCATCGATCCACGTTTGTGCACGACGGAGCTTTCCCATTCTTGGGGCGCTTCACGGACTGTGGGCACTGTGTGGACCTTCACGTTGCACTACCTCTTGAGGTCACACCCGTTGCACCCGAATCCAAATACCAACGATACTGCTCATTCTGGCCTCGTCTAAGTTTGTGTGACTGTCGTTTGAATACCACCGTGCGGGCTCAACCACACGTGTTAGGCTTATCATGTATCGCTGGATGCAATTTACCAGCGTGCATGTCTGCACTCGTAAGCATGAGAGATGCGACCGCCCAGGAGTTCGATCGAGGAAAAGGTGATGCAGCCAAGGTGAGAAGGGCAAGAATGATTGCCGGACCGCACAAAAAGCCTGGCCGTTAGTTATGATCCCCGAAGCCCCTTGCGGGGGTCGAACACCAAACCAACGACCAGTCCCCAGAGCTGCACCTGCGGCAAGTGGTGTGAATACACGTACTGCTTCTACTTCCACTCGGACACAGGGCTTCTGTTATAAACTTAAATGTGTGCATGCGCGCTCTATTCTCTCTCCATCCTGTCTTTTCTGCATGCATCTGCATGCACACGGATCAGACGCTCAACTTCAAGCTCTCGCAGATTGACATTCTGGAACATGGCATGCCTGATTGGTCCTGAGTGGTGATGACGCTACATTACAACAAGCCTGGCAATTCTCCTCCGGGAACCCTCTGATCCTCCTGTTGGGCAGAGCAACGAATCAAGCACGCAAAATTAGCTTGCTTGCTCCTCTACTGCGCAGCAACGACAGGCGCGTCGCGAGGCAGCGCATCAATACTTACAATGAGAATCTGCGGTCGGAAGGGCCAGCAGTCGAAGACTCTTGCCAGCGCAGCCCACTGCTCGTTGGTCAGATGCATGACGATATAGTCAGGCAGAATGATCCTTTCCGGGTGATCCCTCGTCTCTTCCGTCCCTGGCTTCAGGTGCTGCAGAAGGTTCTCGGCACCGGGAGCGACGTGCCTGAGATGGTGTTTGGAATTGCGCGTCAGGACCAGAATGCTCAAGCTTGCGAGGAGTCCGTTCAGGCCCTACTTACTTGAGAGCTTGTTCGAGAGTCTGATTGCGAAGCACAAACAGGTTGCGAGTGATGAATTCCAAAGCATCCAGCTCTCCGTGACCAACTAGTGGCTTGATCTTGGGATCCACGACGATCAAGCTTGTACCTCTTTTGCTGAGGTTGGCCGCCAACCTCGCAGTCTTGTAAGCCGCAAGCACCTTACCCTCGTTGATATCTATCTCTCTCTGGATGACTCCGGGATCTCGAAGTGCTGTGCTTGGATAAATCTTCTGCGAGTGGGGAAGGAACTCCGAAGCAGGAAGGGCCTTGGTGACGTCGCCGAGTGACTGTACGATCACGCCCAATTTGGCTCGAGCGCGAGTCCCTGGCTCAGCAAGAGCTCGCTAGAGAGGCCATGACCAATGCACATCAGTCGGTATGCAGACCAAGCTTGAATCGCTCTGCACTCACGTTTGCCAGCGCTTCAGAGCATACAAACGCCATCTTGACGCGGGCGAACTGAAAGTACCATTGCCGGTGGGCGATGGCGTGACAGAGCTGGGCGAACAATTGCTCCGAGTACACAATATTTGGAAGCTGAGCAAGGAAGATGATTGGCGATTTGGCTGTGAGGGTATAAGGAAGCGAGACCGTCAATGAATTGCATTCACGACCGCGACTTTTTCACCGTCAAACGAACCGTTCCAGCTTTCCGTATCGTGCTTCCTTAAGCTAGAAACCTTTCCTTGCGAGATGGCTTCAACATCGATGGTCTCCTCTCCGTTACCATCTCCGGGCAATTTGCCTTGCAGGTGGTCAAAGGCTCCCCTCAGAATGGCGTTTGTGTGTGCTTCCCACTTGTATGCGTTCGTTTGCTCGATCAGGAGCTTTGAGCCCGGAGGGCCGCCCGCGACTGTCGGATCGTTTTGCAGGGCCTGCGAGAGAGCTGCTCGTCTCAGCACGACACTCTGAGGTGAAAGAGCGGAGCTGAGCACTACTCACCTGGATACATGGCAGGTACGTCGGGTTGTCTTCCATTGCGATCACCTTCTCCACCTTTGGATGTTCCAACAAAAGCCGTGTGAGGATGCCAGGACCTGACGAGCAAGGGTGTAAGGTGGTGCTGTCCTCGGCCGGAAGATTTGATGTCACTGTCCGACTTACCAGGATACGCCTCGACGATGGTCACTTGTCCCTCCGCCTCGTCGAGATTCAAGCCCTCGATCACACGTTGAGCTAATTCCTTGTCGCAAATAAACGTCCTGTTTCTGCTAATACCAACGCCCGCGCTAAAGAGTTGTTTCCAGTGCTTCTGAGCGGGTAGATGCGGGAAATCCTCGTGCCTTTCGAGCGCGCCTGTGTCGGAAGGGGTATCTGCGGCAAGATCTTCGAGCGTATAGGTTCTCTTCCGAGGTCCAGCAGGTGGTCTGCTGGGTGAAGTGTCCGACTTCTTGGACTTGCCTCGCCGAGAGGGAGATGAGCCACCTTGCTTTGTAGAAGTGGCCATGGCTCGAGCGCTCGCGCATACAACTGGGTGCCCGACAGATTGGTGGACCTTCGGTGCTACCATCGGTGCTGCTGAGGCTCTTGCTGGCGCAGTGCATCTCGACACACATGCTCTAGAAAGGAAGGCAGAGGAGCTGGCTTGGTTCGAGGCAGACCAGCACGTGCGTCGTGTGACAGCGAGCATGGCGGCGACTTGGGGCTGTTGATTGGAGCAGATGCAAGCACTCAGCTCTGTGCTCTATCTGTCGAGGGCGAAGATGCTGCGTGGCGATGTGCGGATGGACAAGGAGGCCTCAGCACGCTCTCGAGCCTCTTGTTTAGGTCACTGCCAGTGAGGGTCTGGGGTGACCGATCTGATACAGTTGGCACCGACGGTTGACACAATCTTCACGGCGAGATTCGAGTGTGTAAAGTCCAGGTTGAGCCTCCGACAACAGCTACAATCTCGAGTAGGATATGGTGGTCGACACTTGGAGCTGCAATCACAAATTTTGAGTTGAGACTATGCTGCGATTGCCGTCGATGCATGCAGCGGCTGGGCTGTGGTGGACTAACGATTTTGAGTCATGATCAGGAGTTTTGTAAGAAGAAAGAGAAATGGAGATGAGTCACGTGCACAGAATTTCGGCCCCACGGCGGCAAAGTTCGTGTTGACAGCAGCCCGACGGCCAGAAGAAGAGTCACGATCGACGGGTCTTGATGAGTCGCTGCAGGCGCGCGCACGCAGGGGCCCTTGCGCTGTGGAGGCGGCGTTGGCGTCTGCACCTACTCGCGTGGGTTGCATCAAGACTCACGACTTGACTCACACTGCGATGTAATGATCGATCAGTCGTGAGTCCTCTTGGCTGTGAATCTTGAATCCACGACGGTAGCTTTGATGACCACCTCCCAGCGTAGACACTCGGCATTCCCAGATTTGAGGTCTCCATTACGACTCTCCTTGCAAGCTGCATTTTCCATCCAGCCTGTTCTCGACCGAGCGTCTCTGCGAATCTGAGCAGCACTCGCCACGCCCTTCGACGACTTTGAAGCCGGGGTCGTGGTCATGTGGATGCTGACCAAGGCACTGTGAAGTATCAGCCCGGCAAGATGGAGCCCTTTGTAGCTTCTTACGACGCAGCACACTTGAGCACGCCTCAGCTGTTCTGGTCCGAGCTCGATGAGATTTTGTATGCGGATCTCGAAGCGCCCGTTGCCAGCAGCAGTAAGACGCAATACCCTGCCAGGATATCCAAGAGCCAAGTGCCTAAAGTCATATCTGGCTTTCTGAGGCTAGCGGATGCCTGCTATGGTGAGTGCAGCATCTTGAAACCCGGTTTACTACGTGCTGAAGGTTCGAGATGCATCGCACGCTGCTCCCGTCGCTAGGCCGATACCTCGAGCAGACTTACAACCTAGATCACGCGATCGCGCGACTCTTTGACAGCCCTGCTTTCTCTGATCACCACGAATATGCAGCGGAGTTGGTCGTCAATCTCGTTCGAAATGCGCGGACCATCCCGTCTCTTCTCATCGGATACGAGGTGATCCTACAATACGGACAGTCCGAACCCATCATTTTCAAGCACCTTCAAGGGAGCGCCCGTGATCTACTTCCAAGGTTAAAGCATCAGATCTGGGCTGGACATTACGCTGCGCAGGCCGATCAGAGCCTGACATCGAGGCTCACGGCGAATGACGGCGTCATGCAAGACCACGACGCGGGCTGGAGTGGGGCGAGCTGGGACAAATCTGATAGCGATCGCTACGAGACTGAGTATACATTGCCGAACGCTAGGCTCAATAATGCCAACGACAGCGCAACCAGCTGGCGACGGTGGCAGCTGGAGCTGCGGAGAAAAGCCGTGAGACTGCTTTACGAAGTCTGTAGAGTGCAAAAACTGGATCATAGAGATATGAGTGAGTGTGATCTGCGAGACATTTTGAGGATGACGGACCCAGCTGAGCACGCTCGACGATGCGCTGGTGGATCCTACAGGAGCTATCGATGCCAAACTAGTGGATCATCTGTTCGATTTGGTGGAGGACACTCGACTGCATGCGGACGAGGAATTCAATTATCTGCTCATCAAAGTCATCGTGAGTTCAGCCCTGGCCTGTAACCGATCTGTACAGGCACAAGTTGAGCAAACATCTGGGCACCGTTTTAGGTCGCATTGAATGAGCAGTTCATGGTTTCGGCCCTTGCATTAGCACCAGCAGCTACTCAAGACGAAAAGGCTTCGCAGGATACACCGCAAAGGTCCGGCAATCTCATCATATCCATCTTGAAAGAGCGCTTCAACCACTCGAAGACGTTCGGAGAGAATCTCATCTTCATGCTCAATCGCGCCTCTAGCTCAGATGCAGAGGATCTATGCATGCAGCTGCTCGTTCTGAAGCTGCTGTATCTGCTCTTCACCATGCAAGAGACGGCGCACTACTTCTACACTAATGATCTCAAGGTTCTTGTTGATATCTTCATCCGAGAGCTTTCAGACCTTCCCGATGAAAGCGAATCGGTGAGTAGGTTCGGATTGTCCGGGCCAGCTTTGTAGAACTGCTCCTGAAATACCCGATCCTCAACAGCTTCGACATACATATTTAAGGGTGCTGCATCCTCTGCTCACTTGCACACAACTACTGTCGCACCCGTACAAGCGAACGGAGATCCGACGCCTTTTACTGGGCTTGATCTCACATGCGCACTTGAGAGACATCACACCGACCACAAGTCGCCTAGTGGCTCGCTGTCTGCAGGCTGAATGGTGCGTCGAGCTCGACGCGCTGGACCCCTCGAATGCAGCCGCCATCAAGCAATTGGTTCGACGACACGACTCCAGCAGCTCGATGACGGAGGAAATGGCCGATGCAGGCGTGGCGATCGCTTCCGTACAATCCATAGCTGGAGGGCCCGCATCGAAAGTGCTGGTAGAGACTACCATCGAGAATGGCAGGCCAGTAATTGCGCCCGACGCTTCCGCTCCAATATCGACCGGAGCTGATGCAATGGCGATTGCTGTAGCAGTCGAGGACAGGGGCATCTATCCGAGCCTGACAGGCTCAGCTGGTCGGAACCTTGAAGAGAGCTCTCTCTCCGCCAGCGCTGACGTCAAAGCAAATAGCTCTGGCGGCGAACGGGTAAGCTCGGTATCCCAGCACATCGAAGTGACGCCCCGGAACGGGACGGTGCCTTCCTTCCCTCAAACGACTATTACCCGCGATTCTGCCTCAGGCGTAGTCGCCAGCGCCAGCGAGACTGACGCTGCGATGCAGTCGTCTTGGCATGCGCAGGCGCTGCCTTCAATCTCACTGCTATCAGAGCACTCGGAAGCCTCGGCGCCCAGGACTTCTTCGCGAGGACCGGGTCCACCAAGACCACCCAAGCCTCGTGGCGCTTCGTCACAAGCGACAGCTGTTGAGAGTACAGCATCCTCAACTGATTTCCCAGTCAACGTTGAAGACGGTACTGGCAATCCGACGCATGAGGATGACCTGAAGCCCAACGCGCCCAAGCCGTCGCGGGACAATGCTCTCAGCGCGAGTAGTGTCGATGGTCTCCCCGACACTGCCGATGGTCTCGTGTACAGCTTTCCGTTGGTCAGAGTGCAGACCTCCGAACCATCAACGGAGGCGAGGCAGACACAGTCCGAGATGTTACCTTTCCGCCCGCCATCGCTCCACGTTCAGCACGCTTCAGGTGAAGGTGATGTCGATGAAGACAGCACACTTCGGACAACGACCCTTTCCGACCTGTCCTCGAGAGATAGAATGCGTAGCTCTTCGAACGCGGCAAGCGGAAGCTCCACGCCTCAAAGACGGAAGCCGCCGGCTCCGCCACGCGGAACAAATGGTGTTGCTTATCTGGGAGTTGGCATGGGCAGACCAAGAAGAGGCTCTATGCCTAATTCCCCTATTCAAAGCAGAAGCGAGCTCGCACCAAGCGATTATTTGCAACCCTCAGATCCTGCATCGCAGACATTTGCACCCTTAAGCTCTGATGCTGCAGAGGCGCGCCAACCTGATTCAGCGCCTGCCATCTCCCTCCCTCGGTCATTCATGCGGGAAAGGGATCACATACCGCGTGCCTCATCCTTCGCAGACTTAAGCGCACGGGCACGCGAGCAGCCGCCTCCTGCTGGTATGGACGAGGCTGCAGAAGGAGCTCGAAGCTCGTCGAGCAACGGCCTTTACCCGTCCAGCAAAGTCCGTCGAAGACCGCCGCCACCGCCTTCTTCTGCGAGTAGCAGCAACAGCCCAAAGCTGATGGCTGTCTCAGGCTCTTATCCTTTGGCCAAGACTTCGGAGACGACCGCTTCTTCTCACTTGAAGCCTAAACCTCCGCCCATCAACCGAGCGACGAAGGGAACTGCCTCGCCTAGACCCGCCACACCTTTGGTGGATGACCAATCGCGCGACAAATCTCGTGATGACTCGGACCGGAATACGTCTACCGGGCAGCTTTCTGGAAGACTTGAACAGCTCAGATGCGCTCATTGAAGTCTTGATTGATGAAGCACTGCCTCGTGTTCCCTATACCGCGCGGCTTGCCTGGCGCTTGCAATGCAACACATCTCTCTCTTCTATACTGTCGGACAACTTCTTGCCTGATTCGCCTGAGTCAAAGACGTGACCGCGCGACGATCTCATTTTCTGCGTTTGGTCAATTTCCCACTGAAATTTGCATGTACGTAAAGAATCAGAATGTAGGACCTGTGCTATGAACAGAAGATCACGAAGCGCGTCGAGCCGCGCGCGGGGTTTGGGACGCTAGGGCGAATTCGTGGCAAAATCGTTCGAGTCACGTGTTGGAGCGCAATGCAAGCGACACCCAGGCGCGCACGACGCTCAATCCCTTATTCTTGATTCAAGATTGAGCGTCTCGAACCGACTTCCTTAATCGAGAATTTGAATTGTGAATGTGATGATGATCTTTCGTGGCTTCCTTGAAGTCGACATCGCACCAGCTCCGTCTGTGACATATTCAACAGCCAGACGTCGTCGTCACGCACCTCATCGCGGATTTGCCAAGCCCCCACTTCCGCCGAAGTCTTTCAACACGACAAGCAAGCAAGCTCGATCAGCCATGTCTCTCATCGTGCCCAGCTCGTCGCAAGGCGAAGGATCATCGCACGCGGTCACACAAAGAGCGGCGTACGACGCCTTACCTTACCACGATAGAGAGTTGGAAAATGTGCCTGGTCTCAAATCACGTGTAGACAAAGAGATACAAGCGGAACTGCAGTCGATTGCGGCGAGAGACAAGGCTAGTGGAGGAGCGATTGGTGTTGTGAAGGATAGGTTGCCTGTCGAACCGAAATTGTTCGAGGTGAGAGCGGCGCGCGACGTGCTTGATCAGACGAATGTATGTGATGCTGATCACAAAGTGCTGATGGTTGTCCCACTATCTTCACCCCCTGGCAGCACCGATCTGACTTGCAAGCAGAGCTGAGCCGTATTGCTGAAGGCAACAAAACCAAAGCCATCGATGGTAGTCGTTATGCCCTCTCATCGCCCTCTGGGAATGCAGCTTCCGATGCTCACGCGTGGGACAAAGCTTTGAGTCAAGCGGAGGCGGCTTTGGGACATGCGAATGTTCGCAGAAGCAATTTGGAGCTGGAGAAAAAGTTCGGAGGTGAGTTTATGACTGAATAGACGAGCTGTGGCGGGGATGTTTGATGTTTTGGAGGGGGCGTCAATCGAGTGGCGTATAGACAAGCTGGCACAGACCCGGTACGGGTACGGTATGTGGCCGCTTTGAGTCTTCTTCAGATGTTCTGACACTCTGGATACATGCCTCTTTGCTCGGCAGCAAACTTGTGGAGGCTTCACAACTTTCAGCAAGAGTCCATGTTGCGTCAATACGAAAAGGCGGTGGAGGATATGCGTACACAGACTGCCGATCTCAACCGGTCCAGAAAAATGTCACAAACACAGGGAGGCGAGACTTTGAGCAGGCTAGAAAGCAAATGGGCCGAATGTATTTCGAGAAATTTGCAGGTCGAGGTGGCGACGCTGCAAGGATTGGCAGAGGTGGAGGAATTGAAGGGCAAGAGGGAAGAGTTGCAAACGAGGCTGGCGCAGCTCGATGCTGAGGCGAGATGAGGTGGCTTCGATGCTCGCAATGATAACTTGCTCATCATCAACATCAAACCTGGCACACAAGGTCGACGAGCCTGTGTGCGTCTGTGAGTCGTTTTGCTGCGTTTGCCGGGCCGCACCCTCTTGCTCAGGTGGAGGAAGAGGGGCACGCTAAGGGAAATCGTCAACTGCAGTCGAGGACTCCTCGAACCTGTTGCTGATGGATCAGGGTCCTCGAACCTGTCGCTGATGGAACAGAGACAGCAAGTACCGTCACAGCTCATGCCATGTTGCTCACATCAGATCCAGCAGTGGCAGATTCCTCTCCCTCATCTCATTGAAGAACCCTTGACGCGCTGAAAGCCCAAACGCAAAGCCAAAGTCTCACATGTGTGGCGGCGACACTGAGCATTACCCTCATTTGGCAAGTCATGCTCGAGATCGGAATTCTATCATGCAGGCATTCGACTGAACTTCAAGGAGGGCAGCATCCTTACTCTATCGTCACCTCTGCATCCTTACTCTATCGTCACCTCTTCATCAGCGTCCCTCAGCATCTAGTCTCCGGCTGAATCTGGCAGGGCGAATCAAGAAGGCTATGCGCCAAGTCGCTTTGAGCAGAGGTGGCTGTAATCATACATGCAAGCTGCTGAACAGGACACCACTTCACTTCAAGCGGCTCGACCACTTGTGTGCGCAAAGGACACTACGTTGCATTCTGGGGAGGAGACCATCTGGTTCATTGGCTCAAGACAATCGACTCTGGCCCGGCCCCGTGCTTTCTACGTGAAGCGCCTTTCGGTCTGCCTAGTGTCGTGTAGATGACTTCAAGGTTTCGCCAGATCTTTGGATGAAGAGGAGCCATAGCGAGCGGATGACTGCCGTAGAATGCCCGCCGGTCTCGAGGCTGGGTCTCTCGAAGTCGATGACGCGTAGCGCGCAGATCCCGGCCTCGTATCGATTAGCTGCTGAGGAGCCTGACTGCTGGATGAGGGTAAGGGGTGGCGAGCGAGCGTTTGCTTCAGAGCAGTCAACTGCTCTATCGCTCGTTGATTCGAAGAGGAGGCAGCGAAACGAGCAGATGATTGCCTCAACTCTTCTAGCTCTTGCGCGGCCTGCTTGCGGCGCATCTGGATCATCGTCTTCGACGCTTGGTCCCAAGTTGGTCTATAAAGAATGCCCATCTCCTGAACCGGATTCTCCTCGATGTCATATACACCCTTCCTGAGCATGGTAGGTCCCCCAGCAGGATCTTTTGGAAGTTCAAAGCGGCCAACAACTTGGCCTTTGTGGACCGCGTCGTACTTGAGGTCTTTCAGCTCTGCCTTTACTTGTTTCAGTTTTCCGTCTCCTTCGAGCTGATGCAGGGCACCATCGGGCTCGACTTGCCACCTACTCCCTGGGAATGCCCAGAAGGCTTTCTTGTTGGTGTGACGGGATTTGCCTTCGTACAGGGAGTCGTGGTCAACAACTCGCTCCCACTCGTCAGAAGGAACGATGGCTGGATCGTGACGGCGATTGGGGTCCGTGTAACCTCCATAGTACTGTTCCCTGTCTTTCATAGGATCGACGTACTCCGTCATGTCTTTGTGAAAGACTTTGTACAAACCTTCGGGGATGTTGAGCGGTGGGGAGGCCAGAGGTGCACTTCCCGCATCCTCAGCGCCGTCTCGCGTGCAGCACAGCTTCTTCAGCGCCTGGGTGAATCACAATGGAGCAGCATCAACCAAAATCTGCGTCAGAACTTGTTCATGCGTGAGTGTGTGGTACAGCGACTAGCTCACCTTGCCAAGCGAAGCTGGTCGCGTCATTACCGCACGAGTAAGTGCAGCCACAATTGCGATAGCGCAGAGCAAAAACCACCTCGACCCCTTCATCGTGCAGTCGCCGATCCCTGTACGTGGCAGGCGGTATGATCGGAGTTCCTGATGTGTCCCGAATGCGGGTGAAGACGAATGATGTGCATTGCCGGGAAAAAGAGCCGCATGGACCCTGCCTTTTGTACGCTATCAAGATGTCAGCTGCGTACAATGCAAGCGATCAACCCACTCAACAGTCGTGAGTCACGTCACAGGAAAAGCAACTGCAATTGGGCGACCTCGATCGCTCTGACTTCCAAGCAGACATGTCGTCCTCCTCAACACATACTCTCCAAAGACACTCACACCTTTCCCTCCATAGTCATTCATCCAAACAGCAAGGGGCACCGGCGGCACGATGCCCATGCAGGGGCACAGCTTAGGCCTGTCGGCGGCGGGGTGTGAATATCAGGCAGGCATGGGTTCATGCTGGGCGGTAACAACGCTGTTGTCCACTTCCTTCGCGAGGCCAGCAGTCACCGCGCTGCCCTTCTCACAACATTCCCCAACAACTTGCGTGTCGTTGATCAACACGGCTTCTAGACTGACGGTCTCGGGCGTCTCCAAACACAGCTTCACTTTAGACGTGTTTTGTTCTGACGACTGCAGGTGATGACAGGGATAAATCGATGCTCAGGCGAGACGAGGTCACTGCTGGTCAACGCGCGGCAATGACATGACCTTGAAAAGTCTCGTACAACTCTGAGCTCGCGGCGAGCCATCTTTGCCTTTACCTGAACCCAAGATCGCCACCAGGCTACCCCACAGGCGTCGATGCCTCAAGCGCGAACATGGCTCGCAAAGCAGTCCAGCCTTCACTCTTCAGGATGTTGTACTGTGACTGCTTGTGGTCAGACTCGATAAGATCTGAACCCTTTTGGCCGCATCTCTCAGCAGGAACTTTTCGGCGTAAACGCGTGGTCAAACAAATCTGGCCATGATACGACGCTGGCAGGGATGGTGCACTCGGATCCTTTCGCTCAAAATGGCATTCGCATCGCTTCGATCTGTACGCTAGGTGAGCCCAAGACCTGACATTTGGTCTGGCTGACAATTCTGTCTGCACAGCACCTGCCTCCACCCGCCAGCAGGAGTCTGATCTAGATGTCGAGCCACGAGAGAGATCCGACGACGTGGTTGTTCACGGGTGCTCCTCCTGATCTGGGGTCTTTGCTGGTCCTTGTTCCGCTGCTACTGGCATCGTTGCGGCTCCTTGCTTTCCCGTCATGTGCTCTGCCGGTGCCGCAACGGGTTCCGGGGCGGGCTTCGCCTCTGCTTGGGCCTTTGCCTGCGCAATCCTCTGCTTGACACGCATTTCGTTCATTGTCCTCAAGGCCTGTTCCCAATTCGGTCTCAGCACAGAGCCTCGCCCGTGCACTGGCTCGCGTTCGATATCGTAGACCCCTTTTTTGAGCGAAGCCTGCCCACCAGATGGATCAAAGGGCAACTCGAACCTACCTACCACCTCTCCTTTGTGAATGGCGTCAAATTTGTGATCGCTCAGCTTCGCTTGGACCCGCTTTGGGACGCCTTCGCCCTCCAGTTGGTGCAGCTCGCCATCTGGCATCACTTGCCATCTGGTGCCCGGAAAGGCCCAGAAAGCCCTCTTCTTCGTCTGGTGCGAAGTACCTTCCCACAAAGACTCGTGGGCAAAACCGGTATTCTCCCACGCGTTGGGCGGGATAATGGTAGGATCATTCGGGTGAAATGGATCTCTGAGGCCCCCATAGTGGTGATCTTCATCTTTTACCGGGTCCGCGTATTCATCCATGTGCTTGTTGAATGGCTTATAACGGCTTGCTGGGATATTGAGAGGAACGAAGACATCGGAGTCCGAGCTGTCAGATGCTCCGGCTCTTTCGTTTGAGCAGCACAGCTTCTTGAAAGCCTTGGTTGGAACGTTTCGACAACCGAACGTGATGCATTGATGGTTTCAGTACCGGCGCCCCTGGAAAGTTTGCTTGCCGCTCGTCGTACTTACTTTGCCAAGCGGAAGCGATCGAGCCTTGTGCGGACCAACAAGTACCAGCGCACTGGCGCAAAGCACTAGAGCTTTGAAGGACTTCATTGAGGGGTCTTTATAGCGGGTGGCGGCGGCTTGAAGTGCAATCATGAACCAAGACGATGTAGCAATCCGAATGAGGTTCAGAGGCAAAGACCAGAGACATGAGACGGCTCCGATACACGTTGCCTTTTATCGCGCTCTGTTGCCTGTTGGAACGTGAGCTGGAACATACGTTCCTCAGCTGGGCGAAGTCTGGACCTGCCTCGCTACGGCCATCTCACATCCCTCATGCTGAGCAGCCAAGGCAAGCGGCACTCACTATCTTGGTGAATCAGCAAATCACCGCCTTTGCACAGTTGGGGTACTCAAAAGGATGACCCCATCACTTGCGCTCATACTCGACGGTGCGTGCCGGTAAAAACATGCTGTGACCGTCCCAACACGAGCATGTATACCACATAAGCACCATTGTATCCTCTGTGCTCTCTCGCGTGTTTGACGGCAGCCCAGACACGTAAACATATCGTCTTGTGTGGATCCGATCAACAGTAAGACGTAAAGACGTTCCGCTCCGCTCACAACAGAGGTCGGTGGCACATCGCCTGCCTCGCACACCGCTGCCACATCTTTGCGAGAGGTGAGCTCAAAGCAGTAACTTGACAGTGGTCCTTAAAGTATCGTTGATGACAGCCTGCCAGATCTTGGTCAATTGCTTCTTCTCTTGCTCGGCAGATGCCTTCCGGAGTCCCATCTCGACAGCACTTTCGCACTCTCAAGGCTTGTGCGCAGCCGGCTGCAACACCACGAACGCGCTCTCTTCAACCCCGAAAAGAATGAAGGTCTTCAGGGCAGCAATGACTGCTGCTGTTTTTTCTGTGTTCATCGAGTACGGTGCTGGCCTTCCGCTTGGAGAGGTGGGTAGAAGCACCGAGAACGGCGAATCATACTGCTTGACCGCCATGCTCACTTGCGAGTCGCTGCTCCTTACTATGTTGCCCGAATGGACAGGCTTTCAGGGGTCTATGCTGCTCGCGCCCAGCCGTGCTCGAAGCCGCGCCGGTTCGCGCTCCAGTCGTGACCGACAGAGTGACGATCGTGCCCGGCACTTATCCCAAACTCTCAAAGGATCTGGACGAGTACGCCGATCCGTACGGGTACTGGAACCGCATGTACGGTCCTCCACCCGGATCGAAGGAGATGCACCCGAATCAAGGTGAAAAGCCAGGCATTCACCATGGAGGCTTGACCCAAGGAAGCTCGGAAAGAAAACGGCTCAAAGCCTTCTGGGCACACCCAGGGAGCGTCTGGCGCATCAATCGCGACTTCAGCATCACGCAGATCACGGGGCCAGGGGCTCCCAAGACGATGGAGTCGGATCCTCACTGGCACCACTTTGACGCTGTGCACAGAGGAGAGGTCGTCGGCAAATTCGAGATCGAGCCCCACCCAGACGGTAGGCCGCGCTACATCAAGAAGGGCGTGTACGACATCGAAGATAATCCTGTGCACATGATGGGCCCTGATGCGCGGACATCGAGAGGTGACGCGCACGAAATACTCAAAGATATGCAGACTGATCACAGCTTTGATTGAGCCTCCCTGGTAGGTGCGGCAAAGCGTATTCAATCCACGAGAATGTTCTCACACTCCGACTGAGGGCTGACGGTGTAATGTGATCTTGAATTGTGCGCTCGACTCGCTATATGCGGCGTGCGTTGTGGCGACTGACAGTCAGTGCCTGAGATCAAGGCTAAGGTGATACTTTTACACAGTGGGGAGAGGGGGTTTGAAAAGAAGTTGAATAGGGCTCAGCGTCCTGCGAAGGCGCTTAGCAGAGAAGAGCGAAAGTGACCCATTCAGTCTATCGACGGTGAAGACAATAATGGATGGTGGGTTTTGCGAAATGTGGACCGGATGGGTCGGTCGTTGCAGGCTATGGCTTGCTTCTATTGAGATCAGGGTGACTGGCGGTGGAAGTCCGCCTATTGCGAAGTTAGAAAGCGAGTGTTGAGAGGCGTGGTGAAATGTGAGCAGGGGAGTCGACCGTGAAGCGGGACTTCTGCCATCTATGCGAGTGCGTTGCGACCGGGATAGGTGTGGAGCGTTGGGGCGGTGTCGAGCGCCAGGTACAATGTCTGGGTGCGCTCCGTGATCCATTTAGCGATCAGGACGGAAGGCGGTGACGATGTTCTGTGCCGGAGCACGCTCAGCGATGGGCACGCTCCGCTTCTTGAGCAGCGACGGCAAGTCGACACCATTGTACTTGAGCATGTCGGCGTCAAAGCTGCGAATCCATTCTGGTTGAACTTCGACATCGGTCTCGAACTGACGCGACATGCGTTCGCGCAGCTCGTGGTGCCAAGAAGCAAGCTCGAGACGTTCTTGACGGGTCAATTTGCGGCTGCTGTTGCGCTTGTTTCCACCGTGGCGGGGGTTGATGATGTCGCGATCAGCCGCGAGTTTGGCCGGTTCGTTGGCAGCGACCAGCAAACGCTTCCATCCAAGTTCGCGAAGACGGTCGGCCTCCTCTTCCTCGCGCTCGAGCTTGCGCAGCTTCTCGTTCGCAGCGCGCTCCGTCTGAATACGCTTTTCATCAAGTTTTTGGCGTCTGATGAGCTCCTCTTGCGACCAAGTCAGCTTCTTCTGATGGGTCTCGCCTTCTCCACCCAGACGCTCCAGGAACTTCTCGAGACGGACACCGGCAGTGGCCTCACGTTGACTGCGTTCCCACTCCATGTCCTCAGCGACTTGCCAGAGGGTTGGGGGGATCTCGCGACGCAACGTCGCGCGCTCCGAACGGTCTGCAGATGAGTGAGAGAGCGCGCAGATGCTGGTTGTGCCCACGCAACCGGAGCCAAAAGGAGAGTCGACGCGTCGACCAGACGCTAGCCTGCGATGAGCGTGCAGCTCAGCATCCGGACGGTCGTTGTTTGCCTGTCACGCGAAAAGCTGCGTGTAAGCTTCACTGCGTGACTTCCGCTCATGGGACGCGTTACACACTCACGAATTGGTTGGCAGGGAGCAAATGCGCTTGTGCGGCTTGCGGGAGGGAAGCATATGCGGCAACCAATGCCCAGGCGGCCAGAGCCGTGTATGAGGAAAAGCGCATCGTGGTGGAGAGTCGAGCTGTAAGATGAGGTAGGAGAGTTGTGTCGGGCTGTGTGAAGGCGTGATGAAGAGAGCCCTTCGTTGAAAAGTCGAGGGGGATGAGCTGGCGAGGAGGAATGGATGATGATGGAGACGATGGGAGGAGTGTCTTCGAGCAAGCTGCTTAAGACTTTGGTTGTGGGCGAGATCGATCAATCAGTCAAGATGTCGATCCGTGCGACGGCCGGGGGTGAGGACCGTTGGGGAGGGTGAAGGCTGGTGGAGGAAGGAATGAGGGATGGCTTCGTCGTTTGAGACAAGGCCTGGAAAGAGGCTGTTTCAAAAGCGCAAGTGAGTGAGTGTGTGTCGGGCACACGATTGTGCCAAGGCTCAGAAGGGCCAAAGGGAGAATTTGAGCGAGTGTGATCCTTCCTGATCGACGAGCAGATGGCTCGGTCGAACAAGTGTCGGAGGCCGAGGCGAAAGAGAGTGTGTTGGTGCAGCGTCGGAGGGTCGGTCGATGACACTCAGACTGTATGCACGAGCAGGCTGAAGAGCCAATGTGTGAATCGCGAGATTGCGAGGATGTGTGTATCTGCCGTGGCCTGCAGAGATTGGGTGCTGGAGTTTGAGGGAATGAGCAAAAGATAGGCACAACAAGGGACGAAAAGGAAATGACCGTGGGTTGCAGAGAACGTGATTGCGAGACAAGCTTGCAGCTTTTCGAACTTTGGAGCAGCTCGGTGCCGTCTTGGACGCTGCGGGAGGGGAAGGGGGAAGCTAGAGTGCGCTTGGGGATAGGGTTCAGATGTTGATATGGATGTCTCAAACCATGACGACCATGCGACGGCTACAGATGGCCGCCGATGCCTGCGCTCGCCGCGCCGTACATCGCTACGTCACAGCAATCAAGGCGAGTACGCACGAGCAACCTGCAGAGATCGGTCAGGAGTATCATTGGCGAAGAGACCTTGGCGTCTCACCTGTTCTTCTGTCTCTTGGTCTCTGCACAAGCAATCCATGGACAGAGTCGTGCATAGACGAAGGCCTCTGCTACAATCAGTGAATCACGAGAAGTGGTGCGAGCGGGGCCGTTTAGGAGAGCGGAGTATCATGTCACGGCTGTTCCAGTAATGAGACAGCCCAAGCGCTGTCTCCTGCATGTTCATGCAGGCAAGTCCTTGGAAGAAGTAATTACCTGCACGCAATCGCGCTTCCAAGCGCTCGCGCGTTGAAAGTCTTTCGACTCCTGTTCAATCAGTGAGAGCACCCTTGCTTGGGCAAACATGAGCGGTGTATGTATGGCATCGATGATAGCGCTTCCGTAAGCGCTGCTAATTGCTACCTGTCCATGAATCAAACAGCAAATCGAGAAGAGCAAGCAACGAGGCCACGGCGTGCATTGGCAACTCGCCTCTTGCTGCTCCTTCCGCCGGGGCTCCTCGCGCGCTTGTGTGCAGAAACCCAACTGCTGCTGATCGCGTAAAAACGCGTTAATTCGCATTTCAAAAAGCACGCTAGTGCGCGTGCGCTGTGTCGTGCAATTCAAAGACTATTCTTCTGGCACACCCTGCGGCTGTGCGACGCAGGCAAGTCAATCGATCGAGGCAATGAATATGTTTGTGACCTTTGGGATGCACAAAAGCCAAGCGTCAGTTCGGCCTTTGGGCAAGTGAGGTGTGAGACTTTCTCCACGTAGCAGCAAAAAGTCCAAGCGACCAAAACTTCCCAGCCCGGCTCTGCTCCACCTGCTGAATGCCCGCCAGTGTGCGCGCGCGGCCGAGCTTCGCTGAGCTTCAAACTTGTCTGATGACAGGCAACAAACAGAAGAGATTCCGGCAGCTGACTTTGTCGGAGCTGACGACTGATGCTGTCTCAGCGTCCGAAGCAGCAGATGGACGAGGCCCAGCGGATGCTTTGGCCGGAGTGCAAATAGAAGACCTGCATGCACCACAGATGCAAGCCATCTTTTTTTTGGTCAACTAGCTGCTTTGAAAGCCCGCGGCAAGGCTGGCGCGCCTGAGTCGTGAGTGGAGGAGAGCTAGGCTACAGGGGTGTGCATGCATGCGCATGCGCAGACGGACCACTTTGTGCATCGATCCGCCGGGCGCCTCGACAGCCATCTCTCACCAGCACGGAACTAAGCAACATCCAAATGGGCACCCTGCGCAGATTGAAGGTTGAACAGCAACAACTCAAAGTGGTACTACTAGCACCCACAACACGCTCAGTCCCAGAGCGAGAGCAGAATGGTCCAGCCGCCGCGGTCATGATCAATTGAAGCTGCTTGGGTCACGTCGCACGTCGGTCAATGAGTTTACGGAGCCGAGTAAGAAAGTGATACCTCCTTTCCAGTGGAACAAACAAGTCTCGGTTTTCTTCTACGCTGTCCGGACACCGAGACGCTTGGCTGTCTCAGCTCTTCTTGGATGAGACACGACTCTTGGCCAGAGCGCGGCGCGGCACCAAACAATACCTCCGACCTCCGCGGATCCGTCCTTGACTTGGCTGCTGCTGGAGCGCGGCCATATGTACACACGTCCGTATATGCGCGTGACTACGCAGCTGCGGGGCAATACGCGCCTCGCCTCTGGTCGCGCGTTGCTGCCCAGAGCCTGAGCTTATGAATATCGACTGCGCCGTAACCAGCAAGACGGACTTTTGCATCCTTGAGTTTTTTTTGGAAGAATTTTCGCGTGCATGCTTGCTGCAGCAACAATTGTCCGAGCTCGCCCGCTCTGCGTTGCATCCCTCTTTCTTGCATGCATGTCTATAGCCGTGTCGCGCTTCGCAAAACTGCACGGGCCTTTCACATTTGCGTCAGATCCCGACTCAGCCTTCGGGTACAGATGCGTGGTACCCTAGCTGTCAACATTAAAGCGACGGACCCATCCCTCCGACCGCACCACTCACGATTCGGTCACGGGACACGATGTCCAGGCTGCTCTGCGAGTCACCAGCTCGAAATACGATCATCGCGTGCTCTCGCTGACGAAAGCAGCCTCAATGATGACACTCATGCCTGGGACAGTGGCTGGCTCGCTTGGCATCTTCGGTGACTTGGACAAATTTCCAAGCCACCATGAGAACGTTGCCTTTAGCTGCGCATCGCTTCATCCAGGTGGACCCTCGATAAGGCTACCTTTGAGTAATTCAAACCACATGGATGCTCGATCAAAGTCCATGGAGAGTCTCAACCAGTCTGCACTCCCAAATCTCGAGTCCATACTAAGTTTCAACCCTGATCGTGCGCTCAGGGGCGCAAATCAAGAAATATGCTTTGCCGAGCGAGCACCGAGGCATCGATAGCAACATACGCAGAATACGCAGACGCGCCGCGTGATCAACTCATCAACCGCTGCAAACTCACGACAGCAATCAATATATGTGTCTGAGTTGAGTGACATTGATGATTAGTCTTGGATTCGTCTTTGACTATAGCCCTTCGGCTCCAACGACGCCAACATGTTGTATGCGCGTGTGTGATGAGTCGCGCCCGGACTCACGGCTCTCAGACTGATTGATCACAACCTGGCAAAAGCACGCGGCGACGACGCGCACACAGATAGATTAGCTGCACACATTTGCTTCTGCTGCAAATTTTGCCATCTGTGTCAGATCAGGTCAGGGCCAGGTCAAGAGTCGCGCCATACCTCCATTCAAGATTCGTGATTGTGATTGACTCGCGATGATTGAGAACGTGCGACCCGCTGCGAGCAGGCAATCAAAGAACACGCGCCAGCCTTCAGCTTAGATTGAGCTCTGATCATCAGGCCGTATGTCGTGATGGCGTGCTCCCCATGGGTCGATCGAGACGGACGGACGGACGCACCGCTCTGCATCAAGACATGGACATGCACAAGGCCGGACGATCGAAACCATGCGGCCTACAGCCAGAGAACTCAACAATAACAATCAAAGTCAATGACATGCTCGGGTTACCGTCGTGGCATCAGCAGTTTGAGCCACGAATGGCATCTCGAAATAGCACATCAAAGATATGCCTGAGGGCTGATGATGCTTCGGCGTCTAAGCTAGCTGCTGGCTGCAACTCGTCCATTTTCAAACTCAAAATACTCAGACTCTGTATTGAAGCTGGGTGACTTGAACATGAAAGCACATCCATTCGCGCCACCATGGAGCATGCGCGGTGGATGCGGATGGCCACGATAAGCAATTTAATGCAACAAAGATCAACACCGCGGTCCTCCGCCAGCGGTGTGAACCACCAGTAGCTAGGTCATGCATGGCCCCTCGCCTTTCGGCAACCAAAGCCACTTGCCTGCTACCGTATACAAGCATACAAGTATCTAGAGCCTCGGGCAAGAAAACCGAAATTGCGTGGCGCGCGGCAAGGGCGGCTGGTGCTTAGTGTCATGCATGCATTCAAGATGACGCTAAGACGAAGAGGCGTCGCCTACTGTACAACGAGCCCGGCCCAGCCGGGTGCAGAGAGCTCACATGGACCGTGCTTATCGTCTGAGCGCTCACGATCACGAAATATCACACAATCTCGAATCTGGTCGCAGAGACATGCACGAGAAGTTGGCACTCGAGAATTGCACGCGCGGCCTCCTAGCCATGCTGATATTGGTCAATCGCGATAGCATATGTGCTCCGAGTGCCCGATGGCCGTGGTCTTCGGGTCTTTCTCTGTGCATGGTCGCAAAGCTTCGTCGGAGAAAAGCAGAAGCAGACTAGATTCAACGTCGGTGGCTCTGCTTATTGCTTGCTGCATGTATTGCAACATTGTGAAAAGACAATGCTGCGGGAAGCTCTGGTACAAGTACAGTGATGCGTCAGGATCGATAAGAATGCAAGGTTTTCCGTGTGCTACTCCGCTGCGATCGATGCCATGATACGTCTATGGGCCTTTCTGGCGTCGACGTCAACGTCATAGGCGTCTTGCTCGCCTCCATCAGACGCGGGCTGCGAAGGGTCGTCTTTGCGTCGTCTTTGCTGCTCTTTTGCTCTCCTGTTGGACAATTTCCATCGTCTGAAAGATTCCACAAGTGGCTGCAGAGCTGCAGCTGCCCTATCGATAAGCAATATCTCGACGGCAAATGCGAGCAGACCCTGAATGAGCACAACTCCCATGACGACGAACAAGAAGCGCAGCGGGACCGAGTGGAAGGCAAAGAGACTGAAAAAGGGACCGTCGGAGTTGATGAAGAGGAAGGCAAAGTTGAAAGCTGTGATGGTGACGATGGCCAGGCTGAGAAACCAATTCTTCCACACGTGCTGTCTGTGCGGCGGACCCCAAGAGTAGATGATTGCAGCGATGATGTAAGTGAACGTGGACGTCTTGAACAGAATCGTGTTATCTTGGTCGGAGAGCTCTAGGTTTTCAGGGTCCAATATTGGCGCCTCGTAAAAGTCATGCTGACGATGTAGAAGCAAGTAGACGGTGGCTTGGGCCAAGATAAGCAGCACCATCTGAGACAAGAGCGACAACACCACTCGACGCGACATTAGACGAGAGGGAGGACGCTTGCGGGAAAGTTGTGGTGCCGGACGATTGTTGGCCATGCCGATAGCTATCGGAAGGACGATGAGCACGTCGATGTACCTGTGCGAGGGGACCAGACGAGACGAAGTGGCAAATGAGCCATGGCATTGAGCGCGCGCAAAGCGTGGTACTCACAGATACTCTGCATTGTCAAAGCTGGTCGCGACCGTATAGAGAAGTGTGACGCTCCAGAACTCAGCGAGCGAGTAAATGAGCATCCAAGAGAAGAGATTGAGAGAGGTGCACAAGCTGTTTCTGCCTTCTCGGATGAGGTGATCTATGCATCCGATGTCCGCATCTTTGGAAGTGAAAGGAGCAGCAACGCTCGCTTCCGCTTCAGACAAGCTCAGACCCACGTCAGCAGCTTTGAGAGCTCCAACGTCGTTTGCACCATCTCCAACGAAGCTGACGGTGTATTGTAGACCCTGTAGACGCTCCACCAGCTCTTGCTTTTGCTCCGGACTGAAGCGAGCGAATATTTGAGCTCGTACCAGGACGCGCTCCAGAGTCTCTCGAGCTGCGTGCTGGAGGAGGGTTGTGAAGGTGTCTCCTGTGAGGGCGAGGCCCACATCCAGCAGACGAAGCTGGTTGTCCAAGGGTCGTAGGCTATAGCTGTCGAGCATGCCGTGCTGGCCGTTGACGTCGTACCATTCAACATCAGCTGCGTTGTCGCTGAACTTCTTGACGTCTGTGTCATGCTGCCCTTGCAACTCGCGCCGCTTCGAATCCTTGCCACTTTCCGTGAGACGAGCAGCAAAGACGGGCGCTTCTGGTTTGACCATCTCGGCGTCGCGCGCGACGGCGATCGCAGTCAGAAGTCCATCGCCCGTGCACATCTTCGTGGGCAGACCGGCGGCATGTAATCTAGCGAGGGCGGATTTGGTGCCCTCTTTCAGGGGGTTCTCAAAGACGAGGAGACCGAGAAAAGTGAGCTGAGATTCGGCTTGTGATCTGAAGCAGATCAAGATTCGAGAGAGGTCGTCAGTGTGGTGAATATGCTACGGCAAAGTCTGACGAGGGGGGACTAACCGAACCAGCGACTGAGCGTGGTGCCAGCTCAGCTGGGTCACGCTCTTGCCAGCGAGTGCGAGCACTCTGAAGCCCTTGTGAGTGTACTCATCCAAGACGGCTTCGTAGTCGCGTGGTAGAGATTCTGCCCTGCAGAGAGGTCTGATAGCTTCTGGAGCTCCCTTGGTAAAGATCCTAGCGCCTACCTCCGACTGGCTTTTGACGATCACAGACATCCGGCGCAAACCAGACTCGAACGCATACTTGCGCACCACGGCACGCAGGCCACCACCGTGCGATTGGACGCAGCGCACAATAGGAACCTTGGCGACGGTACCGTCGCTCGTGAGCGCGTGTGTAGTCTTAGTCTGGCCGACGTCACCAGGTCCGGATTGCAGCTCCACAGGGGCCGCCTCGTCATCCAGCGTGGCACCCGTCCATGCGAACATGGACTGCTCGAGCGGCTCTCCTATCGTCTTGCCGTCGAGCATGTTGAGGTCGTGTGCAGTAGCAAGAGCCTCAGCGAGCGATACCTGCTCCCGCGACTGTTTCGTGTCCTCTTCGAGCTCCGCACGCGTCCTCAAAAGGTCGCTGAGCTCTAATGTCGTGGCTGATGTGGCGCGACAAGCATTTCTGACTCCCAGCACATCCAGGTGAGCCTCTGTCAGTGTACCCGTCTTGTCAAAAACGACGCAAGAGGTCTTTCCAGCTACGTTGATCCGGGCGGGAGAGGTGACGAAGATCCCGGCTCCTCTGAGCCGTGCGATCGCCAGACTGGTGCAGACGCTCATTGCTGCCGGAAGAGCGGGTGGCACACAGATGGTGAAGAGGTCCAGCGCACGCAAAGCGATTTCGACTCTGTCCACCCCAATGGTGATGAAGTAGACAAGGGATCCCTGCGGGAGAGCGTCCCTTCAAATCAAAACTTTGCACTTGAACACTTCGGGACGCTTTGCTGACTCACGATGAAGCCGCAGAAAGCGATCAGCGCCAAGATACCGATAAACTTGAAGGCGTCGGCGTAGAAGTGATGTTTAAGCGGTTTAGGAAATAACATCTGCCTGACGAGGGAGCCTTTGATGGTTTCGAAGCCGGTCTGTATGACCAGAGCTTTGGCAGATCGATCGCTGGAGGGTCCTGGACGCGAACGAACGATCTGCGTGCCGCCGTAGAGCAAATGCTTGTCTAGCTTCGAGAAGGGCTGACCGCTAGACAAGACGGAGAGGAGCAGTGAAGTGGGACAGGCCGACTTTGCTACTGGTACGGCTTCTCCCTGAAGATCACCAAAAAGTGAACGAAGACGATGAGCTGGACTCAAGCTCAATCATTGGCTTTACAGTGACTCACGGTGAGCATCGCTTCGCTCGAGATGGCTTCGGACTCCAGCAGCACACAGTCGCAAGGCAACATGTCCAGCTTGGCCTCAGTAGAAGCCACATCAATCACATCTCCGGGGAGCAGCTCGGTGCTCCTGATGATGTGCCATTGAGCGTGACCTTCGCCCTTGTCGTCGCTGTCAGGGCTTGTTGGCCTAAGAACCCTGACGTCGCATTCGAACCGACTCATTTGTTGGAGTCGCTGCAGGGCTCTTTTGGCCGTGATGACGCTCGCAGCGATACCGGCAATGCTGATGACACCGATTACCAGCGCATACCATTGGTACTCGTCATAGGACCTGAAGCGGCGGTAGAGCGTGAGCCTTGGGACTGAATGAGACGATAGGGGGAGTCAGACGTACCAAAGGGCTATGGAGCACAGCGAGAAGATGTAGAATGGATGAAGCGCTTCATCCACAGTCAGCCTTCCCCAGCTCTTCGTTTCCACGATGATTTCGTTTAGTCCAAACATTGTCCTCCTCCAGGAACCCGGCTGTCCGTCGCTGCTGGCGAGGCCGGCAAAAAAGGCTTGTCTGCTTGTCCAATTCGAGTCTCTCCAATCGCCTAGCGGCACAAAACCAACTGGTGTGAGAAGAAGGGTCACGGATCGATAAGATAGGAGAGAAAGAGACGAGAGTGTCGACCTTGGCTCTGAAGTTGAGCCGGTGTCTGCCCGAGGCCGAGCAAGTCCGGAAATGTGAGCGATCACGTCTGAAGGCGGCAAGCGCAGAGATTCGGTGAACACATGCTTGCGCAGGACTGGCTCCGAGAGCGACCTTTGCTTGAGGCGGACCAGGGCCAAAGGCTCGTGTGCAGTCTGCGAATAGGGCAATGCACGCATGAGTAGTGGAACACCGATGCACAGACAAAGTTTCCACTCAATTTCCGAGCATACACTCACCTTGACGGCCACCCATACTTGGCCATTCTGCCGAGCTCGCGCCTGCTGCTCCTCGCCGACCAGTAGAGTAGGCGAGCAATTGATTTTGAGCCAAAGCCGAGGAGCGTAAAAGGCGACGATCCAAGCGATACCTGCAGTGAGGAGCACCATGGCGTACCACATCAACCTCCTCCAAAGAGGCCGACAGTGGAATGTGAGGTAGAGCTGCAGATCGTCCGAGGGGAGGTAGATGGCTTGCTTGGACCCTGCCTCGGCCTGAGGAGCAGCAGCAGTAGCGTCGCAAGGTATGAGCGAGGGAATGAGCAGACGCTCTTCCCTGCTTGTTCCCTCTATGCCCTTCATGTCCCTCTCGCCTACTCGTCCGCCTTGCTTGTCATCCGTCCCACCAGGCATCACATCCGCCCCGGCGATTGTATGCGCCACACCTCCTAGCTCTCCGAGCGAAGCCTGCGACTCTTTTTCCGTATTCTTGGCAGCTTCGAGCGCGGTGAGTACGACTTGCGCAGAGAGGGCGATGTCATCCGCATCAGCTGGTGCTGGAGCTCGATGGTGTTGCTCTTGCGGCTGAACGGGTGACGAGCGGGGTTCATCAGAAGCTTCGACCGGGGAGAGAGAGTCTATAGCATCTGGCTGACCCGGCTCCAAGAAGCGAAACACCGCAGCAGAGGGAGAGCTTCCAGCGGAAACAGGCTCTGTCATCTTGACTTCATCGGATGGGTTGGATGTCACCATCTCTCCGTGTCGAGTGAGACCGTTGCAAATCGCGACTGATCAATCCATGTACGCGCGAAGGATGGCGCAGAGCGGTGCTGATGATGAGGTTCATCGCAAGAGAGGGCTGTCTGGGAAAGATCTCCCCTCGCGCTCAAGACTTTTCTTCCAGCGCTGCAAACAGGCCTCGTGTGCCTATCCTGTTGGCTGCCAGGCACAGCATTCAGGGCCCCTCGGCCAGACGGGGCAGGCACCAAGCGTGCACCTATACCGCAACTTGAAAAAAGCTTATCGCATCTAACACGGGCAAACCGAGCTTCCTTGAACCGTTGGATCAGCGGCAAGGCGCGCGTTCAGTCATCAGGCAGTTCATGCACGCACTGTCCTTAACCAGATCAGTCAGAAGTGAATATAGTCGCTGCATGCTGGGAAGTTTGGTCGGCCCTCATCACGCCGTCGGCGCGCGGGGTGCTCATGCACTGCTCGTGTGCCAGGAGCGCAGGCGGTTGTGCAGTGGCCGAGAAGCAGCCACGTGGCCCCGATCCTCCTTCATCAAGTCACGATCAGTTCGCGCGACTATACGTTCTGCCTGGTGCAGCCGCGCGCATGCTGCATGCATGCAGCAGCCGCAACACGTCGCGTCGCTGACTGCGCGTGCGACCGCGCGTAAGCTTCGTTAATTGCTGAACGTTGAACGCGGGGGGTCTGCGCGCCGCTGCGCGCGGGCCAGAGGAAGTCCACATCAGATGAACACCTGACAACACGACACGACGCGGGTCGCATCTGCTTCAACTCGTGTTCAATACGACCGCGACTAAGCTAAGTCGACACTCCGCTCCCCTTGCGATTCTCGAGCACGCTCCGAGCTCAGCTCAGCTCCACACATTCTCTCGCGTACGCTCGAAGCGCAGGCTCATAAAGGCGTGTCACTTACCACCAGCAGAACTCCGGCAGCCCGCATTTCCAACACCAAAGGAGTTCAACGTCGCCTTCATGGCGCTCACGACTCGACCGCAGCGTTCGGCTGCGGCTGCAAACCCACATAGTGAGTCTACAAATCGAATCGAAGGCCTTGAAGGACAAGTGCTTAATAATTGCGCTCCTCTTCCTTCGTTGACACGCAGCTGGAAAGAAGAAAGCAAACGGAGCGGGCAAAAGTGCTGCAGCTTCGGGTTCAGCACTCAGTGGTGAGAGTGATCTTTCAGATGTGCCGAGCGAAGAGGACGATGCGAGCGAGGGTCTGTCAGAAGTGGATGCAAATCTCGAGACGGACGAGGAAATTTCCGAGGAGGAGAGAGATCTGGACGACACTGGCGATTTCAATAGCCCCGGGAAGAAACGCAAATCGACAGGCGCAAAGTCTCGCGAACAACCCAAAGCGAAGAGAATTGCGAAGGCCAAGACAAAGACTGGCGCGTTTGGAGCCGGTCGAAAGGGGGCGACGGCGGGGCACGCCAAAGGCAGAGCAGCTGCAGCAGGTCCCAAGGCTACTAGAAGAGTTGCTTCCACCGGGGTGCGCAAGACGGTAGGCAACAAGGAAGAGTTGAACATCAAAGAGGACAACGCATTGTTCAGTGAGTCGAGTCGCGTTCAAGCCCGCAGCGACGCATACGTGCACCCAGACGCTCAAATCGACACCGCCACACCCAGATTCTGTCAAGGATCCCGATACCGCCCTGCAGAGTACGGCTGAAGACTGGGTCGTGACGTACCAAGTCAATGCTGGAACAGCGCTATCACAACTTGTCACGTTCTTCTTCAGAGTGAGCGCATCGAGCATCCTCATCAGACGAGTCTTTGCTGACGCTGGTACCTGACATTTCCTCTCAGTGCTGCGGCTGCAACAACGAAGCCGATGAGCATGTCGCACAAGACATTGATGCCATCGTTGACAACCTGGACGAGATCCAAGAAGCTTTTAAGAAAGAGCTGCTCCCGTCATATCCCCTCGTTTCCAAAGCAGCTTCTTACAAAAAATTCAGGAAATCTCTTGCGGAATTCTTGGATCGGCTATTCCAGACTGCCGCCGAGGCCGAAGTCCTCTACGACGAGGTCCTGGTCGAGACTTTCATAGCCTGGGTCTCTGCTATGAGCTCTTCCTCCGTGCGCGCATTCAGGCATACCGCCACGGACTTGGCCTTGTGGGCAATAGGTTCCTTGGCCAAGGTCAGTTTAGAACTGGCAAAAGAGCGTGCTAGCGCCATCAAAGCGCGGGATGCGGAACGAAGGAAGGCCAGAGGTGACAAATCTCGATTGACAGAGTTCGAAGCGAATGTCAAAGGCATCTCTGGCCGCAAAAAGAGAGTCGACGATGCGCTAGAAGAGCTCATGACCAGTGTGTACGTCCACCGATATCGCGACTCGGATCCCAATATTCGAACCGACTGCGTCAGCGAACTTAGCGCCTGGATGAAGGTGCAGCCTGAGCAATTTATGCAGAGCTCTTACTTTAGGTACCTCGGCTGGGTCTTGCCAGACACGGTGAGTGACCAGAGGCTAGCGGACATTCGCCTAATTTTCTTTTCATTCACACAAGGATTCTCTCCGCAGCATCCCGACGTGAGAATCGCGGCGATCAAGGGCATCAGTGGCCTTTACGGTCGGGGCAACATCCCCGAAAGCGTGCGTCACTTTACGGATCTCTTCAAGGGCAGGCTCGTAGAGATGGCCACGGGTGACGTGGACTTGAACGTTCGCGTTGCGACCATCGGCGTACTGGTGACAATCGACAAGCGCGGTCTGTTGGAAGACGAGCAGCGAGACTCGTTGGCTTCTCACATCTTCGACGTAGAGCCCAAGATCCGGATCGCGGTCGCTGGCTTTGTAGCTGGCATGCTCGATGCTCTCGTGGAAGGAAGAGAATCACAGCTTGGACCCGAACCTAGCTCTGAACATGGTCAGGCGTTCGAGGTTTACGAAGGTGAACTCTCAAAGCTGCGCTTCAAGTGCTTTGCCGAGCTGCTGGTGCGCTTCGCTGGACGACTAGATGCTGCTGTTGCAACGCAGTCGGAGTCGCAGTCGTCGGCGCAGAGCGGGGAACAGGCAGAAGAACTCTCTTGGTCGCTCGGAGGATTGGCGGAAGGCCGCGTCGGTCTCGCTGTCAACGCGTTGTGGTCTTCCGTTCAGGCGGTCCAGCAGTGGGCTCCGCTCGTGGAGCTGCTGCTCCTTGACCACTCGGCCACGTCTGGCGATTCTAGGACTGCGCGGCCGGCTGCCAAAAAGGGTCGCGGAAGAGCAGCTGCTACAGCTGAAAGCGACACTGCTTCACGACAAAGCCTGTACATCCTCGCGAGCGAGGAAGAAGCAGTGCTTCTCGAAGCACTCGTAGCCATTCTCAGCAAGACAAAGGAGCAAGCTTCAGCTGCGAAAGAGTCCGGCCACGCGAAGAGCAAAGCTGCACAAAGCGCAGACGCAGCAGATGATGATGACGAGGATGATCCCATCAAGGCGCTTTCAAAAATGACACGCGACCTCATCCCTGCTCTTCCCAAGCTGTTCTCAAAGTACAGGACCGACGCTCCGCGCATTGCAGATATCTTGCTCTTACCTCAATACATCGATTTGGACCTTTACGTCGACACGCAGCAAATCTCCGCTTACGAAGCGCTCTGGGACGAAGTCAACGATCAATTCTTGCGCCACGTTGAGCCCACCTTGTTGGCCAACGCTGTCGGCTCCATCTCGCACTTCATCGAGACCAAATCGTTGGCGGAGACGAATGCGCTCAAGCTTGCTGGATTGCATGAGACGCTTGCTAGCGCGTCCAGAGATCCCATGGCGGGCCGCGAGGTGGAATTGGCAACCTTTGATGAGACCGAAGTGCACCTGCTTGCTGCGACGATGCGGAGAATGCGGCACTTGGCGCGAGTTACCGATATGAGCGCTGCATTGGAGGACGACGACAAGGGCCAGCTTACTAGAGCTTTGGACGTTGTTCTCGGTCTTGCTGCGAGAGGGCGGTTGGGCTACGCTCAAGAAGCAGCACTCGTCGAGAGCGCTCTTGGTGTGCTCGCGCTGTACATCATGTGGAAGACGCACGCTGTCATTCAAGCCTCCGCGGAAGGCGAGGAGACACAACAAGCTCTGATTGGTCCTCTGGTCGACAAACGAACAACACTTTTGGAGCTCATGAGGGGCTACATCGCTGGAGAGCACCCCAATATTGCGGTGGGCGTGCAGCAAGAAGCGCTGAGGCACCTCTTGGATATTCACATTATGCACGGCAACCTCGCCGCTGCTGATGATGCCGCTGTAGCAGCTGCGCAGGACGCGGCGGGAGGCTTTTCGACGACCGCTGCAAGACCCAAGATGCCTGCTTCTCTCCGTCTGGAATGCTCTTTTGAGCTGCAAGAAAAGTGCGGAGAGTATGTCAGGAGCGAACTCGAGAGGTATGCCGATGAGTTGCGATCTGAAACGACTCGCCATTCGAACGGAAGAGCAGAAGATGAAGGCAAAGACGCCGACTCCGAGAGCGACGCATTGTCCGATATGGAAGACGAGGGCCACGCAGATGTGAGGCGCAACAAGAAGAAGGGCAAAAAGGCAAAGACGACCAATGGCGAGCAGGCAGGGTCGGGCGAAGCCAGCAGCTCCCGACCAACGCAAGAATTCCTGCAGCGTCAACACCAGCTCTGCCAGACGTTGTCACACTTCATTGCAGCGATCAGATTGGGTGTGCTCGCTTCCCGTCATGCTGCGCCTGTCTTGGCTTTCTACGGTCGACTTGGGCACATCTTTGATGCTAGCTTCAAGTATTTGGTCGAAGCTCTCAAGGAAGAAGCTATCTATGTGCACAGCCCAAGCAGTGCCTGTCATGTGGTCTTGTCGTCTTTGAAGCAGGTGAGAGCGAGTGCAAACCTGCGTTGGACAAAGTAGCAAAGCAGCTCATCAAAACGGGTCTGTTCTTGTGCAGTCTTTCGTCTTGTTCGAGCAGGATCCCACCAGTGAAAGCGAGAATGCTTTCGTAAACCTAGCCAGATCCTTGAGCGGTGCTCTGGTTGTACGAGGCGCGCACCTGGCCGTTCTCAAGTCCGTGCCTTCCCATGCGCTAGTCGAGCTCCACACCGAAGGCTGCGAGCACGTGATTAGCAAGGCGCTACGCGCAGAACAAGCAGGCAACCAAGCGCTAAAGGCGCGAGCGATCATCTTCTGGAAGGGTCTGGCTCAGCTGCTACCGTCGGCGACTGGCAGAGATGCGATCCGGATCAAAGCTGCTATGGACAAGCTTTTGGCCGAAGCAGACATCGAAGTGCCACCTTCTGCAAAGGCTTGGGAGCCGCAGAGGTCGTATGAGAAGAGGCTGGTGAACATCGCATCGAGGAGCGCGCAACTTGCCAAGAGGGCGCAAGCTGCCAAGCAAGCTTCTGCTCGCAAGCCTGCTCATGAAAGCGACAACGATGTGCTGCTCGGAGATGCGGATAGGGATGCAGAGGCGGATCAGCAACAAGACGCTGCTGATGCTGATCTCAATGGGCTCGGCCACCAAGCGCAGGGACGACCCAGACCACAAGCGAAGAGGAGGCGCGAAGAGGATCTGATCAATGAGGCGGAAGAAGAGGAGGCGGGCGATCATGAAGCTGATCTCTCCCCGCCACCGCTTGAAGATTCCGAATTGGGTCTGCTTGACATTACGGCAGACGAAGTCAGCAATGCCGAAGCGGCTCGAAAACGCCAGAAGAAGTAGAATGAAAGAGGTGGCGGAAGGCTCGTGGGGAGAATCACTCGCTTTTTGGTCTTTGCCGCTTTCCTCTTGCAGAAGGCAGTGTGATCGCGACCTTCTGAATCGGTGTTCAGCGAGGCTTTTGCAGACGCTTTCGCTCCCCCCCGTCATTCCATCTTGCGCACCCGTCGTCACGCAACACTGTACGCCCACTGCGATCAGCCCAAATTCCAAAAGCAAAAAAAAAAAAGCCGGCCAATCCTTTTTGCCGCTCATGCCTCATGCCTCTGCTTCTTTCTGCCCTCACCTTCTTCACCGCGCTCCGCCCTCCCCTTCCTCATCTCCACTGTACACTGTATCATTTTCGTCCCTGTTTGGCGGGCGCACGCACGCGCGCGCGCGCGCGAGCCAAGGTCCTTTTCCTCCCTTTGTACCGACGTCGGCTTTCGCAAAACCGCACACCTGCTCTTCCACATTTTGATTTGCCGATGCACACGAGCATTGTTCCGAGTTTGAATGGACGGAGGTGCTGAAAGGGGTATTAGCAGTGGTACTAGTAGCAGGGCAATGGATACTTGTACATTCAAGTCCCGACATTGAACAAGAAAGAAACCCTGAGGGGGGCGCAAGTGGCGTGATGCATGTGCGATTGCGACATCCTGTCAACAGAAGGAGGATGAAGGCGAGGAAGAGAGAGAGGGAGGGAGAGAGAGAGCATACGGATACTGATTGATCGTCCAAAAAGCATTCAGAGCTAGCTGCCGGATTCAATCCAGACTGAGATCTCCACGATGTTCTCTGATTTCCTGTTCTCTGCCGACGCCGGTGCCGCCGATGAGGTTGTTGCCAGACGCAGCTCTGTGCAAGTATGAATGGGGCAGAGATGCATGCTGCGAAGTGCCAACGGTATAAACGCCATGTGCAGGAGCGTTTCCATTGGACGCGCTGACTCTTCTAGCAAAAGCTCCCGCTGCTGCCGTCGATGATCTAGGAGCGAGCGCATGATGATGCATCCCATTCAGGTTCGTCCCCGACAGATTTCTCGACAATGTCGTTTTTGGAGGTCTCAATTCTGAAGAGGTTTGATTGTTGGGATTGGTAAGGGGCGAGACGGAGTTGCCGCCTGATCCAAAGGCTGGAGAAGAAGCTCGACTGGGCACGCGAGAAGATGCTCGAGAGCCATATGCGCTCCCACTGCTCATCGTCGTGAACGCCGATTCGCCCATGCCCACGCCAACGCCAGTGCCAGCACCTGCACCCGCTGCACCCGCTGCACCTGCACCAGTGCCGGCCCCACCGGCACCATTGCTGATCCAAGCATTGCCAAAGTACCCCGCCGAAGATCCAAACGGCTGGGGAGAACTGATGGGGGTTACGCCGTGCGCTGTGCTGTTGGCACCTGCGCCGACGGTGCGTGGCGAACGAGCATTGGCTCGACTTGCAGGCCTGGAGATGACGGGTGAAGATGTTCCGTTGAAGGCTCCCGTAATGGGTATGGCGGGCGAATTGGCTCTAGTGGACATTCCGAGGGACATTGTGCTGGTTTGTCTTCTCAAAGCTCTTCTAGCCGCGGCGGCGGTAGCATGATCCGCATCATTTCTTCGCTTGTTCCTGTCCGCCACTCCTCTAGCCGCATTTCGTCCCCAAAAGACGGCGCGAAAAGGGTAGGCGAGCAAGCCGAATAGTCCATACGTGCTAACACCACCCCTTCCCGCTTCGTTGCGGTGCAACCTCCTCCTCTCCGCCTTGCTAGCCAGACTTGCCCCTTTCGGATCATTCTCTTCCGAGCTGCTAGTGCCACCCGCGCCGCCCCAGTCCTGTCCCGTGGCAGCTTCCATATCCCCTTCGTCCATCTCCGCAAGCACATATTCGCCTCTTCCATTCCCTCCTGCTCCGCTTCGCGTCCTGAACATACCAAAGCAAGAACCCAAAGGAGGCGGCAAGGCATCCTTGAAAGCGTTGCGTCGCTTGATAGCTCTGGGACTTCTGCCTTTGAAGAAGCAGCCAAAGAGGCAGAGCATAAAGGTGCCCAAAACAAACAGGAGCACCAAAACGCCGCTGATGCGATGCTTGCCCGCTCTCAGAGGGGAAAGCGGCGGGGCGAGAGGATCGCCAGGCCTATGCCAAGTCGGCCTCCACTTGTCGGCCCAAGAAGACGAGCCGGGATTGGATACGATGGGAGCCTTGGCTGGAAACCCAGTGACGATGGCTGGAGGAATGTCCCTGCTAGCTTCCAAGACTGCTTTGCCAAGCGTCCATGAAACGGCCAAGCCCTTGACATCATTGACGCTTTGGAATAAATTCTTTTCGTCCGCTTTATCCATCGCTTGATCCGAATGAGGCTTGCCGTCCCCATCGCCACCAGCGTCCAGAATGCGGGGTAGACCGATACCATCGTGAAGCACAGTCGTCATCCAGGCCGCTTTGAAGCATTGCATCTGCAACCGACCTAGGTCCACCTGAGGTCCCCACGTCTTGTGCCCCTCGAACGTGCTGCTGAGGTCGCTCCAAGACCTCTGACAAAAGTCCGAAGCGGCCTTTTGAAAGCTGACGAAATCGTATACTCCTCCAAGCCCAAAGACGTCTGGTGCAGCGTGGGTAGACAAGGAGCAAAGGACAAGCAGCAGTGAGCTGCGTGCTCAACACCTCATGACCCATTCAAAAAGGGCACTCACCATTGCTAGAGAACCAGTATTCGGATACGCCGACAAAGTGATTGGTAGCAAAAGAGATTGGGGGCACGTGCACCCCATGAAAGAGGCAAGGCGGTCTTGAACAAGCTGCCGATTTGTCCAGCAGAGGTTCGAGCGATGCCAAGCAAGTTTCGAACGAGCCAGTGCCAAGCAGCGTCTCGTTGGTTTGCGTCTGCAAAGATAGTCCAGAAGGCAAGCATGGATCCGTGAGGATTAGTGACGAGCTGTCGGACACAGCTGCTGCCGCCGCCGCGGCCACCAAGTTTTGCGCTGCATTGGATGTGGAAGACGCGTTGGATTTTGTCGAGGAAGATGGAGGCGAAGCGGAGGCAGCAATAGCAGCGACCTGTTTTTGTCTCTCGTCCGTCTTGTTGGCGGTCGTATTGTGCGCGCCCAGAGCTAGCGCTTCCACATATCTCTCTCGAGCCCTATTGGTTCCGTACCCCAAAAAGGTGGTGACAAAGACATCCGATTGCACATCGGTCCCATCCAGCATCCGCAGCGTGACGCGAGTCAGGTCTTCCTCTGCTGCGGGGTCGGCAGGCTGGAAAGCGATCTGAGTCGATGCTCCTCCCAGATCCAGAAAACCAAACGTGCTTTGCGTGCGCGTCCTATTTGAGGTGACAGCCGCATGATCGATCAGGTCAGGTCTCTTCTTCTTCTTCTCCTCCTCTTCTTTGAAGTGGAAACCGTCCATTAGATAGTTGATGGCGATCCAACCAAGCAAACCTTCTTCCTCTCCACTGATGACCTGAACCTGCTCTTCGCAATTGCCTATCCTGTCCACCTTGAAGCGAGACTGGGTCTGAATTACCCGACACGTCTCTCGTAGCACGCTGGTGCGGTGCGAAGGTGACAAGAGCCGCAGACCGGCCGTTGCTAGCACGTAAATGGGCGTCTCGCTCAATGAAGAGGGTGGCACGATGCGCTCTGCTTGATCCAGAAGTGGTCGGAGGTAGAGTGATAGATCTTGCGGGTGTGTGGCGAAGGACGACAGGCCTGAAGCATTGCGGTGCCATGAGAAAAGGGCAGGAGAAATCGGATTGGAGTGATCAGCGCCACCTGTGTGCGGTATCGCCTGCCTGATGTTGTGCTCCCGCCCCCCTGCACATCAACCATATTTTCTCTTGTTCGCCACCGATGCCCGCCTATCTATCTGCCTTCCCGCCGCTCTCCCGCTCGACACCATCCCACTCACCAGGCTCCACCTTTTTCTGCCATTCCAACCCGCTGCCTTCCCAAGTACCTTTCTGCACATCCGGCAACACCTTGACAGGCAAACCACCGCTCGTCCTCGTAGCCTTGTCCACGATGGCATCTTTCCACGAGTACACTTGCATACGAGATCCTGAGGATCCTGCATCTATCAGCACTGCATATTTTCGGCTTGATGACCATTCTTGCGGTGCTGGTGCTGGGACTGGGACTGGAAGAGGGAGGGGTGAGCGAGAAAGAAGAGGTGATCGAGAGGGACCTGCGTCAGACCGTAGAAAGGTCATGATGTGCCGCACAATCACCGGGCGCTACGGGGGGTCGGTGGGTATGCTACAGTGACGGAAAGCGACCGATTGCTCAAAACTCGGATTTGACAATGTGGTGAGTGCTGAGGGCGTTGGGGAATTTGAATGGATTGAGCTGACCGGGCTTGCGTTGCGTGTGTAGGGTAAGCGCAATCACGAGTGAAGCTTTATGCCGCCGCAGACAGTCGTGAGTCTTGCGCCTCGACTCGTGACTGTTGCAGTCCAGTAGTGAGTGCGACCTGGATCGCGCGTCGACGCTGGCGAATTTGCGTTGGCAAGGGAGGGCGTGGGCGTAGGCGTGGATCGCGTGCTGATTGTTGAGCGCGTGATTAGATGGTGAGTTCTGTGAATCGGGAGTCACGAGTCAAGCAAACAAGATGGTGGACCAACAGCGGATGCCACGCAACGTGCACTCGTGACTCGCACCTGCTCGTAGGACTCGTAATTCCTTTGGCGACTCAAGACTCACGACCAGAATTGATACAAACCACAAATCTTGAATTCTCGATTACCACGCAAGTGTAAGTCATTCAGCATGAGTTCGACGATTCAACAACATCGTGAATCGGTGGCGGTGGCGGTGCGGTGCGGTGCGGTGCGGTGATGCGCGCTGCACGACAAGCTCACGTTCTCATCAAGGGAAGATTCAAATTCAAGGCTATTCAGATTTGAGGATCGTCGGAGGAGGTGCGAGACCTGCGTGGCTGCATGCATGCATACATGCATTCACTCAGCACGTTTCAATAATGTTCTTGATTGCATAGCTGCGTCTCTGAGGGCTGTAGCTTGTTTAAATCATCATCGAATCATTGTGAATGTCGAATGTTGAATGTAACCGCGGTATGCCGTGTGAAGGGTCGAATAACGCGACATGTCTCACTGGACGCACTTGCAGTCGTGAGTCGTGAGTCGTGAGTCGTGAGTCGCGCGTCGCGGTCATTCTCACTCGCATGACTCCATCACGAGTCGTGGGCTTGACATATTGCTCAATCGCGAGCCTCCTTTTGTGAACACTGTCGGTGTAAAGTCATAATTGTATCCATCAGTCAAGGGTCACAACTGTTTCGATTCAGGTGGATAATGCAAGATTCAGATTGTTGCAAGATTCACATAGAGGTATTCAATTTGAACCATGAATCTCAAATTCTTGATTTGAAATTTGGTGCGGCCCACGCCATTCGGCAATGCTTGGTCACGTGACACAGATCAGCGTTGCATCAGGACAGAGGCTGATCCACGCATGCACTCAAAAGTCGGTCCCCAGCTATAGCAGCAGCACATGCAACAGCAACCATGGAAAGGGGCGCCGCCGCCCGCCGCGGCCCTTTCACCACTTCAAAACAAACCTCATCAGCACCAGCATTTGTCTCCGGGCGTGCTGAGCACTTCGACTCACAGTCGAGTCGTGGTTCACACCGCTCACGTACGTCCATGTCCTCATTCAAGATTCTGTACTCGCGACGACGATCCATCGCAGGGCCAATCTCGAACAAAGAAGTGCGCATCCAAACCAGCCTGGCCAGTCACTCGCACCCTTCCATATATAGCTTGCCTTTCACAACACCCTGCTCGGTTTCATGTCGGACGACAATGCGGCCCTCTTGGCGCAAATAGCTGCCCTATCAGGAGCCATAGAGTCTCATAGACATGCACCTAGCCGGTCATCTTTCGCCAGCAGCTCTTCGTATGCAGGCAGAGGCTCAAGCAGAGGCAGAGGAGCGTCCAGAGGCAGGTCTGCAACGGCGCACAAGAATCGCTCGCTCATACTTCACTCCTCGACTCCTGATCACACCTCATCTGTGACTTCGACCAGTAGTCTGGTCACCACGCCTATCGGCTTATCTGCCACCGCACCAGCACCAGCACCAGCATCAGCATCAGCACCCGCATCCACCAGCAGCTTCGCAACCACGCCGGCACCTGTCCCTGTCAGATCGCTCGCATCGACATCGAATAGCACGTGAGTGTATGCTGCCACACATCGCTCAGCTTCTCTGTCACCGTCGTACCGCTGCTCAGTCTACCCCTTCGTGGAATGCCTCGTCGGTACGTGCTCCACTAAGGGCATGGCACGCCCCATCGTACGTCCCGCGCGGTCGAGCAACACCTCGTGGTGTCACCTCGCGAGGCAGGGGCAGAGGCGCCTCTTCATCTGCCGCCGCCACCGCCGTTGCGCCACAACCTCGACAAGCAGACGTGCGAAGAGGAGCAAAGATGGGGGAAGTCATCATTGATGGAGTCACCTTTACCTTTGATTCGACTGGGACAAAGTTGGTCAAGAGTGCCGGTCGATCTGATGTCAGCAATCAAGCGACCCACGCACATCTTTCAGCTTCAACCTCTCAAGCCCAGCCTTCCGCTAGCACAAGCTCCGACGGCAGCATGCTCGAATCGGATCAATCGACTCCCATGCGAGCAAGTGTGGATGGCCAAGGATTTGTCAGGACCAAAGGTGGCAACCTCATCTCTGCCGAGTATGCCGAGCTTAAAAAGCAGAAAAGGGAAGCCAAAGCTGCCAAGAAGCAGGGAAAGGTGCGCAGACGATTGTTGGCGCGCATGGAAAGGCTTGGTCAGGAAGTGGCAAGCAGGGAGCAACATCGGTGAGCATATGCGCGCATGTCGTCTTGCGTGCGTGTGCGACGAAACTTAGATTACGCGGCTGTTTGCGTAGCAAACGTCCTGCTGGCGAAGATCCGCAAGGATCCAAGGCGCTCAAGTCGGAACCAAGAGGTCTTTGCACCTACTACACCAAGACAGGTGCGTCGAGCTGTCGTGTGATGTGCGCCGACCTTTTCGTCTTTTTTTCAAGATGCTTTGTCTCATCCTTGCGTTCGGGACACTCCTCCCGGACCACCGCTCCTTTCCTCCTTTCTGCCCACCCCGTCTCGCGCAGGTCAATGCAAACGAGGTCTGTCTTGCTCTTTCGCGCACGACTCCAACAAACGAGCGTTATGTCCTCGAGCGTTGCGGCCGGGGGGCTGCAAGCTTCCCACGGGTACCTGCTTGTTATCGCACACTCCTTCGGAGCACCGTTCGCCGCACTGCGTCCACTACCTGCGCTCGAGGACGTGCAGGAACGGCGAGTCGTGTCCTTATACGCATACGCAGCAGATCAGCGGACCCGACGCGCCCATCTGTCAAGACTTTTCGAGTCTGGGCTGGTGCGAAAGGGGTATACAGTGCGCAGAGAGGCATACGTGGGAATGCCCCGCTTTCGCCAAGCATGGCAAGTGCGAAACAAAGGGGTGCAGATTGTGGCATGTGATCAGGGCACCGATCGTAGAGGGAGAAGCGCGCGTTGTGAACGCACTCGACGAGTTTGGAGAGAAGCGTGGGTCTCGAGATGATGACGACATTTTCTTCAGGGACGATGCGGCCGCTTTGGATCCTCCGGCCGAAGGCGCGGACAATGCGCGTAAAAGACGAGCGCGAGTGGATGCGCATGAGCTCGAACAGGAGGAGCAGGAAGCGCGCGGATTGAGCTTCAGACCTGCGAAACGAAGAGCAAGGGATTTTACTGCGCAGAAGGACTTTATTGGGTTTGATGAGGATGAAGAGGAGGAGGAGGAGGAGAGCGAGGTGGACAGCGCGAGCGACAGCGAGAGCGAGCAAGAGGAAGATGAGGAGGAGGAGGACGACAGTCGAGATGCGGATGAGCACAAAGATGAAAAGAGGGACGCGCGCGACGATGAGGACGAGGATGATGCAGAGGTAAGCAGACTTTTGGAAAACGAATTCGCTTATTGAGCCGCCTGCTCTCGAGAGGTGTTGTGCTCGCTCGTGTACGACGAGCACGAGAAGGCAAGAGGTGCCGCCATTTCAAAGAGTCCACCTTTTTCCCCCGCGCGCGCGCGCTTCGTACCGACCCATTGGCAAGGGCCAAAAAAAAAAAAATGAAAAAGAAAAGAAAAGAAAGAGAAAAGACAATGCGAGAAAAGAGAACAAAGAGCACGGCAGAGCACGGTGGCGCTAGATCCACAAAAAAAAAAAAAAACAAACAAAAAAGAGAAGCGTCATAATGCCATGCAATCGTTGCAAGTCGGAGCATGACTGATGAACGTGGATGTGAAAGAGTCCTGATTCGGGGAGAGCGCGAAGCGGCTCAGCAGATTAGTGGGGGGGGGGGCATGAGCGCAGATTGAGCGAGAAGATCAGAGGGAATGCGCTTTGTGAATGGTGAGAACAAGTCGAAAATTTTGCCCCTCGGAACTCGAGGCGCTCCCTCTTCACCTTGAAGCATCTTGGCTCTTGTTTTTCCGGCCCCACCCGCGGGGGAAAGAAGATTCGATGCTGAGCGGATGCAAGATTCGTATTGCGGATCGCGAGGTGTAGGTGCTAGAAGCTTTGTAGAAAGCACGTCTGTCTGGGCCGCTCCAATCGTCAGGCAGCAGCGCCTTTACAGTCATGCCAGTCCTCCTGCCCAACAGAAGAGCGCAAGATTTCGGGGTGGGGGGATTGCGGGCATGAACAGGTTGTTGTGTTGTTTTGTGATGCATATATGCTGTTATTGCGACTTGCGATTCTGACGTCGTGGGGGGGTGCGCGCGTAACATGGACCGGATCGAGCTGGTTGATGTGTGTGTCCAGTCGCGAATCCGGCGCGATGCTGGATGACGCGGTACGGTGCCCCGCATTGCCGGCTCTCTTGCCCAATACATCATTCACGTGATTCACGAATGGTGGATCGTGACTCCCCTACGCACGTGCTGTCTGTCGGACACGGTGCAGATAGATTACTCACCACTTGGACTCCTTACCAGGTCACACTTACTCGCGACCGCTCATGATCGAAGTGGCCCAGTGAGCGAGAAGACATCGCAGCGTAGCGCAAGAACCAGGGTCGCTAATCGCAAGGGTCGCTGCATGAGCTACAAAGCGGGGTCCAAAAGAAGTCCTGTCAGAGAGAGGGGCCAGCCTAGCTGAGCATAGATCAGCCATCAATTTTGAATGCAGCAAGCAAACAAGCAATTAAGCAGCTAGCTATATAGCTTAATTAGCGCCTCGATCACTATAGCTTCCACGATTCACGATTCCCATGCCAGGTCTTCCTCGAAAGAACAACGCGCACCCCTCTTAGCCGCCTTCTTTCACGGCCGACACGTGCATGAACAATGTGAGGCGCGTCGCGCGCGAAAATGTGTGACGCGAAGACGCGACACGTCGTGCCCCGCGATGCATGACGATTGCGTGGGCATGCTGGGTGGGTGCATGACAGCGTGTGAGTGCTGGTGAGTCACTGAGTGATGGCGGACGCACGTCTCGGAGGAAAACACACACTGCGCTGTTGCCTGCATGGGTGTGATGGTAGGCGGCGGCGCGGCATGAAGAACTCGCGCGTTGCATTCGATCGCGTTCGTGATTTTGCGCATTCAAGCCAGCCCGCGAGGCTACGGGCTGTATATAGCCAGCCATTGCAGTCCACCTTTCAAGAACCATGCAAAACTCCGACCAAGTTAACCTTTCTAAGAATTCCTTGCGCGCGATCGAATTTGGCGCCGCCCCGGCACGACTTATTCTAGACTCACACTGCAAGACTTGCACAGGCGAATTCACAATTACACGTACGCGCACGTCCGCTGTCTAGTGTGCAGCCACAACAGTCGTGAGTCTTGAGTCACGCGCTTGTAATCCGTTCACGCTGAGTCATATCCTTCTTTCTGCTCCCGGGTCCCATGCAGTACTACTCACACTCATCAACGTGGGTCTGCTCGCATGCCGAGAAAAGATATTCCAAGCACCGATCGGGATCAGATGCTAGGAGCAGGGGCCATGCAGCTCCGACACAAGTCGCAAGTTGTCCGGCTGGGATTGGGGATGCCAGAGGGAGAAGAGAGTGATGAGAGAGAGACATTTGTGGGCAGGCAGGCAGGCAGACGCATCCAATCGTGAATGGCAAGCGAGATACAACAGAGGCGGAGATGGTCGCTCGGTCGCTCGCTCGACCTGCTTGCTGCTTGCATTGCCGGCTGAAGTTGTTGAGAATGCAATTTTTATTTCGGATGCGCTGGTGGCATTGCGTCTGTGAACGAAGATTGAGCGGCTGGGCGACAATTGCTTTCTTGATAGGCTCAAACATTCCCATTTGTGGAATCACAGACATCATTTCTGCGCGAACTCTAGGGATGATCAAAATCAGACTCGGGGGGGGGGAGGTTCTCAAATGTGTCTTGAACGTCCAGATCGCAGGGTCTGGTGATGCGATGGCATCCATTCATTCGCATTGATTGATGATCTATGACCGAGCTCTGACACTCACACTGCACTGAGACCCTGGCTGGCATGCCGTACCTTTATCGCTTCGGTGACCGGTCCTCCGGTGCGATCTGTGTTCGGCATTCGGCGATTAGAGGGGAACGCAGTAGGGCATCTGCATGTCGCTGCTGCAAGCACTCGTGAGAGCTGCTGGGAACGCACTCAGAGTAGTGACTCACACTGTACCTACCCCGGCTCGCTCCTCGTCTGCATGCCACGCGTCCAAGGAAGGAGTGATACGATTCCTTGCTGGTGAGGCTGCATCTGAAGTAAGCAGTCACAGTGCAAGACGTGTGGACAGAGTTGTGCCGCTTTCACTCCAAGAGCTTCATCTTGCGCTGCAGTCGTGCGTAGTGATTCGCATTTTTGCATGCGCATGGAATGAACAGAAGGATCTTCGCGGGACAAAGAGTGGAAAGCACCGAATGCGAATCACAATGCGAGTGCGAGTCGCGAGTGGCGGCACCCTCTCTTTCTTCGTACGTGCTTCTGCTCTGCCCGCGTCCACGAGGTCCGTCTGATGGCGGATGCAGGGCAAGCAGCCAAAGTTGCATCATGCGTACATCAGCTATAGCAGTCAAGGACATCGTAGCAGCGCGTGCGAGTATTCACGATTCACGATTTGGTCCAAGTGAGTCATCGTTCTAGGCGACGCATCTGAATCACAATAGACGATCTTGCTGCGAGCTAGCTAGCTAGTCGGTCATCCAAGCTAGCATCATATAGCATGAGGGGAGGGTCCTTTTGGGCAGCTGCATGATCACCCTCGCGGTCTGCCAACTCGGTCTGTGCGCCCTGTCGCTGCCTGCTGCATGGCATTCCCTCGCTCGCTCGCTCGAGTCGTGAGTTGCGTGCATACGGCAGCAGCAGGCATGCAGGCAAGCTGAGATTTGCTACCGAGGTGCGTATCTGCGCTATACCGCACGGCCGCCGCCGGTGGCTTCGCGCTTCGGTGCGTGAATCTCGATGAGAATCAAATTGATCAGTCATTATTAATTCATTGCATCGGCTCGCGCGCATCCACTTCAAGCCTCACATTCACATTCTGATCACTTGCGACTCACGACTCTTTTCAGCGACGAGTCGCTGTGAGACCAGACATGAGACCGTCTGCAGAGACGCTTGAATTCACGATTGTGACTTGATATTGTATGCACCTCTCCCCTTCGCCTCGCCGCTGCTGTGGGCTACGTACGCCTAGCTAGCCATGCAGCGTCTCATAGAGGCCTCTTTCTATGAACGTCCTTTGACCCTCCGAAATCTGAGTGAGCAATCGTGAATCCTGGCCCTGCTGCATGCCAAAAGACAACCACCCCCCCCTCTCCACATCGCACGGCCCGTCGGGTATCAGCATGTACAACGTCGGATCGCCATTCATTACGGTACGCCCTGGCGCAATTCATTGAACCTCATCGACAACGAAGATTGCCATACCACTCTCCTTTTCTTTTTTTTTTTTTCGTGACACTGTGACGCAACGGCTCGTGCGCATACACTCACCATCCTTTGATTCTCTTTTACCTTTCACGATCTGCGGCCCGTCTTGTGAAGCTTTACTTCCTCGTCCGGTCTTTTGTCCGGCTCTTTGTTCAGCTCTCGAGACGTCAAATATCGGACGTCAGCTGTGCTGGTTGCCCTGAACAGCCTGTCGGCATCGCCAACGTTCAACACAATCACTCTCGCCAACGCCTTCGTCGGCGGCGGCGGCGGCATCTTATCGCACGTCAACAAACACTCTTCTCATCACATGGCCCATTCCGGCCACACGTCAGCTTGATCCTCGTCCGAACTTCGGTCTAGTGACGCCTCAACGTGAGAGGACGCCTGGAAGACCATACAAGGATCGCAGCTTTTCCAGCCGTACATATGGCGGCGTACGCACCCTAGCCAAACGTCCGCCTCCCCAAACGTCCTCACTTTTTACGACGCACCTTTGAACTCCCAACTCGACATCTTCTCCAACATGAAGGCTTTACGCTTGATGCGTCGCAAGTCGTTCGGCGAGGATCGGGCCAAGCGCGAAGGTCACGAAGCACCGCCCGCGATGGCCCCTCCCATGCCCACTCACCAGCAGCGGGACTTTGGCACACCCAGACCTCCAGCGCACTCCAACACCATGCCAGACATTCGATTCAGCGGATTCGACTTCGACAATCTCATACATGATGCTACCAAGAGGGCTACGGCCGATAACAACTTCGCACCGCGCACGGGCGCGTGGAACAAGAGCAGCACGCTTCCTTCTTCTGCTCATCAAGGAAGCAGGTTGATGAAGTACTCCCCACCGCCCAACTTGGCTTCTCAGCAGGCAGTTCGGATGCATGTGCACGCTCCAGCCCCGCCATCGCCGACCAGAATCAATGACAATTTCCAGACCGCAGTATTCCCTCGACCGGCCTTTTCTCCGGCAGCTTCCTTTGCCACGGCTAGAGACTCTCCCTCTTCTTCACCAGAGATGCGCGCGCAGGCCCATCTGCAAAGTCATAGTCCAACGCCGAACGGGCTCGTCGCTGCTCAAGTTCCAGTCGAGCGATCCCCTGGCATGCCTGCTGCTGCTCCATCCTCTCCTTCAAACAGGCGCAGTCTTCGCAATTCTGTATCTCAGCCCGCCATGAAGGGGTCCGCACCCAAGACAATGGACTCGATTTTGCCGCCGCCCATGCCCAAAGGCGCTAGTCCCAAGCAAGCCTTGCCCGCGCAGCACCCACTCGCATCGAGACGAGAATCCTCACGATCTCTGCCTCTTGGAGATGCTCAACCTCAGCTTGTTCAGTCGGCTTCCAAGCGAAGTCCTCGAGCTGAAGTTGAGCGACCGCGCGCGACAGAAGCCCAATTGCTGGCAAAGCAGCACTCTTCCAAGAAGCGCGATAGCTCTATGCCGGGCAGCACCTCACCCAACGTGAGCTCTCCGCCTACGATGAATGCCAAAAGCAAGGACAGGCGATCTAGTCAGGGTGCAGTCGGACCTACCAAACCGGATCGCGCGAGCTTGATCAAGCCCAAGAGTGATTCAGGCAGGTTGTCGAAGCGCTTCGAAAGGGACGCCAGGGAGCAAGAGTCGTCCGCTCGAGCAGAAGAGGCCAGGAGAATAGCAGCTGAGCAGCGAAAGGCAGACAAGGAGAAGCTTGAAAGGGAGCAGATGCAGAGAGAACTCGTGCACCGCTTGGAGATGGAGCAAGCGCAAATGGATGCTGCTGCAGTGCAGGAACGCGGTCGTCTGGCTGCGCTAGCTGCGCGCGAGGAACGTCTGCGCAAGCAAAATTCGGCCTCCGTCTTGGCCGCACCACCAAAATCTCCCGCGCGAGGACCACATCCGCCAAGCGCTTCGGGTCCTAGAGATGCAACATTGCGCAGATCAGCGTCTGCAACGACTACGCAGGACGCTGCTGCTCCCAGACCCATCGCAAAGCGTGGTGCTACACAGACCGAGAGCGATGCTCCGCATGCCCCCAGCGTCTCGTTCCAGCCGCCCGCCGGCGAGCGTCAAATTCGGGTCGTGGGGGTGAACGGCACCGCCACTTCTCCGCAAGATGCAAAGCCAAAGAAGATGAAGCGCACCACTTCACGCTTTAATAGAGCTGTAGCGAAAGGGTCACGCGGACAGACTGCACCGCTGTCGCCTCGTTCAGAGGGCCACGTCCAAGAAGTCGTCCAGCTGAGCATGCAAGAGACACAAGCTAGACTTGCTGCAGGTCAGCCTCGAAAAGACAGGCAAACGATGAGCAAACCAGCCAAGACTTTCGGAGTGGGATGGAGCTGCGCTGGAACTGCAGATCCCGCTCTGGCCGTATCTCACCGCAGATGCGTGCAGTACGTAGTTCTGCGGCCAAGAGACAGTACGGATGAGAATGGTCAGCGAGGTTCGCGAGGTAAAGGCAAGGGCCGGTACCAGACAGATGCGCACACCCCGCCGATGAGCATTGCTGGGTCGGAAGGCAGCTCTACCTCGCCTTTGCAACAGCGAGCAGAGGAAGAAATTGAAGAAGAGGAAGACGATGGTCTGGTAGAGACGACGGAAGAGCGGTGGTTCTCTGACCTTGGAGAGCACATTTGGACGCGAACGACGCCCGATGTGATCGCGAGGCTGGTGGACCACTTGGACTTTGCGGACGTGAAAGCTCTGCATCAGACGTGCTCTTCCATTCGTCAGACATTGGGACAGCTAGCTGGGCGAGAAGTCACGCTGCGGCGTTTCCTCGCACCCATGGGCTATCGCACATGGCAGCCTACTCGACGCGATCAGCCTCCGGTGGATCCGCTCCCACTCAGCCTGTCCGACTGCGAAGCTTTTTTGCTCAGCCACGATGTTGCCCCCGAGTATGCGGCTGTTGCGCAGCAATACATTTCTGATCGTCGAACTCTGGACCCCTCCATCCCTAGACTCGCTCTTGCGACTGTCAGAGCGTACAATCGCGTGCTGGCACGTCTTCGACTCCAGCCTCGATTCAGTATACCCCGCTCGGCAGCAACGCAGAAACTTTCGCCCGTCCCGGATTCGAACCAGACTGCCACTTCACCATCCTCGAGCCCCAACAGCAATGGCAATGCGCCCGTCGTGGAGCGTTCCCTTTCCTCTGCGCAAGCTCAGCTCGTATCGCCTTGGAAGCCAGGAAGAGCTGCTCACTACAGGGTTTGGGTGCCCACTGCCGATCCTGCCGGCTGGATGAGCGACTCTGAGCTTGGCCTGTGCGAAGCTCAGATGTACAGATCTGGAGTGTGGGACAAGGCCTTGCTGCGCGGCGATATTGTCTGGAATACGGCCGTGGGTGACGAGCTGAATGCTGGCAAACTCATCTTTGACGGTCAATACTTGCGCGACCTGTCCTACGCCTACGACCCTGCTGGTCATTTACCTGTGAGTTTTTTTCTTTACGCACGCACCGATCAGCGATGAGCGAGCGTGCTGACGCGCGCAATGCCGCTCCACAACAGTCTTGGTGCAACGTTCTGCTCTTCCCGCCTTCGTACTTTCACAACGTCTTGCGAAGCTCGAGCGGTAGTCCAGTGTGCTACTTGGATATCCTGCCTTGGAGAGATGCGCTCTTGAGCTCTATGCGCCTTGTGCAAGATCACATTGAGACCACGACGCCGCACGGCCGTTATAGGGTAGCCAAGTGGCTCTATCGAGCGGCGGTAAATGTTACTGGAGGACAAATCATTTCGGATGAAGGTCTGCAAGTGGTAGACGAGGGCTGGCACGGCCGGTGGGTACTTCTACATTTTTCGTACATTGCCTTGCCTCTTTCGGAAGTTTCTGACCGTGGCTCTTTTTTGGGCACGCTCTTTGTAGACTGGTCATCGAAACGGAAGGAACCAGCGAACATGCCAAGGCGCTCATTGCGAGATGCGCCGGACCTACGGCTACACCGGCCTCGAGAGCTGCTCTACTCGCTTGCGTCATCAACGAGGCTGGAAGGACAAATGCCAAGTTTGAGCCGCCTGCTACACGTGATGCGCAGGGCGCAAAGGTGGAGACCACTTCTGCGTGGATGGTGAGTTGGCAGGAGACGTCGGTCGATATTCCATGCGCTGTGCTCTCGGCTCATTCGACGCTCTCTCTACCGCTCCTCGATAGATACTTCGCGAGCGCTCTCGACCGGGCGAGATCTGGCTCAGACCGCTGTAGAAGACCGCTCTAGGATGTATTGTGATCGCATCTTTCTCTTTACGGAACGCGCACTCGTCTGCGGAAATGCGCTGGCCGTCTGACTGCACATCCTGGACGGAGACGAAATTCGCAAGCACCTGGCTCTAAGCCAATCCGGGCAACCTCCCCAACCCTCGCACCGACCCGGACCCACACTCTTTTTTGAAGCACGCTCCTTTTTCTAGACCTTTCCAACGTCCAGACGCTGTACTCGTAGACCACTGTCCAATTTCGAAAGACTGTACACCACTTGTTGGGATGTGATGGACTTTCAGCTTGAGCTCTTCGACACGCTATCGAAACACTGCTCCTCTTTTCCACCGTGGGTGATTTCAACTAGCTGCACGTACTTGATCGCGCACTCTATCAAGTTTCGGCATCCAGGTTCGCCGTGATGCGGACGAGCCACAGTGGCGAGAAGGGTGGTGCCTTGCTGCCTCACATTCGTGATGATTGCCTGCTAGATAGCTATAGATTCCGCAAGGGCAAAGGTGGGCGCTATCCCCGTCTGTCTTGTTGTGTGTGCGTCTATAGATTGGGTTCGCGTACGTGCGAGCGAGCATGCATGTTGGGGCCATCAGGCGGGCGGGTGCGCTCGTAGGAATCGGCAATGAATGTCAATCACGAATGATGCGAAGTTTGCCATGCATGCATGCAGGCAGGCAGGCAGGCACCGCCGACCAAGGAAGGCCCAACTGGCCAAGTGCCACTGCGCTGCTGCTGCTGCTGCTGCATGGGTTCAAAACCACACACGAAAAAGCCACAGACAGACAGACAGCTACATTACAGGCTTTACAAAAGGCCTCCAGCATGCACAAGCAGCTGCGTTCCGCCTGCTCGGGACTTCTGCCCCCCCTTCCACCCCCCGGCCCCTCTGCGCGCCAACAGGAAGGAAATCTCATCATTTTCCCACGCTAAGACTTGAGGGCTTGCTTGCTTGCTTGCTTGCGTGCCCCAGCTGCTGCTGTGTGCAGCGAGCGAGCGAGCCGGCCATGCAGCTGTGTGTTGCTAAGGGGTGCGCGCAGTCAGTCACGCGTACCGGTACTGTCCAGGCCGGGGCCGTGTGTGGCTTGAAGGCGATGCGAGTACTGTGTTAAACTTGCGATTTCTTTCTGATTGGAAAGGCAAATCGATCGTGAGATTTGCGAGGATTCGTTGCGTGCAAGTGAGCTAGGGCGGTAAGCTGTCTGTCAGACAGGAAAGGGATGACCATGCATATGCCCCCACGATGGCCGTGCCTTGTGCTAGTGCTAGTTTAACGCGAGATCGAGACGTTGAGTCGAGCGAGCTGCAGACCGAGTACTGTATATAATAGCCTTCTTAATTGCAAGGCCTATCTCGGCTCTTACAGAGGGCCAGCCGGGCCGGTCCCTGCCGACCGCATCATACTTTACACTCGACGCACAGCTAGCTAGCTGGCTTAACTGGGTTCAAGATTGGCCAACACGAAGCGAGACACGTAAGCGGTCGGATCGGCGTCATGGCGGGAAATTGAGCAGCAGGACGCGTCAAGCGTTAAAAGACAGTTGCGTCCATCGCTATGATGATCCGATCAACAACAACCAATCGCAAGAATGAGGACTCCATGATCGATCTATGCGAATCTTGAATGCACCATTCGTGATTGGCTGTGTGACTAGCTAGCTGTCTGTCTGGCGTGGCATCACGGACACGCGAGACATGTTTGTCCGCGCGCGCTCAGCAGCACGTCACGTACTGTAATGCACCGGTACCGCATGCGTCCATCCATCCGTACAGCACTCGTGACTACTCGTGACTACTACTACTCAGACTGACTATATACATGTTCGCGACTCGGGTTCGGCACGCAGGCGCAGAGCTTTGTCCGTTTGTGGTCAATAATGTAATGGCTGATGGAACTCGAGTCAGAAGAGGGTGAGTTGTAGCGTTGCTTGAAGGCAGAATACAAATCACGAATGCTGCGCTTTGAAGCTTTGCGTGCATATAGCCCTATTCGTGATTCACATTGTGGTGAGAGGTGAGAGAGACATCAACCGGAAGAGGCGCGGTGCAAGAAGCACGACCTCTACGGTACGTCGCATGCAGCTGACCCAAACTTGATCGAGCACCACGGCACACGTACTCGTGACGACTGCTGTGTGTCATGACTCAAGACTCTGTACGTTGAGCGCACTCGTCCACACATGCAGTCGTCGGGCATAGCTTTGCCCGACGTCTCATCAATCAATGAATGGATGCCGATCGAGGCAGGACGGTGTGTTGTATTATTTGATCGCACCCCACAACCGTAAATAAATGTTGAAACTTTGTCTATATACAGTCGTGAGTAGGCCGGCTAGCTGCGCCGCGGCAAGTGACCCAACAAACCTACCTCGCGGCTGCTACAAGGCTGCACTCAAACTGCACGTACGCCATCCAGCACGCAGCAGCGCGCTTGATTACGCCGAGTGCACTCAGCAATTGCTGTTGATCGTCTGCTGATGATGACTGCTCTTGACCCTTCGGACAATCGTGCGACTGCACAGCGTATGCTCAAGGCCGTACCAGAAGTGTCCGGGCCCATGCCCTCCCTCCTGCTTACTGTGCCAGCAAGCTCTTTCTTCTTGCAGCAGCAGCAGCAGCAGCAGCAGCACAAGGAAAGAGGGTCCCTTCGCAGCAGCCCTTGTCACAAGGCTCTTCCGAGTCGAGCGTGGAGAGTCTGCGCCTCGGTCCGTCGGCCGGGGCATGTTTTATCAGTTCGGATCTTGTGCAGACTCGATCGCTTCCGCCTTGCTCGTGGGTGCCAGTCACAGCTAAAGCACGCCCCTTTGGACTGCTAGCCTCTAGTAGTAGCCATTTTCTTTCCCGCCACCATCACCTTGGTGCAGTCTGATCTGCTGGCACTCCCTAACGCGCCTCTAGGCTAAGCTCGTGACTCCATCAGCAGTCACCCGTGCTCTGCCCCAAACATCATCAAAAAGGCACCATGACGCTCCGCAATGCGGTGCTGAGCGTTGTTCCGCTGACAGTGCGCGACGCAACTCCAACAGCCTGGCTGCAATGGACGCCTTACGAGACACCGCTTTCCAATCCCACCAGCGCGGCAGCATGGATCCTCTTTTGGCTCGCGGGCATCTTCACTGGCAGAGCATACATGCGCTCCAAAGCTCCGTTCGGCAAGAGTCTCAAGTGGCCCTTTTTCGTGCACAATGTGCTCCTCAGCGCAGGCAGCGGATTGTTGTTGGCGCTCGTGTTGGAGGAAATCTTGCCCATTTGGAAAGCTCATGGCTTCTTCTACGCCATCTGCGACAAGGGCGCCTTTACTTCGGTGAGTTGAGCAGAGATGACCAACACATACCGAGTACGCGGGCATCTGAGAGCTCAACATGCTTGCGCCTGCACAATAGAAACTCGAAACGTACTACATCATCAACTACTACTTGTGAGTCGACTTGATCCATCCTTGCGCATGCACGCATGCTTTGCTGAAAGCCCAGCCCGTCCGACCTTTGTTGGTGGCAGCAAGTATTGTCAGTCTGTGTGGTTGTGCAGAGAAGGCGGATGGCATGTTGACCAGATGCAACTCTATCCATCGCAGACGAGCTGTTCGACACGGTGTTCCTAGTGTTGAAGAAGAAGCCCTTGAGTGAGTCGGTCGGTCGCGAGGCAGAAGAAAAGGCTAGGTAGGGACTTTCGCGACGCTGCTGCTGGGAATTAGACGCTAATGAAGCGCTCAATTTTGACTCCGCCTGGGAAACGCGCTAGCTACGCTGCACGTCTATCATCATAGCGCGACGGCATTGCTGTGCTTCTCGCAGCTTTATGGACAGACGAGCGTGCAGTGGGTGGTCATCAGTTTGAACCTGTTCGTGCATCTCATCATGGTGAGAAGATGCTGGGGGCCGCTGACAGCGCAGAATGACAGGAGCGCTGACCGGCGCCTATATCGCGTCCGCTCGTTTCTGCAGTACGCATACTATGCCCTCACGGCTTTGCGCATCCCATGCCCATGGAAGCGCCTAGTAACGATTGCGCAAATCACGCAATTCGTCATCGATCTGATCGTAAGTGCGAGCCAGACACCCCTCCGAAACGTGGGGGCCGCGGGTCGCTGACTTGCCTCACCCCGGACTCCATTCCACGCCACTGCTTTTCAGATCGTCTACTTTGCATCTTGGCAACACTATGCTTGGAAGTGGAATTTCCGAGCTCTGACCTGCGGAGATTGCGCAGGCAGGGAATACGCAGCTTGGGCAGGCATGGCAGTCTTGACCTCCTACCTCTTGCTCTTCGTCGACTTTTACAAGCGCTCCTATGCCCCCAAACGTCGAGCTACGAGGGATGGGACGAGCTCGCCGCGCAATGCTGAAAAAGGACCGGCAGCAGGGCGCGATGCTAGCGCGCAGAACGCCAGCCGCACTGCTGCCAGCGCTGGAGATTGGAAGAAGTGAGGTTCATTGGTGCGGATCGGATCGAGGTCTCTCGCGGCCCGAGAGAGGGAATGTACGTTGTGCCGGGAATGTACGTCGTGCCCAGCACGCATCAGACAAAATGCTCCCAGCTAGACGAGCGCAGCATCACCAAGAGCAATGGACGCATCCCAGACCATGTCGTCAGCGCACCATCATGTTCGACACAGCGCGAGAGCAGCGGTCAGAGAGGCAGAAACATAGACGCAAAAGGCACACTCCCATGCAATTGACGAATTTTGCAAGCGGTGGCTATCTCCCCGCTGCTGCACTGTGACCGCGAGACTGATTGGCTTGCGCAGCAGCAGCTGCTGCTGCTGCATTCACATCCGCATGAGCTCTCTCTATCCTCTTGCGATTTTCTTCTCTTCCTCTAGCCCTCTTGCTCATCCTCCCATCATCGTCTCTGTGTCCATACCCTCGCTTGACATGATCCGTCCCTGTATCGGCCGACGAGGCTGCAGCAAAAGCAGCAGTGCTGCCGTCCAGGCTCAAAGAAGAGGAGGAGGATGTAGCTTCACCCGCAAATTTGCCGTAGGTAACAAGAGCTTGGTGATAAGAGAGCAAAGAGAGCGTCTCGGCGTCGGCTGTGGGGATGTGGCAGAGCGCAAAGGGGACATACGGAGCCTTGTTCAGCCACTTTCTAGCCCTCTTCGATGAGCAAGGGCAGACGCGAGCTCCAGTGGGGGGGAAATTGGCGACTTGCGCCCCCCCCCCCCCCCCCCCCCCCCCCCCCCCCCCCCCCCCCCCCCCAATTCTTTCCCCTCATACCCTGACAATTCGGCAGACATTGTATAGACTCACCATGCTCCCGCACGCTCGAATCGGCTGCATTGACGCTTTGCAAGAATTGCTTGCCTTCAAAGTCCTCTTTCTCCTTGCTTGACCGATCAGCCCACTGGCGCACCAAAGAGGGGAGAGAGAGAGAGAGAGAGAGAGAGAAAGAGGGAGGGTAGCGCGTCAATTCGACGCTTTGATCGAGAAGATGTTGCGTGCATCCGGCCCAAGAGTCCCTGATCTGAGGGAGATGGGTGTACCAAGGGGAAGCCCAACTCACCTGTTCAGCGTCGCTTTTCCACGTGAGCAATCTCAACACGCCGCTCTGCTCATCCGCGTGCTCCTCCTTTCGAATGCGCTGGAGGATTTCAGGTTTTTGGATCGCGTCTGTCCTATCATCCAAGGAGACCCAGATGGCGGGTGCCTCCTCTTTATCAGCCACAGACGTTGCACGCGTCCGAGGCGAAGGGGATAAGAAGAGGTTGATGGGAGATGCGCTCAAGACCACTCGACCCAGATCGATCGTCTTGACCTGTTCGGAAAGGTCGACGACTTTGCCTTGCTGCTCCGAGCGCAGCAAATCTCCAAGTGGCACGGTGTGAAGAGCCGTCGATCTAGCGTGCAGGGGGGGAGGAGCAGTCATGTCGATTAGCGCGCACGCAGATCGCAATGACGCTATCCATTACAGTACATCTTCACATCCCCCCACTCACCCATCCAGAAGTATCAAGGCCCACAATTTGCGCTTGCCGTTCGACTTGCTGTTCCAAGCCTTTACCTCGCCGTGCCTCTCCAAGCTAAGCGGTCCAGTCGCAGACGATCCTCTCGTCCAGAATGGCAAGAGAAAAGTGATGATGGGATGCGTAGCGAAAGCTTTATCATCCCCTCGTACCGATCCGATCGCGCCGGTCTGCCCATTTCTCCCTTCAAGCTCCACCTCCCCCATCGCCTTGCTCTGCCTCTTCTTCGCCTTCCTACCCATCGATGTAGCGCGCTGTGAGCCTCCGCTCTCCCTCGCTCTCTCCTGCTCCTTGTCTATCGCAATATACCTCTCCAAACGAGAGCCCAAATCGGCCATCGTTCTATGCGGGGTTCTCTGAGCGTCCAAAGAGCTAGAGGGATCTTCGTTCCAGCGCCAGAGCGAGATGAAACGTCCTCCTTCGCTCGTGAGAAGAGGGGCCGCACCGTACCTCTGCACCAAGTCTCCGTCGTCGTCGTCGTCTTCTCCCTCCTCCGCCTGCTCCTCCGTAGGTCCTCCTTCTCCCCGTCTTGGTACAGAAGACGCATTCAGCGATGGCAAGAAGCTCATCGCTCCGATCGCCCCTTTGCTCCCGAGCAAGTACCTCTCGATCACATGCGCAGCTCTATTTTTGCCCCATCTGGATATCCTGATATGCTCGTCTCTATCGGCCGTGATGATGTATGGCGCGCTAGGAGGAGCCGAAGCGCCGCTCGATACCAGCCCTGAGCCGAGTGCGCGACGAGCTGAAGGAGGAGCCAGAAGCATGGAGGTCAACATGCTCACGTGACCCAGTCTGGGCCTCATGCTGGCATCTTGCTCTTCCTCCTCCTCCTCCTCCTCCTCTTCCGCTTTGCGGCCTGACTGGGCAGCCGAGACGGGCACAGGGATAGCATTGGACGAGGAGTGTCGTGCGGCTTCGGAAGGCGGCAGAATTTCAAAGCTGCGTTGGGATGCGGCGAGGTCGTGATCGGGAGTTTAGGGGACGGGCGGGAGTCTGCAGGTCAGCATGGGTTTGGGATGCCTTCGAACGGGCGCAAATAAGCTGCAAAGTCGAGCAACGATGCGCGATTGTCCCCCGGATCGATAGGATGTGATGCTTGCTCCTCTCTCCTGCTCCAGCAATAGAACCTTGGCCCCGTTTCCATCGGCCTTCATCGCCGCCTCTGCGAAAGCATATCGAGCCGCAATCTGCTACTTGCTCCCTCCTTTTCCAGCGCACAATCACTCACCTCCTCACATCCCCATGCTTATCAGCGACGACCAGCACCCTCTCATTCTCCCAGACCACGGCAGCCGCCCTTTTAGGCAAACGCTTCGTCAACACTTCTCTACCATACGCCAGATGATTTTCCCCCTCGCAGAGCTGCACATCCACCTGCGCACCGAGACCGAGGTTGAAAATAAGCGCATACACCCTCAAGATCTTGTCGTCGCCCACCAATGCCAATCTGGACTGGTAAAGAGCTGTTGCGCCTTGCCCGAGACTCTCTTTCGAAGTGTGATCCGCTCCGATCAGTGTGGAAGGACTCCAAGCTGCGAATCGAGGCATGACCATCTGCTCCTGCTTTGGCTCGCTTTGATGCGAGCATGGGGATGGTGCTGCTGCGGCATGGGCTCGAGGAAGACATGGCAGTCGAACGATCATTTTGCCGCTGCTTGCGTGGAGTAGCGTGACGCTGCAAGCGGTGAGAAGCGTCAAGATGCCTGAATGCACATGAGCTGGCCCGTTGTGTGAAGTGGCGGGAGAGGGGGAAGCTGTGGAGCGTTCAGCATCGGGAAGAAGAAATGAGGGACCTGGTAGGATCAGATGGATGGGCACCTTTTCCTTGCCCTTGCCCTTGCCCTCGACATCGTCTTGCGGATTGGGCGTGGTGGAGGAAAGGCGATGTGCCGCATCGGCATCCACTACTGCCAAAGTCGTCGTCGACATGACCAACGTGGGCGCTTCTCCGTTGCTTTTCCTTGTCGTTTCCACCTGGCTTTCTGCTGCGATGCGTATTGCCTTGCTCGGTGTTGCGAAGGGAGATGAGAGCGAGAAGGCGGAGTGCCGAATGTGGTCAAGGTATACACGCATGGGACGGTGTTCGCGACTTTCTTCTGGACCAGCAGCCGACGCGCCGCATCTCATGCACGTCGAGAATTTGTAACAAAAATGGGCACCAAAAGCTGCTCAGGGTGTAGAGTCACGTGATGTGTTCCATGCTTGGGGCGGGCAACCAACGCGTTTCTAATTCAAGATTCGAGTTCCCACCGGGGATAGACGCCGCACGCGTCAGGCGCCATACAACGAGTGGATGGGAGATCTGTGGCGTTGGTGGAGCGCATGCCCACCAGTCAAGGAGTCAAGGAGTCAAGGAGTGACTCAAATCAAGCTCGCACCTTCAACTTTGAACCGCGTCAATGTTGACCATCAAAAAACGCTTCGTGATCAAGAATTCGCGCGTCGCGCCATCACATTATTTGGTGCACGTCGCGCGCCGATGGTCCAAGTCTTGAGTCAAAGTTGAGTCGAGTGTTCAGGGAGGGGCGGCGGGCCACTAGCTTTAACCGAAGCGCGCATTTCTCTAATCACGAATCACGAATCACGAATCACGAATACCGCGCCGCGGTCGGTCATCACGAATGCAACCGCCGTGCGCGCCGATTAATATAGCGGACTTTGGCGGGCATTCGAGCGGTACCCGGTATACCTACTGCTGATGTATACCCACAAGTAGCTTATTTTGGCTCAATCTTGAATCAAGGGCACGGCTGGCCGGTGCATGCATACGTGCTGTGCTGCCCTGCGATGGGCGGGCGGGCCGCGTGCATGCCTCATGATGATCATGGATGGGCGCTGTAAGCTGCTGTAGGAGGGGCGTGCGTGCGTGCGTGCGTGCGTGAGCTCAATTCGTGATTCTCGATGGACGAGTCAGCTGCATGCAGAGTCACCAGTTCGAGTTCGCAGCTCTAGCCCAGCCCTGTCGGTCGCCTGACCGCTAAAAAAACACACACACACACACACACACACACACACACACACACACACACACACACACACACACATCACTCAGACTCGACATTCACCAGCATTCACATTCAGACCTCGACTCGACTCCACTCGACTCGCTCGTCTGATGACAGGCGATCAAAGGATGCAATCACATTCACAACAATCACAATCACCACGAAATACCATTTGACTACGAATTTGAAACTCGACTTAGTACCCTAAGCCTCCCCTTCACCACAACAGCCATTCGACTCGGCGGAGAAAGTGCGCGCATCTATTGATACTTTTATTATTGCTGCATTCGCACTGAATTCGCACGGCATCCTGATTCGCATTCCTCACACCCATCTCATCAACCGTCTACATGCGAACGGGCTCCCCTGCCTCGTCAGTATTCCGCACGATCCCTTCCAACCCTCTTTGATGCTCCATCAGCAGACGCATCGCATTTTTGTGCAGCAGCAGCAGCAGCAGCACAAGTGCACGAGGTTCATCCCATTTCCGGCTCAATCTGCTTGGAACAGCCTGCCTGCACCTTGTCAAATTGGGCACGACTCCTGCTGAGGGGCCTCTCTCTCTCTCTCTCTACCCATCTCAACTCCTTCACAGCACGCAGCATGCATCGACGGGCAGACTCCAAGCGAGGCTTGGGCTCTTCTGGCGCAAGTCAGGCTCCTCATGTTGGCGGTGAATGGAAGGGGTCCAGCAGGAGCGACGCAAACGGCTATGGCTATGGCTACAGCGACTCCCCCAATGCCACTTCAAGCCGGACAATACTGGGTCGAGACGCTTCGCAAGATTTTCCCCGCGCTCCCTCGGCTTGGGCGCAGGACAGGACCAGATACGATCATGCTTCTGGATCTACGCATGTCGCTGGGCTCGAACAGCGCAGCGCAGCGGGCGCAGGATATTTTGCAAGTCACTCAAACGGCGCTGCAATTTCCGATGTGGACCTCACCAGACCTGCAGTGCGCCATGCCGAGGGCGAATGGGAGAGGGGAGGCACGACGCCGGGCATTCACGTATCGGATGCAAATGGCGTCATGGGAGACTATGGGATGCACAATGCGCATCGGCACTCGACCTCCGGAGAGCAGCAGGATCAAGCAGGTGGATGGAATGCTATCGCCTCCAAAGCTGGGCCGCTTTCGCCTCCTGAGCCGAGGAGGGGAGGTAGGACTGGGAGCTACGTGTCGGGCATAGACAGACCTCCCACGACCATCTCTTTTGACGATGACGAGTGGGCTTCGCAGTATGACGACGAGCGAAGGAACAAGGACGTGAAGGCGCCTTCGAGCGGTGCTGCTGCCGCGTTCTATGGCAGTAGATCACAACAGGGCGTCGGAGCAGGAGGAGGTGGATCCAGATTGGAACCTTCGCGATCCATCATGACGCACCCGACCATGGGCACGCGAGGCCAAGGAACGCGCACTGCGCTAGGCATGGCTTCCTCCTCGCGTGCATCGCGTTACTTTGGCTGGTTTCCGCGAAGTCTTCCCATCCAGCTCTTTCTGCTCGTCACGCTTCTAGAGTCGACGGTGGACATTTCCATAGAAGCTGTCTTGCTCAGTCGCTTCCAATCGCAAGAAGGGAGCATCGTGGGACCCGGTGCGGATGGCAGACAACCTGCTCTGCCAGTATTCGTCATGGTCTTTTGCTTGGCTCACGTTTATCAGAGCGCACTCGCCGTCGATGCTGTCGTCAATAGGAACTCTATTCTCGTCTTTGGACTGGTACTATTCAACATTGCTTTGTGAGTGAATGGGAAGCCACATTGGGTTGGAAGAGTCGCCGCAGAAACCGCTCGAGGGCGTGTTGGTGGACAGGAAGGAGGCAACGAGACGAGATTGGTGTGACAGAGACGGGGCAGGCCATGCCTCTGCAAGGTCGTGCTTCGTGCCGCAACGAGTCCCGCTCTTGAATTCCACTCGGCGTCCGTGAGCGCTGATCAGCCTGCCTTTGTCCACGACATTTCACTCGGCCGCACAGCTTCGTCTATTCCTTGATACAGATCTCTGAGATCCGTCAAGTGTTGGGCACAGGCGTGGTAGAAGGATCGGGTCAGACTGTGCCCGTTCAGGTCCTGACGACGGCCATCCCGGTCATCGTGGGCACTTCTGCGGGCGTGCTGAGCGTCTTGAGCTGGTACATCTACAGAGACTTTGGCTGGGAAGTCTATAGGAACATTGTAGGCGCGGATAGGGATTTGAAGAGAGCGCACATGAATTATCAGGTCTTTGTCGCACTTTTGAGTGAGTATTCGCGAGCGGGAGGTGGGTCGGGCACCGGGGTAGTGATGTCGATGGGCGAGCGCTGCTGAATTGCCTTCATTCTGGTTTGCTCTTCTACGAACCGAGCGCAGAAGCAGATTTCTTCGCTTTTATAGCTTATTGTCTGTGCGTATCGGCTTGATGTCCTTCACCTTCGAGCCGCTCTGACCACGAATCGGGCGATCCTTTTCCCAACCGCGCACCCGCCGCACCACCATCACAGACAGCTCGTCCTGGTAGTGTTGGAGGGCCACGATGCAGAGTACTGGCTGACCGTCATAGCGGTGCCCTTTTCACTCGTCATTTTGGGCTTTGCTTGGTACTGCGCTAGGAGGGAACTCAAGTGGGGCATGGTTGTCTTTATGAGCTTGATTCTTTGTGCTGGGGCTTATTTGTGAGTCGCGAGGGGGCCTTGGAGAAGGCGGATGGGAAGAGAGGCGGGTCAACACGAACTTGGTATCATGCACCTCTTGAAAGAGATGGCGATGTAGTTGCAGCTGAGAAGTCGCGCGTGATCGAGCCTGCAATGTGCCCATACTGACACCAAGCGGTTGTCTCGTGACCCTGATATTGCGATCTATGCAGCACATACAAGTGAGTCCAGCAGAGCAAGAGACGAGCGCATGATCAGCGCTGCTGAGCAGCAATAGCTGATCGCGTTTCTTTGTTTACACCAGGCTTTTCCGAATCTGGCAAGGCCGGAAGGGGGCGTACCTGGAGGTGTACAAAAGCTTGACAGTGTTCTGTGAGTTCTTGCGTGCGACCATTTTGCCATTTGCCGATCTCAACTCGATGCCTGTGCCCTTGAACCTCTACAGCCGTGCTGGCTATTGCGCTAGTGCTGGCGACAGTCTGGTCGGCCATGATGTGTTTGCGAAAATTCAACTGTGGTCGTGAGTGGTGGCGAGGGGCGATGTGTGCTGCGTGGACGAGACGCTGGCCAGAAATCTCACACGCGCTCTCATCCACCTGCGCCCCCCCCCCCCCCGCGCCGGCAGTACGCAACGCCATCGACCGGGCAGCTCTGGAGCGCAAAAAGTCCTCTTCAGGTCATGCGGGACCGCTGTACGGCCCAAATGGGAGCAACGAAGCTCAGAGGCAGAACAGCAAATCCGCAGCTAGCTACTTGTCGCGCAAGTTTAGCAAGGCTACCACGCTCGACAACTTTGGCGCTGCTGCTGCTACTGGTGCTGCTGGTCCTGATCATGGCAAAGCGGGCATGCACGAACTGAACAGTCGGAGCGATGTGCAGCTGCCCATGCAGCAAATGCAAAAGACGAACCGGCTAAGTCTGGATTGATCTGCTGCTTCGTCGGTCGGGAAATCGGGTCGTTGGGGGCATGGGAAAGACGGCGACACTGCTCGCACCCGGCCACGACCCCGCACCGAGGAGAGTGATTTTGCAGGCTGAAATCACTCATGAATACGATGATATACAACACACTCTTTTCTTTCTTTCTTTGTTCTTTTTTCTTTTCTCGATTCCTCAACGCATACCCATCAGCCGTCACCCAAGTCGTTGTATCATGCTCTCCTGTTTATTTGAACACTGGAACTGCGCTTCATCTGTCCCGTTCGTCTTGCTACGTCTATTCACACACTGTCGGTCCCCATCGTCCTTTTGAATTTTTTTTTGTTTTTTGGCTGTGCGCATCCGAGCGCCGTAGCGTGTGCTCATCAGCTCATTGTCCACCACGCAGAACGAAAAAGGTCGAGGGGAAAAAGTTTCGAACCATCTTACTGTTGCCGTCAAGAGAAGAAATCTATTTTGTTACATTTCGAGGAAGCACACGAGTCGCCAAGCCAGATAGATGGTCAGGAAGCAGAGCTGAGGGCAAACGAGGAGGGGGGTGGGGGGAGGATGATTAGTCGGAGGAGGAGCCGAAAGTTTGGAAGCGGGTAGCATCTTCGATGTACGTCTTCGCGTGAGCAGGGCCTTCGGGACTGTATAAGTGGG